AGAAAATTGACAAAGGGGGCTGCTTATAAAAACTGTCCACAGTGAGTTAAGTTTGCTGTAAGAGATCGAGCAGTAGGGAACAACCTTTGTTCAAAAGCTGCCGTTTAAAAAATCTGTAACATTACAGACTGTCATGTAAATTTTCAGTTTCTGTTAGGGGTGCTTATAAAGATTACTTACAAATTGTCTGGAAGTTGGTCGAGGGCACTTAATATGGTAAATACAGTATTTCAAATAACTAAATGTGGGGCGAGAGAACAAATATTTCTTACAGAATTTGATAAGTTTCGGCACCGATGGCTGTGTTTTGCCATGGTACTGCCTGATTGCTTTTAATCTAATTTTGACACTGCTTTAAAATGTCTATTGTTTTCAAATTTGCACTATTTATAAATTTACACTATTTGGAAATCCCTCCAAATTTGTTCACATACATTTTTTCTCTCCATATGTAAGGTTCTATGAAAAAGTAATAAAAATAATTTTAATTATCATGTTTATCTGATGACTCATGTCAATACCTTATCAGACATACATAGAACAGTTTTCATGTGAAGGATAACAATGGCTAAGCATTATATCTTTATTGGCTTAGGTTCATAGTAAAATATATTATTACCGTACCCTGACCCCACAACACCCCCCTAAGTCCGTGTCAGTGTTCATGTCCCCTACACTGCAGATGGTAATACCCATGGTATAAATATTCGTAATGCCTTCCCGATCTAGTAAGCTCATATTTTACTCTGTGCTGACAGTAGAAACCAATGTGGGTTGGGGGAATTGAATTGTTTTGACAACCGACTTGCTGTGGAATGTGTACCAGTGAATGATACTGCCTGATATTGTATGTCCAGTGAGCTGTTTGAATAACTTTGCCCAGAATAAGATTAACTTTCTATCAGTGGGTTCTACAGAACGGGGATCATAAGGGCTTGGCCTGCGAATAAATGGTTTTGTTATGACTTAGTGCTGGGCATGTTATCCCGGCTTTATGTTGAATATACAGAGTTCCAGGCATGTCCACAGTTATATAGGCATTCTGATCACACTGGCATGTACGAACTTGTTTACCAGATGTTTGGCTAACTAAGCAATCGCTTTGGTCATCATGTTCATGATATTTGGGTTGAATGTTCGCTGGACAGAAATAAGAATGTTAAGATGTCAGGCTGAATAGTGATATATATTCATTAGGGGTGACTTTTGTGGCTATTTGCAAGATTGCGATTGTATTGCAATAGTACAGCATTAGAAATTGGCACTAGTCCTATAGTCCTTGCCAAACTGCCCAATGGTAAAAGTATCCTCATTTAAGGATGAGTAGAAATTTGCCCTTTTTAAGGGTTTTGCTATGTTATCATTATAAGGACAAGTGGACTAAAACTGTTAGTTTCTAACCCTGTAGTACCCCACACTATTATGCTTATAATAGCCGCAATGATTGCGATAGTTGTCAACAATTGCAATAGTATTGCGAAAATATTAAACCAACTTTTACAGTTTAAGGCTTGATAATTATATCATGTATTTTAATTAGTGTAATTGTAATTAATGAAAGATTTATTTCTTGATTTGTTTCAACACAAATATTGGAACAACAACTTGAACATGTTGAACAACAACAAACAGTCATTTAGCTCTCTAGTTCTCTGGAACAGCAACAACATTCATTTAGCTCTCCAGCTCTCCAGAACAACAACAGACATTCATTTAGCTCTCCAGCTCTCCAGAACAGCAACAAACAGTCATTTAGCTCTCCAGCTCTCCAGAACAACAACAGACATTCATTTAGCTCCCCAGAACAACAACAAACATTCATTTAGCTCTCTAGAACAACAATAAACAGTCATTTAGCTCTTCGGCTCAACATTGCTCCAGTTTCAAGGCTGAACACTCAGCTTTTGAAACAATTGATTGTCAGGTATACTATTGACAATATAGCATGATATAGTACAATCAAAGGCAAACAATTGCGATACATGGAGAAATTGATATATTAAAATATTTCTGATGTTGTTTACATACTTGGAGAACACTTGACATTTTTGTGTCAAGTAGTATGTGTTGCCTCATTTCTGGTAAAAAAAATAAAATTAAATGATGAAAAAAAGGGCAAAATATTTCAACAAGTTTTTAGAAATATCTGCAGCATTAATCATGTTCAATGTTCAAATTGACGTTCATATTTCACCAAATTGATCAGTCATAGCTGATTCTTGTGCTTAATAAATACAGAGATCAGTCCCTTGTCCCAACATTTTGCACACTGGAGAATTTGAAAGTGTCAAAGTGCCCAGATCTTTTAGGTTGAAGGTAATGTCATCAATTTATTTACCCACTTCTCAAACATGTCAATAAACTTGATTAGTCTGTGTTCCACATTAAAACCAAATAACGGCCTGACCATGGTTACCATGGTTACTGTATAGCTAACAGCGTCATGGGTATATTGCAGGTGCTTGTTACCCTGCACACATGTTGAACCCACTGACACTGTTCCTCCATTGACTGAGTAAATATATGCTCTGTGGTCCGTCCTGTGTCCGTGAAATCTGACAGGCCATTAACATCTTCCTGCTAATTTGCAGTCCCAGCAAGTTTGATTCAAGTCTTTCCAACACCCCCTTACTTGTCTGTTAACACATTTGATTATGTTGGTCCCTCAAGGAATAACAATGTCTCAGTTTCACACAGGGCACCCATTACAACATCAAGGACTAGACACCTCATACAACATCTAGGCCTGGACACTGAATACAACATCTAGGCCTGGACACTGAATACAACATCTAGGTCTGGACACTGAATACAACATCTAGGCCTTGGCACCGAATACAACATCTAAGCCTGGACACTGAATACAACATCTAGGTCTGGACACTGAATACAACATCTAGGCCTTGGCACCGAATACAACATCTAGGCCTGGACACCAAATACAACATCTAGGCCTGGGCACTGTATACAACATCTAGGCCTTGGCACTGAATACAACATCTAGGCCTGGACACCAAATACAACATCTAGGCCTTGGCACTGAATACAACATCTAGGCCTTGGCACTGAATACAACATCTAGGCCTGGGCACCAAATACAACATCTAGGCCTGGGCACTTCATACAACATCTAGGCCTGGACACCGAATACAACATCTAGGCCTGGGCACTTCATACAACATCTAGGTCTGGACACTGAATACAACATCTAGGCCTGGACACCGAATACAACATCTAGGCCTGGGCACTTCATGCAACATCTAGGCCTTGGCGCTGAATACAACATCTAGGCCTGGACACCAAATACAACATCTAGGCCTGGACACCGAATACAACATCTAGGCCTGGACACTGAATACAACATCTAAGCCTGGACACAGAATACAACATCTAGGCCTGGACACTGAATACAACATCTAGGCCTTGGCACCAAATACAACATCTAGGCCTGGGCACTGTATACAACATCTAAGCCTGGACACCGAATACAACATCTTAGACTGGGCACTTCATACAACATCTAGGCCTTGGCACTGAATACAACATCTAGGCCTGGACACTGTATACAACATCTTAGACTGGACACTAAATACAACATCTAGGCCTGGACACTGAATACAACATCTAGGCCTGGACACATCATACAACATCTAGGCCTGGACACTGAATACAACATCTAGATCTGGACACTGAATACAACATCTAGCCCTGGACACTGAATACAACATCTAGGCCTGGACACTGAATACAACATCTAGGCCTGGGACAAGTATGGGGAACTGGGGACCGATTCTACAAAGAAGCCCCACAGAAAAAATCACGGACCACAGGGGACGTATTCACTCGGCCCCCCACAGGGCTTCTGAGGAGGTTAAAAATTAAGCTGTTGCTCAGTCACCTATTCCCTCACTCTTCTGTATGTACAGGTCAGCATGTGGGTCCCTATGCTGTTTAGTGCATCCAGGCCTATGATATCTTGTTTACAGTAATTACTGAACTATAAACAAGCCTCTCAGGGGGTACTCGCAGGGTGACAAAAGCCTAATGGAGGCAGCCACACAATGTGTGTTTGTGTGGGAAGGAGCCTAATATAATCTCCTGTGGTCATGTCAAGTATATATAATAAATAAATACTGCCAGAGATCAGTGGACATTAGTTGTCTTCTTTGTGGGAACTTTCTTTTAACTTTCACCATGTTCACAACTGTATTCATGACATGTTGATCGTCCTGATAATGCTCTGTAGGGTATAGTATTGAGATAATATCTGCAGTTGTAGTGGACATTGGTGTTGATTGCTTGTTTTCAGATCTAGTACAGAGCAATGACTAGAACATGAGTGGAAAGGGGACATTTCTGGACATTTGGTTTGCAAGAAGTGACAAATGTGATGATGTTGAGCACAAGAGATCTGTTTTCTTGAAAATTTGTATTTTGTGTTTACCTGGTTTTCTTGACTGTGCTCTGTTGTTGTGGCACTTGAAATAATAAGGGTCAAACCTTCGTTATTTTTATCTTGTTTTGGGGGTGGTCAGCTCCTAAAATTACAGCTCATATTAAATAGTAAATTACATTTATAATGAACACGCGTCTTTCCAACTGATGGATATAGTGATCCAGTTGTAACTTGAATTTCAAAAGCGGGGAGGGTTTGATTTGGGATTCAATCCTCATGACCCCCTTTAATCTGCTGTGAAGATCCGAGGTAGAATAGGTCTTCAGCAACCCGTGCTTGCCGTAAAAGGTGACTATGCTTGTCTTAAAAGGCGCCTAACGGAATCAGGTGGTCAGGCTCGCTGACTTGGTTGATGCATGTCATCGATCCCAATTGCGTGGATCGATGCTCATGATATTAATCATTGGATTGTCTGGTCCAGACGCGATTATTTACAGACCGCCGTCATATAGCTGGAATATATATATATAAAACAACAAACCAACCTACCAACCCAAGCTACAAATGGTGGAAAAGAAACCACCTTTATGATAAAGCCAGATACCTTGGTGGTTAAGACTCCGGTTCACAATCCATCCTTCAGTCTTCACCTGGTTCACAGGTCAATACATGGTTCACTTGTGTGCCTCAGCTGCTAAAACAGAACTGAAGATTAGTGATAAGACAATCCCTAGTTAGCAGAGTTATTGAGGTCAGGAGAAGATTTGTGTCACTCCAATCTTCACGCATGTTCCTGACTCACAAATCCCCCAAATCCACACAGGATGAAGTTATTCAGATCCCTCACAGCTGGTTAATCACAAATCTTGATCAGATTATGTTCAAATGGTGAGCCTCGTCCGCACATTGTCTCGCCTGGCTCGGCCACTTGTGTGAACTGTTTATGATATATCAGCTGGGACTGGTAATATCCTCTATTAAAGTATTATAGATCAAGATTAGGATTGGTAAATTGAGCAATTGCTCAGGGTTGATAGTGTCAACTGGTGCCATTCCTGATCTTTATCAGAGCTTTATTAGTAAATTGTTAAAATGGGGTTGAAATGATTCACCAAGGTCATCCGCTTGTCTTGGGCCCCTTGTCCACAACCTGATCTTGGCGATCGTAAGTCCATGTTAAAGAATAGAAGTTACAAACGTCTTGTAACGTCACTAAGATCAGGAGAATAGGAAACACAACTGAGAATCTGGACATGCTCGAAGGACAACTTGATTTTTCCTAAATCTGGTTGCATTACATAAAACACTTGTCTGAATGAGCTGTGGACTAGCAAGTTAAATTTGACCATCTTAATCTCGTCATTGAATAATTCTTTCGGTATTTTGAAACCCACGAGTATGGGTAGGGTGTTGACAGACCAAGGATCGTAATCAAAAATTAAAACCCAAATGAATGTGTGCTGTAGCTCATAAAGGGGCAGTTGGGTAGCCTTGTGGTTAAAGCGTTCGCTCATCACGCCGAAGACCCGGGTTCGATTCCTGACATGGGTACAAAGTGTGAAGCCCATTTCTGGTGTCCCTCACCGTGATATTGCTGGAATATTGCTAAAAGCGGCGTAAAATCATACTCACTCACTCACTGGAGCTGATAATCAAAGAATTAGAAATGTTTCAGTGATTTGGCTTATGTTACAAAAAGGCATTTTCCATCATGTTAATGTTTGTGTTGCAGGAAAGTCCGACAGACGTCCAGTCCCAGATTACTGACTACTTGTCTAAAGACGGACTGAACCCACAATGTGCAGACACAGAGAAACTCCTGTATCTATGGCGACTCTACCAGAATTCACAGGTGAGGAATGGTTCTGTGTTCATGTCTTTGAGAGGCATTTAGAAGTGATACACATAAGGAAAAGAATATATGGATGCCAACTTCTATTTTATATCTAAGGAACACAACATTTCGGAGTGTACGCTTACTCCTTCATAGGTGGAGTATACGGTTTGTTTGTTGCTCTGCATGATGAGTTTTTTCATGTTTAAAGTATCATCCATCCATCCACTCCATCCATCCATCCATCCATCCATCCACTCCATCCATCCATCCATCCACACACAAACACGCACACACACACACACACACACACACACACACACACACACACACACACACACACACACACACACACACACACACACACACACATTGTCCCAGTTTCACACACACCAACAGTTGTTATGAGCATCAGACTATAGAGTACAGTACAGTCCCCTTTAGTGGGAGACAATCCATCCATCCATCCATCCATCCATCCATACATCCATACATACATACATACATACATACATTGTCCCAGTTTCACACGCCACCAATTATAATGTCCACGCCCCAACAGTTGTTATGAGCATCAGACTATAGAGCACAGTACAGTCCCCTTTAGTGGGAGACAAGTTCAAACATGTTAATGGGACACTTGGCTTGGCCCAATCAGCAGTCCCAGCAGATTTGATCAGATCACATTGGATGTCAATCTATGAGTTAATGATTACCCTAATCACATACACACAGTCAAAGTTAGACACAAGTCTCAAGCAGAACTATCACTGAGAAAGTCACCAGATCATTATACATAGACTTACATATTTTTTGTTTATGGAGGTTATAATGTAAAAACTGATGTGCACACACTTTGTAAATCAACAAAATAACTTCACAGATTCATGTTTAATCATGAACATACAAAATACTAAAGAAGATACAAAATCAGTGACACCTGCTCACACTGTCGTCAGCCAATCAGAAAACAGTAATCTGCAAGAGGGCGTGGCCATATTTTTTTTTCACTTGATGGGAGCATAGATCTAAAGATAATTGTTTGGGGACAAGGAATCACTTGCAGTTTAGAGCAGAGTCCCCCTTTAAGTGGTGTCCCCTTCCCACACATAAACACCATGATACATCAATGAGTATACACATAATCATCACAGAACCATCCTTGTCTGAACAAGATTTACCTGCTTCAGGCATCACTGTACACCTGCTTTACCTGTGCAGGTGCATGAACGACCTGTTCCTATGGCAACTGCATAATTGGACACTGGTGTACTATTTAAAATTAGGTCACTCCTCACCTGAGCGTATATATGTTTTGTTGTTCTATTTCCGTGCTATTCCTGGAACCCTTGTGTTGAAGTGCACTGTTGACGTTGATTAGACGGGTTGGGGGATCTGTATTGACAGTGATGGGGGCACCTGTCCTGTTTGTCGGATGCGGACAGACATGGCCGTCCTGTATTTTGACACAAGCGTCTCCCCAGGTGTATCAAGATAAATGCTGATATTATGGTAATGCATGTTTACACTAATAAAAGCTTATCATGTGACTGATATATGTCACCTGTTTATGGGCTGACCTGGATGGGTTGACATGTGCTTGAAGTGATTTAAATAATTTCTATATTTGTAGCTGGTTTTGAAATATTTTTCATTGAATGTCTCAAAACTGCTAATGTGCAGAAAATAAGTTTGTGATGTTTTGTCGTTCTCTGTTTCTCAAGCACATCAAGGTTTAGATATCTTTGTATTCCTGTTATTTATGATGTCGAATCTATCTGGTTTCAAAATTGAATGTTTGGAATGTTTAAAAGTGAAAGTAAAAACATTTCATCATTTCTAGAATCATGATCATTGTTTGACCCTTGACCATTGTTGACCCTCGTCATGTTTCCTGGAGGGTCTTCAGTGCAGAATCAGTAAACGGCCAGTGCTTTTGCTAAGGGTTGACTTCCAGTGTATTGTGACCATTAACAACTTGGAAGTATTGCCCTGAAATGTTAATGAGAGGGACCAGTTCAAAGTGAAATGTGGCCAAATAGCAATTTATACATGGTGTATATTCATAAGTAGAAACGTATTTGGTGTCTTGCCACTTAAACTGGGGATTGGATGATGTCTTCCTCTCTAAACTGGGGATTGGATGTTGTCTTCCTCTCTAAACTGGTGTCTACCTCTGTAAACTGGGGATAAGGTGGTGTCTAGCAACTTAAACTGGGGATTGGATGATGTCTTCCTCTCTAAACTGGTGTCTACCTCTGTAAACTGGGGATAAGGTGGTGTCTAGCCACTTAAACTGGGGATTGGATTATGTCTTCCTCTCTAAACTGGTGTTTACCTCTGTAAACTGGTGATTGGATGATTTCCTCCTCTGTAAACTGGGGATAAGGTGGTGTCTAGCCACTTAAACTGGGGATTGGATTATGTCTTCCTCTCTAAACTGGTGTTTACCTCTGTAAACTGGGGATAAGGTGGTGTCTAGCCACTTAAACTGGGGATTGGATTATGTCTTCCTCTCTAAACTGGTGTCTTTCTCTGTAAACTGGTGATTGGATGATCTCCTCCTCTGTAAACTGGGGATAAGGTGGTGTCTAGCCACTTAAACTGGGGATTGGATTATGTCTTCCTCTCTAAACTGGTGTTTACCTCTGTAAACTGGTGATTGGATGATGTCTGCCCCTGTAAACTGGGGATTGGATGATGTCTTCCTCTGTAAACTGGGGATTGGATGATGTCTTCCTCTGTAAACTGGTGATTGGATGATGTCTTCCTCTGTAAACTGGGGATCCGGCAGTGTCTACCTCTGTAAACTGGGGATCCGGTGGTGTCTACCTCTGTTAACTGGGGATTGGACAGTTCTTACCTCTGTAAACTGGGGATCGGGTGGTGTCTACCTCTGTAAACTGGATATCGGGTAGTGTCAACCTAATGGGTCTAATGGGTGACGTGTTGTTCAGAGGGATGTGTTGTTGAGATGGATGTGTTGTTCAGATGTATATATTGTTCAGACAGATGTGTTGTTCAGAGGGATGTGTTGTTGAGATGGATGTGTTGTTCAGATGTATATATTGTTCAGACAGATGTGTTGTTCAGACAGATGTGTTGTTGAGATGGATGTGTTGTTCAGATGTATATATTGTTCAGACAGATGTGTTGTTCAGAGGGATGTGTTGTTCAGATGGATGTGTTGTTCAGATGTATATATTGTTCAGACAGATGTGTTGTTCAGATGGATGTGTTGTTCAGATGGATGTGTTGTTCAGATGTATATATTGTTCAGACAGATGTGTTGTTCAGATGGATGTGTTGTTCAGATGGAGTGTTTTTCGGAGGGATTAGTTGTGACTAATGACTGCTGTGTTGTTCAGAGGGATGTGTTGTTCAGATCGATGTGTTGTTCAGACAGATGTGTTGTTCAGAGGGATGTGTTGTTCAGATGGATTTGTTGTGACTAATGACTGCTGTGTTGTTCAGACAGATGTGTTGTTCAGAGGGATGTGTTGTTCAGAGGGATTTGTTGTGACTAATGACTGCTGTGTTGTTCAGACGGACCTGAAGCTGGCGCGGGAGTTGGAGGAGAAGCTGCGACAGTCCCAGTCGGAGGAGATGAAGGAGGTGGAGAACTATGTGGAACACATCCGCCACCTGTCAGACGAGAGAGAGGCTCTCATACAGGAACTGGAGGGCGAGAACGAGGCTCTCAAGTCGGAGGTCGAACAATTCAAGGCCAATGAGAGTGAGTTGGAATCTTTGAGTATTCATTGGGCATATTGGTTTTTGGCAGGTGTCATTCCCTTTTGCCGATAAATGTGGAAAGTACGAGTGTAATAACTTTCCAATATTTGCACGGGAGCATTTTAGTGAATGTCAGTGCTGATTGACCGATATGACGTGACATTGCTTTAATGTTGAGAACGTAACGTGATCCATTGTTGTTTACGCCACAACTTGATCACATTATACCATTTGAAAAAGAATTTGACTTCAGCTAAGTTTCTCTGAAGAGTCAACATTTCAAGAATGTCACAGAGTAATATACTGTTAGTCATGAAATTTTAATACATCCCCAAATAAATGCCATTGTTGACCACTGGCCTAAAATGCTTCATGAAGTTATGTGTCTAGCCCTGCCTTTGAACTATAAAATCTAATCAGCAAATGGCAACAGCAAGACTTAGAATTCTATGACAAGTAGTTTGAGAATGGATAATATGAAATCAAAGCAGTTAATTCTTGTGAATACCATACCTCTATTACATCATTGCCATTATCCTGTCTTTTGGTTGTAATCACACTCCATTAAATCTTGAGATATTCAACTGAAGTCCTCTTCACTGTCAACTATACAGAGTAGTTGTACCCATAGTAGCACAAAGCATGTGCAGTGAACCTCACACGACAATAAATATGTCAAGATAAAAATATCTCACTATATTAATGTGGGCAAGGGACACACTTTTTTCGAATACTTTCATGCTCGCATTATTCACGTTTCTTTCGCGGACTGTCTGACCTTCTATCTCGATATAATATTGACATTTATTATTAGTATCTGTCTGTCTTGAATCATCATCACAATAACTTTTAGATGGATATTAATATTTAATATAATTCTCGTTGACCACCTCTGTGGTCTAGTGGACATAGTGTTTGCCCTGAGAGTGAAAGGTCTGTGGTTTGATCCCTGGCTGCGTTATACCAAAGAGATTGAAAGATGGTACTTGTTGTTACCCTGCCTAGCAATCGGCATCAAGGTCATAAACAGGGTCTGGTTGGCCTCGGTTCCTTTGTACTGTGTCTGAGTGGGGTATCCATGTTAAACTGCAGCATGATATCTCAGTGGGCTACCTCTTTAATACAGGCATTTGTTCGGTCAAGTACAAGCAGCCACACACACATTGCTGTAATAGTAAGAGCAATTATCTTGAATGCTGCCTTAAACCCCATTTCACCCCATCTCTAATTCTTGTTTCATCAGGTGATGAAATCCGTAAAGAAACGTCAGAGATGCTTTCACAGCAGGGACTGGATGAGATTGCCAAGGCAACAAGCAGTGAACAGATTGCCTTTCTTCTGGTGGAACGAGCAAGGCTATTGGATGAGCTGGAGGCGGAGCAGAATAACAGCCAATCAGGTGACAAGGATTCAGAGGAGTTGAAGAAGATCCTGGAACGAGAACGTGACGACTTTGAGGAGGAGATGCAGCAACTACGACAGCAGGAGAACCGGGCGCGGAGTTCACTGAAGCACGAACACGAGGAGGAGATTGGAGCACTCATGGATGAGAACGCCAAGCTGGAGGACGACCTCAATTCTTCCAAACAAAAGGTAGGAAACGTATTTGCAGCAATATTGTTGAAAGATTAGTTTCTTACAATTTCAGTTTTTTTATTTTCTTATTGCAAGAAGTAAACTAGAATATGAAAATAATAAGTTGTCAAGGTTGATTTAAGGGGAAAATAAAAACATTGTCGCCTTCTTACCATTATTCAAAGCCTGTTAATCCAGGCGGGAATTTTTTTTTTTTTAAATCTCTTGATAAATGATTCATTGCAACAGAATGTATTTTTAAACGGTAATTGTCTGAAAAACAGTGTTTTTCTGTTAGCATCTTTGATTCTCAAGTGTGTCATGTCTCCATTCTAATTTATATACTGTAAATTGTGAAATTAATGCGTCTCCAAAAGAATGCGACCGTTGGCCCCTAGTCAATAATGGGAATCAATATGAATGCGACACCCCTCTCCTCTCAAGCATCAGTGGAAGAAAATGTCCTCTGTCAGGTTTACAGGAGAATCCTCATCCTCATCCAACCTTACATTAATCCAATCACACACCAAATAACAGCGCTTATTAGCACTGATAATAGTACTCCGCTAAAACAATACATGGGCACTGGCTCGTGTCGGCCTTTGACGTAGTCGCAAAGAACAAAGACACCCTGTTGCGTGGGTGGCATCTGTCTGGACTTGCAGGTGTGATCAGTGATGACCTAAGTGTGTAGAACCCCAGCAGTGACAATTCACAGGATGTAATTAGTCTTTGAATGGCATTGTTTATGTACTTGTTACAAAAGTGCTGCTCAATGAACAGTGGTGTGGAATACATAGTTGTTTGTTTTCAGTGTATGAATGAGTTGGTATTTCTGCTACCCAAAATAACTTATTGTTGATATAAATGCGTTGTTTAATAATACGAACAAAGACCACTCGCATTTTTCGCATTTAATTCACGCTCGCGTTAATTTCAAGATTTACAGTACCCCGGACCCATGTGCTTCCATAGCTCTGTTTTTGAATCTGGTTGAATTTTATGACACACTAAAAGTGACGTCAAGTCAAATTACTTTTCTTTCTTGATTGAAACAAGTTGTTTTGTTTGTTTGTTTGTTGTTTAACGTGTCACTATTCGCAATATTTGAGCTACATGACGGCAGTCTGTAAATAATCAAGTCTTGACATCATGAGCATCGACCTATGCAAGTGGGATATGATGACATGTATCAACCAAGTCAGCAAGCCTGACCACCCGATCCTGTTAGTTGCCTCTTAAGACAAGCATGGGTTGCTGGAGACCAATTCTAACATGGATCTTCACGGGTATATTGAAACAAGTGATGATATCATTTGGACTTGAGTAATAATTGAGAGTGAGGTATTTAAGGTATCCAAAAGATAAACATGTTTTGTTTATGGATTTTCTGGCCCCAAAATTCATTTTGTTTAGTCAGAAAAAAAATAAATGAAAACAATCAAATTTCAAATGTTTTATTTCATTTCCTCAAAGTTTTTAGTGGCATTGAGAAAAAAAAAGGTACCTCCTTTCCACTGTTGACACCGATCTGTAATCATATCGTCAAGATTCGTCATAAATTGTTGTGTTTTAAAGTTTTTAAGATAATTTTTCAATAGGTTTTAATTATAATATTTTAAATGATATATTTATATTAATAGCAACAGTAAGTGAGTTTCTTTTAGCCATTATACTTACGTCTGGTCAGTGGAGAAAAAAAAGGACGGCTTTTAATGTTTTTAATAAAGCCTAGCCTAAGTAATAGAAGAAGATGCACATACATTGTAGAAGTTCTATGGTCGTACAGTCAAATATTCTGAAACAGTCTTTCAATCAGTTGAAGGAACTTGAAGCTGAGATAAACAGACTCACCGATGACCTTGAGAATGAGCACAACCTGCGTCAGAGCGAACGGGAAGAACGTGATGAGGAGAGAAGGAAGGAGAAAGAGGATAGAGAGAAGGAAAGACAAAAGGACAAGGAATCCCTCATGGAAAGTAAGTTCAAAAGAGCCGATGGTTCTTTGAAGGTGACAGAGGTCTAAATTGTTTGGCCTTTTCATAATAGTTGTCAAATGTTATTCTAAAAATGTACTGTGTAAGGGCAAGGCCTGGATTTTTGTGTGAGACACAATGTTTTTTTCAGTCAGCTCGCAATGACTATATTTCTCTAAACGGATGAGCATAACAATTGTTTCTGGACCCACAGGACATTATTTTTGGAACAACCATACAGGTCTGTATGCTGAGGGAAAAGTATTATGAAGAAGAGGAATAAAAATTATTTTTTTTGAAAATGCCTCTGTAGGCTGAAATACATGAAATGAAGCCACAGTAATGTGCTGCTAACAGTAGTCAATATATACATGTACTTCAGAGTTGCTGAAATTGCTGAAATCTTTGACAGGCTGGGAAAAGATTTCTCCTAATTTTGACCTTATTCAACATTCAACAATTTTGTTGAATGCTGAGAGTTGAGTGCTGCTAAAGGCCAATTGAAATGTGATGACCTGTAGCCCTGACTGGTTATTTAATACCATACAAAAAAAGAATATATGACAATAACACGGGAGATTACAATTCATGTTTGTTCTGTTTTTCTTCCAGGTCCGCGCCCCCAAAGAGCCGGACTGACGCGCTCGGCCAGTGATGTGTCTCTCAGGAGGATCATAGAGGAGAAAACTAAAATAGAAGGAGAAATAATTCCCCTTCGCAGCAAGATCCGAAGCATGGAGACAGAGATTGGCAAGAAAGAGGATGAAGTAAGACCAAGATCAGTAACATCAGATCTTTGCCCCGTTACACATCCATACAATACTACCCTCTGTCACCTATTAGTGAGTGAGTGAGTTGGGTCTAACGCCGCTTTAACAGTATTCCAGTTATATTGCAGCGTGTCAGCTTACTGTGGGAGGAAAGCCTGAAGTGATGCAGGTCTCAGACATTTACCACTTTGGTAAAACCACGAGCCTGAGTATGGTGCTGACAAACCGGGAGACATAATTAAGGAGAATGGGGATTCGAACCCACAATTTCTGGAGTGCCCAAGGGATGCAACTCTGCACGCCTTAGAGGACTGAGTCACCCGTGCCCCCCTCATCACCCATGAAGTGATGGATTTCATTTCAGTACTTCTCTGAGCCTATGTCTGACTGAGCCTCAACAGGAGGTCACATCAGGTGAACTCTAAGCAAGCTTTGTCTGCCCAATCGAAATATAGGATGTGTTGCTGTTGAGCCAACCAGATATCAGCTTTCTGAAACAGTATGGTTTCATTGTCAAACTGATTGCCATGGACAACACTTTATGACATTTTTGCTGAGATTTTGGTGTCGGGGGAAAAGAATCCACAGTTATTAGAAATTGTTATGTTGTCTTTTGAAAGATAGATCTGTATTGCACAGACACTGTGATGTGGAAACCTAGTCAAGCTAGTCTGAGCCAAGGCCAGGGTTTGGTTCCCATGGGTACAACATGTGAGATCCATTTGTTGTGTCCATCTTCGTGGTATTGCTGGAATATTGCTGAAAGGGGCACACTCACTCACACTTGTGATAAATGATAAAGTGAAAAGCTGTTAACAAGACCACGAAAGTAGCAGGCAATAAGATGTTGATGTAAAATGTCCAGTGTGGGTATAGATCTTCTCGTTGTTCAGTTGAAAAAGATGAAGAATGATATGGAGAAGGGGCTGATGCAGCAGCAGCAACTCCAGCTGAAGAACAAGAACCTGCGAGCTGAGGCAGAGGAGCTGGAACAACAGCTGGATGAGGCAGAGGTAAGACAGGGAGGGTGAAGTAACAGCTGGATGAAGCGGAGGTAATAATTGGAGGGTGAAGTAACAGCTGGAAGAGGCAGAGGTAAGACAGGGAGGGTGAAGTAACAGCTGGAAGAGGTGGAGGTAAAACAGGGAGGGTAAAGTAACAGCTGGATAAGGCAGAGGTAAGACAGGGAGGGTGAAGTAATAGCTGGATGAGGCGGAGGAAAGACAGGAAGGGTGAAGTAACAGCTGGATAAGGCAGAGGTAAGACAAGGAGGGTGAAGAAACAGCTGGATAAGGCAGAGGTAACACAGGGAGGGTGAAGTAACAGCTGGATGAGGCGGAGGTAAGACAGGAGGGTGAAGTAACAGCTGGATGAGGCGGAGGTAAGACAGGAAGGGTGAAGTAACAGCTGGATGAAGCGGAAGTAAGAACGGGAGGGTGAAGTAACAGCTGGATTAGGCAGAGGTAACACAGGGAGGGTGAAGTAACAGCTGGATGAGGCGGAGGTAAGAAAGGGAGGGTGAAGTAACAGCTGGATGAGGCGGAGGTAAGACAGGAAGGGTGAAGTAACAGTTGGATGAAGCGAAGGTAAGAACGGGAGGGTGAAGTAACAGCTGGATAAGGCAGAGGTAACACAGGGAGGGTGAATTAACAGCTGGATGAGGCGGAGGTAAGAAAGGGAGGGTGAAGTAACAGCTGGATGAGGCGGAGGTAAGACAGGAAGGGTGAAGTAACAGCTGGATAAGGTAGAGGTAAGACAGGGAGGATGAAGTAACAGCTGGATAAGGCAGAGGTAACACAGGGAGAGTGAAGTAACAGCTGGATGAGGCAGAGGTTAAGACAGGGAGGGTTAAGTAACAGATTGATGAGGCGGAGGTAAGACAGGGAGGGTGAAGTAACAGCTGGATGAGGCAGAGGTATGATAAGGAGGGTGAAGTAACAGCTGGATGAGGCAGAGGTATGATAAGGAGGGTGAAGTAACAGCTTTTCTGGGCTTGTTGATTCTCCTTCTGGAATCAACAGATTCTCATGATTTCTTCATTTCCCATTACATTAAATGTTTTGTTTTGATGTCTTTCTGTTTATTCCCAGTCAAGTGTTGAGAAGTTGTCGACCACCAATGAGGAACTGTCCACAAAGCTTTCCACTTTACAAGAGGAGGTGAAGGTGCTTAGGTCAGAGTCTCAGAAGGCCTCCACACTCCAGGATGTTGTAGACATTATGAAGAACGACAAACAGAACCTCACGGACAAGATGGCAACCTTGAAGAATGACCTTGCTGAAGCTGAGGCTGAAAGGGAGGAATTAACCAATCAAAATACATTGCTAACAAAGAAAGAAGATGAACTGACCAATCACATAGACTCTCTTAAACAGGCGATCGAATTAGCCAATGAGGAGAGAGAAAAGATGTGTAGGGACAAGGATGACCTTTTGGCCTCCCGGGAGGAACAGGAGGGTCAGTTGAGGTCACTTCATGAGGAGTTGGAAACACTCAAGGCTGATAAGACGTCTCTGAGTGAAAACACAGAGTCTATGAGTAAGGACAATAAGGAACTGACCAATCAGATCGCTCAGCTTCAGGAGGAGATGCAGAAGAACCAGTTATCACACAGTCAAGAACTTGCCAAACTAGAGGTGCGTTGCTCTTGGTGTGATAGGTTTTTCTCCTTTTTAAAATGTATCATAAAAATGGATTCAATTTAACATGTATAGAATGAGTTGAGGTGAAATGAGGTTAAACATCATGATCAAGATAGTTGCATGCATGTGTAGCAGGGCGTGGAGTCATCCCACAGATGACATCCTTACCTTGTTAGCTTGCTGATGGGGTTAACCTCTTTGGTCATGTGGACAAGGCGTCCGACCTCTGATTAGAAGGTCCGTGGTTCGAATCCCATCACGGGACTCAGAAATTTTATGGCCGCTACAATGGCGCCCAACGTGGGGATGAGCACGTTCATATTTAATTTGAGCAATATAAGTCTCAGTACCCTATACTATGCGGCCCGGGACGTGCCTTCTGTTGACGGGGGAGTATGTAGCAGGGCGTGGAGTCATCCCACAGATGACATCCTTACCTTGTTAGCTTGCTGACGGGGTTAACCTCTTTGGTCATGTGGACAAGGCGTCCGACCTCTGATTAGAAGGTCCGTGGTTCGAATCCCATCACGGGACTCGGAAATTTTATGGCCGCTACACGTGCGTGCATGTTTTATAATGCTAGCCCATTGAAATAAAATGCTGCAGTTAAACAGGGATACCCAAAAGTCCAATGCGCGCAGTGAATAGTGGCGCCAAAGACGACTTGGCCACCTGTGCCCCCTTCATTGCAATAAATGCTTTTAATAAAACGTTTCCGACAACCTTTTTAGTGACAACATCTCATGGCAGTTTCTTGCTCTTTCAGTCACCTAATGTTCATGATCTACCAACTTTAAAATGCCACAAAGACTTCATTGCTCTGTTTGAATATTTGTCAGATTATTTCATCTCACATGAGAGAACAGAACCAGAAGCTGACTGGTCAAATGTCCGACATCCAGTCAGAACTCAATGACACGCGAGTCAGTGAGAACACCCTCCTACAAACACAGGTTGGTTGTTGTTGTCATGCAGGATTCAAAGTTCACGCCAGTTTGATCTCGGGAGCCACTTTTGGGTTCGCAAACCATAATATTTTCACCAGTGGCCAAATGGAAAAAATGTGTGCACTGAAGGACAATTTTTAGAAAATTTAACCGATTTTCATAATTATAATTGAGGATTGATTGATTGGAACAAACTGATACTGAATTATCGATGACAAAATCTGAACGGATTTCCAACACTAACCTTTGCTGATCTTTGTTTGTTTGTGTTTCTTTCAGAAGTCTCTTATGACCTCAAATGATGACTTGGAAAAGAAGTAAGTGGACACTTCTTTCTGATATTTATACACTGGAATGAGTAACTATGGTAACCAGTTGGTTGTGCCACTGAGGGGACCTGAGCAGTCCCCAGTACGAAATACTTCTTGAACATGAATTGATACATGGGTGTATGTTCATGTGTGATCAGGTGGGTATTCGCAATGCATCATGACACACATAACAGTGAGTTCTGTACCTTGAGACCACCTGTACCTCGAGGCCACCGGGTCATCTATACCTCGCGGCCACCGAGCTCTTAGTGTGTCCCTTTGAGGAGCAGTGGAGTAGCCAAGTGATTGGCTGGTCATGCTGAAGGCCGGGTTTCAATTCCCGACATGGGTACAGTCTGCGAATCTCACTTCTTGTGTCCCCTGCCATGATCTTGTACGATATGTTGCATACCGTGGTGTGAAACAATACTCTTTTCCCTGTTTCAGATATAAGCTTGAGATGGATGATATCACGACCAAGCTGCAGATGACGCTGTCAGAGTTGACCAAGACACGAACCACCCTTGAACATGAACAGTGTGAGAAAACATCTCTCTCTGACAAACTGTCATTTTCCGAGACCCAAATCCATGAACTGACCAAGCTGAGGGCATCACTTGAACAGGAACGAAAGTCAAAATCAGATTTAGAGTCGAAAATTCATGAAACTGAGATGAAGTTAGCGGAAAGGACAATGGTAGCGGATGGGTTTGAGGGTGAGCGTAAACAGAGGATTGAGTTAGAGAGGAAAGTGTTTGATTATGGCAATGTGGAGGATGATCTGACAACAGCCAGAGATAGACTGGATCAGGAGCGGCGGATGCGGAACGACCTTGAGGCCAAGGTCCTGGACTTGGAGCAGATTCTGGAAGACCTGCGGATGGACAATGAGAACCTGCAGCACACCATGGGCAACAAGGTGGGTACCCGGTAGTATGGTCTACCTGCAGCACACCATGGGCAACAAGGTGGGTACCCGGTAGTATTGTCTACCTGCAGCACACCATGGGCAACAAGGTGGGTACCAGGTAGTATGGTCTACCTGCAGCACACCATGGGCAACTAGGTGGGTACCCGGTAGTATGGTCTACCTGCAGCACACCATGGGCAACAAGGTGGGTACCCGGTAGTATGGTCTACCTGCAGCACACCATGGGCAACTAGGTGGGAACCCGGTAGTATGGTCTACCTGCAGCACACCATGGGCAACAAGGTGGGTACCCGGTAGTATTGTCTACCTGCAGCACACCATGGGCAACAAGGTGGGTACCTGGAAGTATGTTCATACCTGCAGCACACCATGGGCAACAAGGTGGGTACCTGGAAGTATTGTCTACCTGCAGCACACCATGGGCAACAAGGTGGGTACCCGGTAGTATGGTCTACCTGCAGCACACCATGGGCAACAAGGTGGGTACCCGGTAGTATTGTCTACCTGCAGCACACCATGGGCAACAAGGTGGGTACCAGGTAGTATGGTCTACCTGCAGCACACCATGGGCAACTAGGTGGGTACCCGGTAGTATGGTCTACCTGCAGCACACCATGGGCAACAAGGTGGGTACCCGGTAGTATGGTCTACCTGCAGCACACCATGGGCAACTAGGTGGGAACCCGGTAGTATGGTCTACCTGCAGCACACCATGGGCAACAAGGTGGGTACCCGGTAGTATTGTCTACCTGCAGCACACCATGGGCAACAAGGTGGGTACCTGGAAGTATGTTCATACCTGCAGCACACCATGGGCAACAAGGTGGGTACCTGGAAGTATTGTCTACCTGCAGCACACCATGGGCAACAAGGTGGGTACCCGGTAGTATGGTCTACCTGCAGCACACCATGGGCAACAAGGTGGGTACCCGGTAGTATTGTCTACCTGCAGCACACCATGGGCAACAAGGTGGGTACCAGGTAGTATGGTCTACCTGCAGCACACCATGGGCAACTAGGTGGGTACCCGGTAGTATGGTCTACCTGCAGCACACCATGGGCAACAAGGTGGGTACCCGGTAGTATGGTCTACCTGCAGCACACCATGGGCAACTAGGTGGGAACCCGGTAGTATGGTCTACCTGCAGCACACCATGGGCAACAAGGTGGGTACCCGGTAGTATTGTCTACCTGCAGCACACCATGGGCAACAAGGTGGGTACCTGGAAGTATGTTCATACCTGCAGCACACCATGGGCAACAAGGTGGGTACCTGGAAGTATTGTCTACCTGCAGCACACCATGGGCAACAAGGTGGGTACCCGGTAGTATGGTCTACCTGCAGCACACCATGGGCAACAAGGTGGGTACCCGGTAGTATTGTCTACCTGCAGCACACCATGGGCAACAAGGTGGGTACCTGGAAGTATGTTCATACCTGCAGCACACCATGGGCAACAAGGTGGGTACCTGGAAGTATTGTCTACCTGCAGCACACCATGGGCAACAAGGTGGGTACCCGGTAGTATGGTCTACCTGCAGCACACCATGGGCAACAAGGTGGGTACCCGGTAGTATTGTCTACCTGCAGCACACCATGGGCAACAAGGTGGGTACCCGAGAGTATGTTCATACCTGCAGCACACCATGGGCAACAAGGTGGGTACCTGGAAGTATTGTCTACCTGCAGCACACCATGGGCAACAAGGTGGGTACCCGGTAGTATGGTCTACCTGCAGCACACCATGGGCAACAAGGTGGGTACCCGGTAGTATTGTCTACCTGCAGCACACCATGGGCAACAAGGTGGGTACCCGGTAGTATTGTCTACCTGCAGCACACCATGGGCAACAAGGTGGGTACCCGAAAGTATGTTCATACCTGCAGCACACCATGGGCAACAAGGTGGGTACCCGGAAGTATATTCATATCTGAAGTACTTCATGGGCAACAAGGTTGGTATCTGAAATTGGAATATTGCCTCACTGATCATCAGTTATGGTGAAGTTGAATAACGAAACAACGAGCATCACCAAACCAGGATAATAGCCCAAGGTACTATAATATATAATAATACTATAACATTTTGGGGCCCTCTGGAAATGTCAAGTGTTATAGTTGCTGAATTTAAGTTTTGGACAGGATCCAAGTCATCATATATTATGCATATCCTGTGGTCCTTAATGGGCCATAATCATACCTTGTCTTTTAAAAGCGTTACTCAAAAAAGCATCTTTGTCACAAATCCCGTTTCTGCTAGCTGACATCGCTACTGTTTTGCTAGGTGAAGTCTCTGGAGGCCCGAGTCAGGGCGCTGCAGGATGATCTCTTCACAGCGCAGGACGAGCTGCAGATAGCACAGGAGAAGTATGAACAGGTAGGAGGCCAGAAACTCTGGTAGCCATGGAAACATACCCGCTTAATGATTCCACAACTGTAGAACAAAGAAGAAATGAATAATGCTAATGTTGCACAAGCAGAGGCGGACATATATTGAATAAATTTGTGTAACCAAAGGCAATTCAGCTGTGTTTGTCAGATAATAATCCAAGTAAATAAAGTGAAGCATGTCCATGATATGGCTTAAAAAAGGATGACTTGTTCAGCATGATTTAGTGAACAACCATATTTGATGTAATAAGCGCCCACAGCGATATTTGCTAATAATTTGCCAGTGAACAATCCTTATTAGCACCCCTTCCGATTGCTCAATGTGCACAAGACTTATTTATTCGTGTATAATATGCACTCGTGTGTTATATGCACCCTTGTTTATACATAAACATTTCCGTCTGTCAGCATAAACCATGAAATTTATCATTCAACTCTGAATTTTTCACCAAAATATTATTCTAAGAAGAGCCCCCTATTTCTAATTTTGAGAGCACCCTGGGCGCTTATTACGTCGAATACGGTAATGTGTCAGTGAGATATCAACTGACATCGAGTGGAGCATCAGTTGCTTGGGTTGTCCTCTGTCATGTTGTAATATCCCCCACATAGTGCAACCCCCAACAACTAAAAATTTATTGCAACACTGACAATTTGGACTGTTGTCCCGATCAACTAAGTTATTGCATTATTTCAGGATTTATCCTGACCTGCTCAGAGGCTGATAATTTAACCCTAAATCTGCAGCAAATGTCAGTCAAAATTCCAAATTGTATTTAAAACCATTTTCCAATTCATGCTGTTATAATTAAGGTGCATGAAAGGTACATGACTTTTGTTTCACTGAAAACATGGCCAAAATAGATTACGAGGCTTAATGCTTTGTATAACATTATTGCATTGAATGCAATGGTGAAATTCAATGTTTAAATACCTCGGAATTTAAGAAAAAAATAACTTTAATAAAAATCCGAATTTCGAACAAGATAACAATATTTCCCAATTTGCCTATCAAGGGTACCCAATTAAACCAAAACAGTTTGTATTGCACACAAGAAATTAGTCACAGTGCAGCAATTATATTTTTTTTATCCTGAAAAGTTTAATTCTTATAATTCTTTTCTCCTGTATTTAGGAATTTTGGGGGTATAAATCTGACATCAAGTGGAGCATCAGTTGCTTGGGTTGTCCTCTGTCATGTTGTAATATCCCCCACATAGTGCAACCCCCAACAACCCAGCAACCTATGCTGGTCGTAAGATGTGACCAATGGATTGGGTGGTCAGGCTCTGTGACTTCGTTGATGCATTTCATTGTAACCCGTGCTCATATCACTCACTGGATTGTCTGGTCCAGACCCGCCTATGTACAGGTGCCTGATACAGCTGGAATACTGCTGAATGTGGAATTAAACAACAAACAAACATATTGCAGGCTGCAGCAGAGTTGGAGGCGTTGAAGGTGGAGTCAAGGATTCAGCAGGAGACGCTATCCCAGCTGCAGATGATGCCACCGGCGCCGGCGCCAATCCAGGTCAACACCAATGGTCATAACGTGCACAAGTCACAGGACATGATCGACGGGGACAACCGTACCAATGATAGTTCCAAAGATGTTTCTGTAAGTGTATGCAGTTTTTCATATGAAATAATGAGGCTGAAAAGAATAGCCACCACGCCCTGACCAAAATCTTGAAGGGTGGAGAGTTATATGTGAGTTCCTGCATTCTAACTTTATAAAATGTTCATGCGAATTATACATGTCTTTTCAGGGTTCATTTTTAGTGGCCAAATGCCATCCTTTTGTTTCAACTGCTGGTGTGCATGGGAGAGTCAAATAAGAACAACTGTTGATGTAAAGGAAGAGATAGGATAAAAGCCGTTTTGGCCCACTGAAAAATGAGCATTTCTGATTAAATGCAATGTTTTTATACTTACCTGACGCAACACAGTGCTTTAGCTTTTGTTTTTGGAGTTGTGGAAAACTTTTAAATATTGGTGTGAGCCTTTGATTCCTTCTTAAACTTGCAAGTTTTGGACTTCTGACATGATCAAAAACGTAAGTATGGCTAAAATGAGTTGAACAAATCTATCTGGCCTCAACCGATTGAAGTAAAATGATTATTCAAAAAGTGTTGAACCCAACTCACTCACTCACTCACTCACTCACTCACTCACTCACTCACTCACTCACTCGATGACTCACTCACTCACTCACTCACTCACTCACTCACTCACTCACTCACTCACTCACTCACTCACTCACTCACTCACTCACTCACTCACTCACTCACTCTTGACAGGAGCTTGAGACCAGCCTGGAGCTCTCCAATGCCAAGCTGCAGGAGACGTTCGGTGCCCTGCAGACCTCCTCCAACAAGGTGAGTCAGCTGCAGCAGGATCTTCGGTCATCCAATCAGAAGCTGGAGCAGCTGCAACAGGATCTCCGGTCATCCAATCAGAAGCTGGAGCAGCTGGAGCGAGACTTCCAGCATGCTGAAAAGTCACTTGAAAATGCTGAAACCCAACTTGCCGAGACAAAGAAAGAACTCGCTCAAGTGGTGAGTTCTCGCGACGAGGTAGAATCTCGGATGCTGGAGTTGAGACAGGAGGTTGAGGCTGTGACTCGTGAGCGAGATGGGTGTAAACGGGAGACGGAGCTTGCAAAGACAGCCAATCAGTATGGCTCGGAGGAGAGACAGAAGCATCTGGACAGGATCAAGACTGTGGAAGAAATCTCGCGACAACTGGAGCTGGATAATAGAGAGATGGCCAAAAAGGTAGGACAGTTTGGGGGGCAAGATGATCACTATAACATCAAGGCCCCATTCCTCAAAGCGATCTTAGCACTACAATGATCGTAAGCCTATGTTAAAGTACAGGACTTACACTCACCTTAGCGCTAAGATCGCTTTGAGGAACGGGGCCCTGGTCTTTACTCCAATACGATATCTGTCTGTGTGAAGAGCTGACAGACTCTCCAAAGGAGGTCGTGTTAGGTGGACTTTCTAATCACTTGATCATTGTCAAGGTTTGATTCTCAGTACAAACCATGGAAGTATTCCCAGCAGCATATCTCATTTCTCATCTCAAAAACGAACATAAATGGTCAGTTCTAAATGAAAAATAGTAATTGCAGAGCAAAGATATTGTTATGGATATTGTATACACCCTTTGCTTCTGTGTGCCAGGGGTTTGTGTTAGAAAATCTTTTGTTATGATTGAAATTTGCAAATAGAGGTAGAGATAAACCAGAATGGTAGAAATCTGATGTCTGATTGACCCAAGAACCTATGCATGCTTCAGTCAGAAAGGGCTGTCAGAGTAAGCTCAGGCTCTTTCAATGTGACATCCCATGAAGAGTCTGTCAGATATTCACAGAGAGGTATCATATTGGATAACAGATCTGTTTTTTAAAGAGATTATAGGCAAGATTATCAATGGATGTGGGCGGTGGGGTACCCTGACGGTTACAGCTTTCAATCGTCAGGTTGATTCCCAACAATCAAATTTGTGGATTCCCTCTGTGATATTGATGGAATATTGTGAAAAAGGGCATAAACCCCAACTCACTCAATCACTCATCACTGTCTTGTATCTCACTCAGTATGCAGCATGAGGTTGCAGCATGCCTTCTCAGCGTGACAAACACCTTCAAGACTATCAGTTGCTGTCTCTCTACTTCAGTTGAAACAAGAACAAGTCACTTGTCCTTGGATTTTTGTTTTAAATTGTATTTTTGTTTAGCCCATCAGTTTCTGATGTTTTCCTTTTCCTAATTAGAGAATCTATTTGAAAGAAATTGTCAACCATTTTTGGGGGAAAACGTTATATCTGTATCAAAATATTACCTATAAGATTTTGGTGGTCACAAAATACAAAAAAAGATGTACTCTTGATCTTCAAAGATTTTATAGGTTTTGAACCAAGGAATTCAAGTCAGCAGAATTTCAAGGTCTTGCATTTAAATCAATGTTTTTACCATGGATACAGCATGTTACATATTTTATATAGCATGGCAAGAATTTTAAGAATGATCATTGGGCCAGACCAATTTAACTGTGTGTTTTATGGGTCCACCTGTCCCTAGTTAGTAATTTCAAAACAAATAGGCCACAGAGGTCTGTAATGGGAAACAAGAGTGTTTAGTAACATTGTATCTCCCGATCAACCAAGTTATGCATTATTTCAGGATTTATCCTGACCTGCTCAGAGGCTGATATTTAACCCTAAATCTGCAGCAAATATCAGTCAAAATTTCCAAATTGTATTTAAAAACATGAAAGGTACACGACTGTTATTTCACTGAAAACATGACCAAAATAGATTACGAGGCTTAAATGCTTTGTATAACATTATTGCATTGAATGCAATGGTGAAATTCAATGTTTAAATACCTCGGAATTTAAGAAAAAAATAACTTTAATAAAAATCCGAATTTCGAACAAGATAACAATATTTCCCAATTTGCCTATCAAGGGCACCCAATTAACCCAAAACAGTGTGTATTGCACACAAGAAATTAGTCACAGTGCAGCAATTTTTTTTTTTATCCTGAAAAGTTTAATTCTGATAATTCTTCTCTCCTGTATTTAGGAATTTGGGGGTTAAAAATCTGTAAAACAGGAATTAAATTAGTCTGGCCCTACTCACATTGTAAATGAAATTACACCCTGATTAGTGTTCACTCCACTATTTTGACATTTATATTACAAGAAGACTATGCATGTTGTATTGGTCACCGAGTTGTTCACTGCAAGCTGCCTGTGTTATGTTCAGTTGTCTGAGACCATGGCACAATGTGACACCTTGAAGGATGAGCTCCACACAGAGAGACAGAGAGGTACAGGTGTGTGGCCAGTTTATACTAACCATCTGATTGAACACAACAAGCATTTTGTCAGTCGGCTTTCATAGAATCATCAGTCATGATCAGAAAAAATAATCAAAATCTCATCTGAATCTCAAATCCCTCATCCATGGGAATCATCCATGTGATAACTGTTTTCTGTTTATGTCCTAAAAAATTGACAGGAAATCAATTTCTGCTTGAATTCATTGTGATGTACTTTCCTTATAAATTTTCTTGAAGTTAAAACAAGTTTGTAATTTGGATTTTACTTATGTTTCACATTTGTGAAATTCTGGCTTTACTCTCATATATATAACCTGTAAAGATATATACAATCTGGAATATAACTACACATGCTTTTTGGTTCAGTGCAGATTTTGCATTAATTGTTTATTGAATGAGTTGATTGCTTGTGCATGACCTTCACATTTACTGTTTGGAATGTTTGTTCAAACACTGAATTTTGTACTGATCTGTATGGCCAGAAACAACTTCTTCCTTTAACAAGAAAAACTGTTCTTCAGTTGGTTTGTCAAAAGGCCAAGTGTGCACAGTTTCATTATGGATTGTCCAGTGTATTAGCTTTGTCTCTCCATCTTCCAACCAGTTGTAGAATTTATCTCAAACATGAATAGGGGGCACGGGTGGCCCAGTCGTCCTATGCAACCGCGATTCGCTGTGCAGAGTTGCGTCCCTTGGGCACGCCAGAAACCTATGATTGTGGGTTCGAATCCCGATTATGTTTCTAGGTTTGTCAGCACCATACCCGTGCTCGTGGGTTTCACCGAAGTGGTAAACATCTGAGACCTGCATCACTTGGGGCTTTTCTCCCACATTAAGCTGACACGCCGCGATATAACTGGAATACTGTTAAAAGCGGCGTTAAACCCAACTCACTCACTCACTCAAACATGAATAGATTTTGACTGGATGGCATTCTTTGGCATTGTGCCATGAAACCTGGGAGTTCTGGTAAAGAACTGGACCAGGGTCCCCTTGCACAAATCAGTCTCAGCACTGCCACTATTAGGAACCGATGATAGGCACAGGAACCGATGATAGGCACAGGAACCGATGATAGGCACAGGAGTACAACTGTCCCAGCACTACAACTGCTTTGTGCAAGTGGTCCATAGGTGTTTACCATCATCATGGAGATATAATACCCTGGATAATCGAAGATGGGATAATTTGGAAGCTACCGAAATCTACGTGGGAGGTTAAAATAATCTGATAACACATAGGCACAATATTGTGACTATTTTGGTGATTTAATGACAAGGGATTACTGAAACAAACTAAGCAGTATTTCTGAAAAACGTAATCCAGAAGAAAAAGACTGGCCACACACATCAGTAGATTGACTTGTGTCTTGGAGTTTATATTGAATGTTTAACTTTGCTACTTGTTTGGTGTTCGTTGTATTGGTTTGTGTTCCTTAATGTCAACTGTTCAGGTTTAATGGACCCTGGGGATTCCCAGTTAGAATAGGTTAGAAACACCCTCTGCTCAGTGTAAGAGGTGGCCAAATGGATCAGGTGGTCAGGCTTGGTGACTTGGTTGATTGGGTGTCATTGTACCCCGATGGTGTGGATCGTTGCTCATAATATCGATCTCTGATTGTCCAGGTTTGATTATTGACAGAGAGTGCCTTCATAGAGCTGGAATATTGCTGAGTGTGGCATTAAACAACAAAATGATCAAATTAACGGAAGTTTATTGACTTAGCCTGGTAATGTAGAGGTGGAACGATTCACTGATACATTGAGGTATCGTAGGTTCATCAAATGCTACATGGTTAATATTTTGATCCTGACTGGCTGAGTAGTCATTTCAGCACATTGCTCTATTGTTTTCTGAATTTCCACACTGAAAGATGGGTTATGACCATCAGTTGTGTCATTCTTTCTATATCACGATCTGTCATGCATCAGGACTTCAGTATTGTGAATCATCCCAGCTCTAATGCAACCATCCCATGGAAATTATACACATATTATATACACATAAGGTGGACTGGTAAAAGCATGGAAGGTGTAAATGTCTTCTTCATACTTTGAATTCCAGAATGCATCTTTAAACGAAGACAGTGTCCACAATGTGTTACCTGGTTGGTTGTGTGTCATTGTACCATACAAGCATTGATTGTTGTTCATGCTATCAACCACTGGTTTGTCTGACGCAGATGCAATTAGTTACAGGTTGTAGCTGGAACATTACAGACTATGGTGTTCAACACAGTTCTCTTTTCTCATACTTTCAAAATTAGCATGATTAACGCATAAAAGATAAAAAAAAGTGCATGTCTGTGGTCATCACAAGATCACTGTTGAACCAATCACACTAAACAGGTAAGATATACTGCAGAGATAAACAGTCCTATCCTGATGAGGATGTGACATCACATTCCCTGCCTGTCTCCGGAGAAATATGGGTCCAGGATGGCCCAGTCGTCTGAGATACAGAGTTTTGTCCCTTGGGCATGTCAGGAACGTATGGTCCTGATTACAAATCCATGTTTGCCGTGATTGTGTTTCGAACTTTGTCAGTATTTTACACATGCTTGTGGTTTTATGAAATTGCATTACTAAAGTCTGACAACCTGAAAAGTCATGATATAGCTGAAAGACTGTGCAAGTTTGTGTTTAACGCAAGTCACGTCCTCCCTCCAGAGAAGCACAGCCAGAATGTGCGCTACATCCAGCAGCTGGAGGCGGACCTGGACGTGGCCCGCGAGCAGAACAGGCAGCTGCGGGAGGAGCTCCACACACATCAGACTCGGGTGTTCAAGCTGGAGGCCAATGGGGTCGGACAGTCGGTGAGTGGGGAGGGAAGGCAGTACTCCTCAAATGTGGGAACTGTCTCTCATGATGATGTTGATGATAATACAAATTATGATATTAAAATGGCAATTCCGACTATGATTTCCTGAAGGTGATGGTGATAATCGTATAATTAAACTGATCTTAATTCTGATTCATTTTTATGAATATGACAGCGATAATTATTTCATGGTGACCTTGGTGAAAACGACTTGTAGATGATGGAGATTGCAGTAATGGCAATGACAGTGATGATTATGTAGTGATGAGGATGGGGATGACAGTGATGTTGATGATGTTGCAGGCGAAGTACGAAAGCACCATCACGCGTAGGGAGATGGAGTTGAAGGAGGTGAAGTTGTACCACAAGAAGGAGCTGGCGTCGTTGACGGAGAAGTTGGACATTGCTGCCGCTGAGGCCAGGGACATGAGGAGCCAGCTAAGGGAACGAGAACAGGTTGGTCCCCACTTTGTTGTGTATTGCTGGGGGAACAGGTTGGTCCCCACTTTGTTGTGTATAGCTGGGGGAACAGGTTGGTCCCCACTTTGTTGTGTACAGCTAGGGGAACAGGTTGGTCCCCACTTTGTTGTGTATAGCTGGGGGAACAGGTTGGTCCCCACTTTGTTGTGTACAGCTAGGGGAACAGGTTGGTCCCCACTTTGTTGTGTATAGCTGGGGGAACAGGTTGGTCCCCATTTTGTTGTGTATATCTTGGGGAACAGGTCGGTCCCCACTTTGTTGTGTATATCTGGGGGAATAGGTCGGTCCCCACTTTGTTGTGTATAGCTGGGGGAACAGGTTGTACAGCTATATACAGTTGTATTCTTTTTGTAACATTTATTCACAAGAAATTAACCTCAAATCAACACTGGTCACATTGGCTAAAAATCTCTTTTTGCCTTCTGAATATAGACATATTGACCAAAACAATCTATTAAACAAAACTGATCCTGATCAGAAACTGCTCTTTTGTCATGAAATATGCATGATGCGTAAAATATAAAGTGTGTATAAGTTTGTCCCATGACATGTGTGAAATGGTACCTACTTCCCTGCAGGAACTCCTGAAGCAGCAGAGCGACACTTCCAGGAGCAGGTCCACGGTTGACCGCCTCGAGGCCCAACTCAACACCGAGGTCAAACTCAGGACGGACTATGAGAACAGAAACCAGGCCCTTGACCAGGAGATGACCAAGGTAGGCTGTGCTTGTTTTGGCCGAGGTCTGGTCAGGTGAAGGTGACCAAGGTAGGCTGTGCTTGTTTTGGCCGAGGTCTGGTCAGGTGAAGGTGACCAAGGTAGGCTGTGCTTGTTGGGGCCGAGGTCTGGTCAGAAGGTGAAGGTGACCAAGGTAGGCTGTGCTTGTTGGGCCTGAGGTCTGGTCAGGTGAAGGTGACCAAGGTAGGCTGTGCTTGTTTTGGCCGAGGTCTGGTCAGAAGGTGAAGGTGACAAAGGTAGGCTGTGCTTATTTTGGCCGAGGTCTGGTCAGAAGGTGAAGGTGACCAAGGTAGGCTGTGCTTGTTGGGCCTGAGGTCTGGTCAGAAGGTGACCAAGGTAGGCTGTGCTTGTTGGGGCCGAGGTCTGGTCAGAAGGTGAAGGTGACCAAGGTAGGCTATGCTTGTTTGGTCCGAGGTCTGGTCAGAAGGTGACGAAGGTAGGCTGTGCTTGTTGGGGCCGAGGTCTGGTCAGAAGGTGAAGGTGACCAAGGTAGGCTGTGCTTGTTTGGGCCGAGGTCTGGTCAGAAGGTGAAGGTGACCAAGGTTGGCTGTGCTTGTTGGGGCCGAGGTCTGGTCAGGTGAAGGTGACCAAGGTAGGCTGTGCTTGTTTGGGCCGAGGTCTGGTCAGAAGGTGAAGGTGACCAAGGTTGGCTGTGCTTGTTGGGGCCGAGGTCTGGTCAGGTGAAGGTGGACAAGCTGTGTCCTTTTCTCAGTGTGGTTATTGGGGCGGTCGGGTAGCCTAGTGGTTAAAGTGTTCGCTCGTCACGCCGAAGACCCGGGTTCGAATCCCGGCATGGGTACAATGTGTGAAGCCCATTTCTGTTGTCCCCCGCCGTGATATTGCTGGAATATTGCTAAAAGCGGCGTAAAACCAAACTCACTCACTCACAGTGTGGTTATTGTTTTCTGCTGCTGTGAAATTGTTTCCAAATGGCTGACAGCAGCATCAACTTACCAGGGCTGGGAGGAGTCCAAATGTACCTCCCGGGTACTTGCCCCCCAATTACCCGACCTGCTGTATGTCACAGAGTTGGGTAGAAAATGACCTATTTAGATTCATGTGTAAAACGATCTGATCAAGCATACACTGAAGTTGACTGAAGCTTCATCTATACTCAAATAAAAGAAGTCCGAAGGATTGGGTGCATAGTCAGAAAGAAATGCAAACATTAGTGATTTGTAGTGTAATTATGCAGTTTTATTGTTATTGTCATGAAACGATATGTCATGTGACTAAAAACGGGTCCGGGTAGTCCTCTGGGTACTGATCAGGCCCCACCCGATCTGAGTATCTAAGTTACCGAAAGCCTGCACATACATTTTGGCTTTGATACTACATGATGGCAATAAGTTGATTTTCAATGACCACCCTAGTTCGATGTGTGACCTTGACCTCTGCCCTTAGATGTTTTCCATGCTTGTCAAGGTATGGAGCCAGGTCCGGACGCTGATGGAGAAGAACGCCAACCTGGAGAACACAAAGAGGAGTCTGGAGGATGAACTGGATAGGGTGAGGAAGAGCTTTATGTGTTCTAGATGAAATTCAGCAGATGTTAAAGCAGATGAAACAATGGTCCTCTGTGCATAACATTCAAAGTGGAAGCAAATATTCACTGCGAGTCCCATTGGATTCTTCTCTGATCAGAAATGCAATCTAATTTCTCCATCTATAGTTAGCATAAGGCATCACCAATACTTGTATCTGTTGGTACAGTGGTCACTCAATGACCCGATTTGAACGAGACTGTCCTGTGACACCCCCTTTTGGTATGTGGGACTCAGGGTCCATTTAGAGGGTAGTTGAGATTCAGCAATGTGGTACGCAGGAGACAAATTAAATGGTATTTGGTATGCAGATTCAACATTTTAAAATATAATGACTGTTTAAGTTAACAAATCCTACAAATATTTTATTTTTATACCCCCGATCTAAAAGGGCAGGCATATACCGGTGTTATACCAATAGGAGAGGTGCAGTGCAAGGTTTGATTGTTATATGTTTATTTTCTGAAAAAAAGAAGATTTTTTTCATGTTTTAAACTTAGAAGTTTTTAACTTAAACATTTATGCGACCTTTAACTTGAAACTATACTTTATGGATTTTTTTCCAATTCGGAGTACAATTTCTATACCAATAGGAGCGGGGCAGTGCAAAGTTTGATTTCGATAAGTGGATTTTATGAGAAAATATTGCTTTTTTAATTTTTTGAACTTAGAAATATGTTGGAGTCGAAGTCAGGGGTACTTATGAGCCCTGTCACTATGTGCCTTTTTTAGATAATTCTTTAATTTCAAATTGGGGGGGGGGTTTGGCACCCTCTTGAATGTCCAAGGCCCATTTGCACAAAGCGATCTAAGCGCTAAGCCTATCGTAAGCCTATGTTAAAGTATGGGAGTTATGATAATCTAAGCGCTAAGATTGCTTTGTGCAAGTGGGCCCTGGACCTCAAAGCCTTATGAGAGTTCCAAGTACTTGTATATAGACCATGTAAGATGTGATCGAGCAGGAGCATTGCTTGCTGTGGCATTAAACAACATTCACTCACTCCTTCTGACAGAGAAGTAGCAGCTCAAGGCAGGCGGAGAATGTGTACGCCCAGACCTCCGCCAGTCAGGAGGCCACCATGAAATCACTGTACAATAGGACAGAAACTGCAGAACTGAAGGTAACCAATCAGATAGCTTGTTACATGCAGCTATGGCTTTTTGGCTCCAGTGGTAATAGCATTTGAGTGATGTGATAAATAACACTTGAATAATCAATATTATCAATAAGGTTTTTATATTTGTTTAATACATTTTCCAAAATAGACTTTGCAATATTTTTTTGTTTTCTGTGAGATATTTGTTCTAGAAAGCCTTCTTGATGTGGCTGTTATCCATATGTTGTTTTCTTTATTTTCTATTCATTGTTTATGAGTGTGTTCTTTTGCATGGCGCATGGTATTCCTCTCTAGCTCTTAAATTTTGTGACAGAAATAGAAAATAATATTGGTCAATGGAACTGACAGAAGTTTATCTGAATTCAACCATCTTATTTTAATTGCATTTTGGAATCCGTTTTTCACTGTGAAGACATTTCTGATGTCCTTGGTGAAATAGAAAGAAGTATATATTTGATGAACATTATTCCATATTCATTTGAAATAACATTTGTTGCCTACACATGTGATGAAATCTAAGCCAGTCTAGCGGTTACAGTGTTCACTTGCTCATTCGTCATGGTAAAAACACCAGTTTGAATCCTCACACGGCCACCAGGTGGCTAACTCGTGGTGTCCTGTCACTTTAAATTACTAAACTGGCTAAAATGTCACTGATTCACGATATATGTTCTTTCGTTAGTCACAGATAATGGCATCATCGTCAGACAAACCAGTAAGAGTCGTAATTAACATTTGCGTTACATTTTACATTTTAACATTTATATTTACGATCAAATGTATTGTACCTTCTGTTATATGATCAGTCCACATGTACCAGGTTTATTTAGATTACAAAGCTGCTATACAAAAGTATGATCATACATTGTCTTTGTGATTAGTTTTTTTTAGTTTCCAGGCGTTATTGTCTCTTATCCCCATTGTAATCCCTTCCACATCCCTTCGCTGTGCAGACTTCCATCCCTTACAACCTGGATAGTCGGTTTTAATCCCACATTTCACCCTGATCATTTTTCTGTCTCTGTCACCACTAGGGCTGGCAAAAAAGATCGATAATGGGAATTACCATCAATGGGAAGAAATATAAAAGATTATCAATATGAAAATTGTGTCATCGATAATATCTTACATAAACTATTTTGATGAAATACTGTTTAGATTTACCAAAACCGACTTGTTATTGTCAATGTAGTCAATTGCTGAAGGTGGAAAAGTAACTGTTTTTGTTATATATCAAATGTCCACAAAGTGATCCCTGCATAAATGTGACACCACTCACCAGTCGAGTGAAATATGTTGATTTCTTTTGGACTCTTTTTTGTGTATTTGCTGAGAGTTACTTCCCCAATATTTATTGATAATTGATCGATATTTAGTAAACAATTATCTATCTCCATGATCTGTATCGATAGCCAGCCCTTGTCAGCACTATTGTCCCTACCTCTGCTTGTGGGTTTCATGTAAGTGGCAAACATGTAAGGCTTTACTCCCAAAAGCTGACACATCGTGATATAACTAACATGCTGTTCACAATGGCATTCAACCCAAGTCACCCGAATTGCTTTGATCGATGGTCATGATGTCAATCACTGGATTGTCTGGTCCAGACTCGATTATTTACAGACCACCATCATATAGCTAGAATATTGCTGAGTGGGATGTCAAACAACAACCAACCAACTCAGTTTAATGAGATGAGACTTTTGTTCGAGTTGTTTATAGATTCGACAGCTCTACAAAATAAAAATTGAAAATTACAATTTGAAAAGCGCCCTATTTTTTATGACTTCAAAAGTAAACATACATGTAGGCAACAACTAATTTATTCCTTGCGGAATCAGTCGTAGCTTTGTGATGAATAAGCCTGGTACTGAGGAAGAACTGAAATGTTTCTTGTAGAATTATCTCAAACCTAATTCAAAATCATACTTTCCTCTCTAAACAGAAAGGCATGTTCTAACTGATGTGACAATATTGACATAGAGTATGACATTTAAACATTGACCTAGCTGTTTATATACTAACTAGACATTTACCTCAGATTAGCTGAAAACATAAATCATATTTTGTGACAACTATATCCTTTCATCTTTTGTTAACATTGGTAGAATGGTAAATGGTAGAATGTCACAAAGAAGACACAATTTATGGATAACAACTTCTTTAATACTGCAAAGGCGATGTTTCAGTACAGATCCTTATACCGTTGTCAAGCAAGACTGAATGAGGAATTTAGTACAGAATATATATAGTAGGTGGAGGATTAACAGTAGAGGATTAACAGTAACAACAATTGCATACATGAGTACATACATGGTAGAATGTAGCTCTCTGTTAGATGGGGGGCTGAGCAGGTAATCTCATTCATGGGAAATCGTTTTCTCGTACTATTAATTGCTGGCGATCCGTAACCTGTTTTTTATTTTGTATCCTGCTCTAAGTCTGGTTTTACATTCACCTACCAGTTTTAAGTAAAGCTGTGATGTAATACCAGCGATTATACTGTCTTTTGATGATAGGTTTTCGAAATTAATTTTGATGTAAACTTGTTCCAGTGGCTGAAACATTGCCGATGTGGCTTTAATTTCGACTTACTCACTTACTGTTATAGGGAGGCTTGACATTGATTGGCTGATGAGAAATTTCAGTTGAAGCTACCTCCTGTGGAGGGGCTGTCAGATCTTCATGCAGAAATACTGTATCGGAGTGAAAGATCTGATTTTACTGAGCTTCGCCAAGTGGTGTATTTTGTTTAGTTACTGTACAACAGAGCCCTAAGTTTCAAGGTGCCACTGGTCAGGGGTTAAATCCAAGATGCATTCAGATTATAGTCCTTGGTCAGCAATATTCCACGGCTCTCCACTGTGGTAAACATCTATTTTGACCTGTCCTCCAGCATTATGCTGGCATGTTGTGATTTTACTGAAGTACTGTAGTGTTCGACCACACCTCGACCACACCTCACTCACTTGACTCAAACACCTTCTGGCTAGTGAGTGAGTGAGTTTGGTTTTACGCAGCTTTTAGCAATATTCCAGCAATATCACAGCGGGGGACACCAGAAATGGGCTTCACACATTGTACCCATGTCGGGAATCGAACCCAGGTCTTCGGCGTGACGAGCGAACGCTTTAACCACTAGGCTACCCGACCGCCCCGCTTCTGGCTAGTCTAACTAAGCATGTTAACTTTAATGTCTGAGATATCCTGCTGGGTTTACTGCCTCAAGTTTAAGTTTCTAAAAAAATAATCAAGCCCCTCTTTTACTCAAATTTTGTATATGTGCCTTGCGTTTTAGGAACAAATATGTGCCCTTTTCTTGAGGGTAGTGTGTATTGAAATATTGGGAAATCAAATTTTTATTCATAACTGCTTTTCAATAAAACTGTAAAATTACAGACTGAGAAAAAATAACTACTTTTGTCATAACATTTACGAAAAGTAATGTAATTGAGCATCTGTTTATGTTCATAAAAAAATAATGTCGCAAACCAAATGTGTTGATTGAGGACTTGCGCTTAGACAGATAGCTCTTAACACAGAAGATCAAGCAGATTTTAAGGATTAGCATGAGCATGTAAGTAATTGCAATTACATATCCTCCAGCACTGCGACACTTGTGAGAAAGCAGTGGTTAATCCCTAAATACTTTGTGTTAATCCTCCCTGCCCCATACTGTACATACATTACATACGACCTCCAAGGTGTGAGCTGTGATTGGTCCTTTAATACTCTGAGCTCTAAACCCTCATTAATGTGGGCTTGTAACAATGATGTAATCTTATCTAATGAGAATTGGAACTCAGGTTTGTCATGTACAGTCAGTTCTAGTTGTAGATGACTTGTAGACTAGTGTGGAGATACTATACCTCTTGGACTGGCTATAACTGTTAGAGGTAGGTTACAATTCTCTCAGGTAATGTAATATGCTGATAGCCTGAGAATTAATTTTTTCAAAAGTGTTGTTTGTATTAATTGGTTTGCAGATCAACCGAATCAAATGTAGAATGGAATAAACCTAACATCCTAATATTTTTTATCATCCACCAACTTTCCCAAATTGGAATAAAATCAAATTTTGAAAAACTTTTATCTTTAACTTTGTCTTTTTATCTTTCTGTTGATGCAGAGTGTAATTAGCTCCAGTGTAGAGATATAATGGAAGGGAGGTAGTTCTGTCTTGTCATTCAAGAAACACTTCATGTGGCATATATGTTTTGTTAAAGTTCACTGACCATATTTTTTAAGTATAACCCTCTGATCTTGATAAACTCTGGATACCAAATATTGAAAAAGATCTAACTTGTTTTGAGATTTATGGGGACTTATCTAACTTTGTATTCTTCACTCAGTCAGGTTTTTCTATTTGAATAACCTGTTTTACTCAAACAAGAAACATTTTACAACGCTATGGCAAGTGGTAAGGTTGTTCAATGATCATGGGCTCAACATGCCATCTCCTTCATGTAAATATTACATGAACAAGCTGTAACTATACATGTTAGTACAGAGATATGTTAATATGGAACTCATTTTACTTGTACTCGTTCATATAAGAAAATATTCAGACATTGTCCTTCATTTTAATGTTCACTGTCTCCTTCTGTTATGTATTAGAATCTTTTGTTTTGTATTCATATGTAGAAACACTTGCCTCCATTTCTTTGTTGAGATGTTAGTGCTTTTGAAAATTTCAATGATCAAAGGGAGGCAACTCATTTCCTCCTGAACTTTATATTAAAGGTTACAGAACTCTCTCTCCAACCTTTAATTACCAAAGTAAGTAACTGTAGTTATTTCCCTTCTTTCTTTGTCTTCTCAAGCTCAGCTGACGGCACTGATATATGCACAGTCTGTCTACCTAACAAGTGTAATAGATGTGTGTAATGTGTACTGCAGCCATAGTCACTTTAAAGTAGGGACTGGGCATTAATAATTGAGGTGTGTGGGCCAATTAGATTAAGGACAGGAGGTGCGTGTGCGCATGTGCGTGTGTGTGTGTGTGTGTGCATGTGCGTGTGTGTGTGTGCATGTGTGTGTGTGCGCGTGTGTGTGTGCGTGTGTGTGTGTGCGTGCATGTGCGTGTGTGTGTGCGCATGTGCGTGTGTGTGCATGTGCGTGTGTGTGTGTGCGCGTGCGTGCGTGTGTGTGTGTGTGTGTGTGTGTGTGCATGTGTGTGTGTGCGCATGTGTGTGTGTGCATGTGTGTGCGTGTGTGTGTGAGAGGAAAGAGAGAGAGAGGGAGGTGAATAATGGCTAAGTGAAATAGGGGTAATCGGTGAAACTATTGTTCGGGACGATGAAAAAATAACAGTTCTTTATATATAAATTATATATTTGTGTGTTGAGAGTGTGTGTGTATGTGGAGGGGGAAAGAGGGGGTGAAAAATGTTACATGTATTTATTTATACATTTTATTGGGGGAGGGGTGTGGGGGTGTGGTGGTTATGAGTTAATGGAAATGGTTAATAAAAAGGTTGCATAAAATGTTGAGCAATTAACAATACAGTCTAAAGACCGATACCACAGGCCCTCCATCCCTATAATAATGACCAGTCCCTTCATTAGCTTCAATGTTTACATGTATAAACTGAGAGAAACATGATAAGTAGATGCATGTTTTATAATTTTATTATAGAATATTTTAGATTCTACATTAGTGTGTGAAATAGATTATTCTTGAGTTCCATTTGTTTTGTTTTTTTGTAGCAATTTAGATTTAGATTCATGTTTCTATGGGAATGGATAAATTATGTTTTAGTTGTAGATTTCTTCTTGTTGTATATGTTATTTGTTGTGGTTATTTGCTGCTGTCAATATTCTGCTATTTTGCCATTTTTGCTGCTCTATTAGCTTAACTGCTGTTGAAATATAGATGTTTGTGATGACAACAGCTTTGATTTGTGTTTTAAAGTGAGATAAAGACTGCATATCATGCATATCAAATCTTTAATGCTTTTATAAACACATCGAAACAAGGAACATAATTTCCAGTATTTTTTCTCTCAATCTGTCAAATAAAACAACTAATATATGCTGTGAAATATATATGATGCTTGTACATGTATTGTTTTTTAAATACACTCAGTCCACCAGTTTGGTGACCATAATTTAAGCAAGGATAGAATGTTTTGCTGACCAGTTATATCTGTTTCCTTCCTATTACTATAGTTACCGGTAATCTGTCATGTAGATTTTGTCCTTCTTTTAGGGGACACTGGTGGCCCAGTCGTCTAAAATGCCACAATTTACTGTGCTGTGTTGTGTGCTTTAAGGCATGCCACAAACCAACGATCAGGTTTTTGAATCCCCCATTGCCCTGATTATATGTATTGGTTTGTCAGCACCATGCTCATACTCTTAGGTTTCACCAAAGTGGTAAATGTCTGAGACCTGCGTCACTTCGGTCATTCCTCCCACATCAAGCTGAAACGCAGATATATAACTGAAATACTGTTCAAAGTGGCATTACTGGTACTTCATACAAGGGCTGTCAAATGGTAAGTTGACTAGACTGAAAGAAACTTTCAGCTTCACAGACAGTTGTAATATTAGGTAGCCATTGGTGCCTCAGATGAAAGGAGTGAGTGAGTGAGTACGGTTTTACGCCGCTTTTAGTAATATTCCAGCAATATCACAGCGGGGGACACCAGAAATGGGCTTCACATATTGTACCCATGTGGGGACTCAAACCTGGGCCTTCGGCGTGACGAGCAAACGCTTTAATCACTAGACTACCCGACCGCCCCCAGATGAAAGGATCTGCTGGTTGTGGGTTTGACTCCAAGATTTGTCGTGATCGTTGGTCTGTCTGCTCCATGAAAGTAGTGTTGAAACCCACTCACTGTATCATTGTCGGTTAAACTTTATTAGGAATGTGTAAATACAGTGCAGTTTCATTGATGATGTGCTGTTACTTTTTAAATCTCAGAGGGTATTATTTTTTTATCAGAATGATCATCTTTTTTAACACCATGTCCACAACTGAGCTTATCTTTTCTTTCTGTCAATCCTTAAATTACACAACTAATAATGTAGTTTGTATATATAATTGCATACAACGTTTTTTCCTTTTATTTGTTCATATATCTTCACTGTTTAGGGGTGTCGGGTTGCCTAGTGGTTAAAACATTCGCTTGTCACGCCGAAGACCCGTGTTCCATTCCCGACATGGGCATAATGTGTGAAGCCTATTTCTGGTGTCCCCAGCCGTGATATTTCTGGAATATTGCTAAAAGTGGCGTAAAACCATACTCACTCACTCACTCTTCTCTGTTTAGTCATTCATTTTGAGAGAAAAATGTCTATCCTGGGATGGCCATAAATGGTCCGCTGGTCAAAGGCATGAGCTAGAACCTCTGTCCCTTAGCTGTCAACATCCACTATTTTGTGTGAAATATGATCTGTGGTCTGTTAGTGACATACCCATCAGGGCATGTGTGGTCTATTGTCTCAGGTGCAGCAACTTGTAGCAGACCAAGAATTGTGTGTCCCTTAGCAGTGCTAAGATATAACTGAAGTAGGACTAGTTTATGAACTTAATTTACTCACTGTCCCTGTTGTGGGCTGTTGCTTTGGGGGCACTGACCTGTTACTTCTGTGATCATCACATGTTAAAGAGGTAGTGATAACAAGCTTATGTTGAATGCTCCCAGTTTATAAGTTTGTGAATAAATCTCTGCAGTGCACTGTAGCTCTAGTTCAACTCCTGTCTTCACACTCTTCTGCCAGGCTTTACATCACTAATACTCCTCTCACTGCCTTTCCTTTAATCCTTTCTATTCTACTCTGTGTGCCCTCCATCCACCCATCTATCCAGATATTATCGACTTACCTTACCACCATCTTACCTAAGCTTGGACCCACCATTACACCCAGACATCATCTATTCATCATCATCCTCCCAGCCACCAAACCAGGACACCACCCACCCAGGACACCACCCCCACCTCCCATGTGCCACTTTGTTCCGCTACTCTGAAAACTAAATTTGTCTCTTTGTCTACCAACACGTCTTCCTCTGTTCTCACTCTGGTTCTAGAAGTCGATCTACCCTCTGTTTACTTCCAGAAGTATCTTCAACTTCATGTATCTATCAACACGTCTTCCTCTGTCCTCACTCTGTGGTTCTAGAAGTAGATGTACCCTCTGTTTACTTCCAGAAGTATCTTCAACTCCATGTATCTATCAACACGTCTTCCTCTGTCCTCACTCTGTGGTTCTAGAAGTCGATCTACCCTCTGTTTACTTCCAGAAGTATCTTCAACTTCATGTATCTATCAACACGTCTTCCTCTGTCCTCACTCTGGTTCTAGAAGTCGATCTACCCTCTGTTTACTTCCAGAAGTATCTTCAACTCCATGTATCTATCAACACATCTTCCTCTGTCCTCACTCTGTGGTTCTAGAAGTCGATCTACCCTCTGTTTACTTCCAGAAGTATCTTCAACTTCATGTATCTATCAACACGTCTTCCTCTGTCCTCACTCTGGTTCTAGAAGTCGATCTAGCCTCTGTTTACTTCCAGAAGTATCTTCAACTCCATGTATCTATCAACACGTCTTCCTCTGTCTTCACTCTGGTTCTAGAAGTAGATCTACCCTCTGTTTACTTCCATAAGTATCTTCATCTTCAACTCCCATGTATCTATCAACACGTCTTCCTCTGTCTTCACTCTGGTTCTAGAAGTAGATCTACCCTCTGTTTACTTCCAGAAGTATCTTCAACTTCATGTATCTATCAACACGTCTTCCTCTGTCCTCACTCTGGTTCTAGAAGTAGATCTACCTTCTGTTTTACTTCCTGTAATGTATCCTCAACTCCTGTCTCCATGTAGCCACTGTAATGTGTCCTTGGCTCTTGTAATGTGTCCTTGGCTCCTGTAATGTGTCCTTGGCTCCTGTAATGTATTCTCAACTCCTGTCTCCATGTAGCCACTGTAATGTGTCCTTGGCTCCTGTAATGTGTCCTTGGCTCCTGTCTAAGTGCGGCTCCACGTTGCAGGCGGAGAAGCTCCAGAGGGAGCTGCAGGATGTGTCGGTGAAGATGCACAGCACAGAACAGAACCTCCTCCAGGCTGAGTCCACCAAGCAGGACATGCAGGACAAGAGTGATCACATCGTCAGCCTCCGCAACCAGCTGGAAGGGGAAAAGCTACAGAGGTCGGTTGAGAATGTGAAAATCTAATTATTCTTGTATCAGAAAAGCTGACAGGTTGTGTTTGTGTAGAATCTTCTTGGAATGAAGATTATGGAAATCTAATAACTCTTATATAAACACAGCTGAGGATTCAGGAATAGATTAGAAGGGACAGATTACCTTTTTAGCAACCAAAATCAGACTGGCGAAAAATGTAATGCTGACATGTGGCAAAGAACCTCTGAGGACCCAAGTGTCTATTCGTGGTCTGTTCTTAGGTTGTATCAGTTGAAGACATTTTAACAATAAATTTTATCAAAAATGGAAACAAAAGTAGAACGATTTCATCCAAAGAACATCATGAATAAAGTGGTCTTTTTTAATCAGCATTAGTCTGGACCAGTTAAAGCAGCCACACATACACACACACACACACACACACACACACACACACACACACACACACACATGTGCATTCACGTGCAATAATCTTGAATGCAACATTCAACCCCATTTCACCTCACCTCACAAGCACCTGTGGGTAAGAATATAGGTCCCCAGCAATCTATGCTTGTCATAGGAGGCGACTAAATGGATTGGGTGTCAGGCTTGGTGACTTGTTTGGTCCAGATCCGATTATTTGCAGGTCATATGTAGCTGGAATATTGCTGAGCATGGCTTTGAACAACAAACCAGCACCTGTTGTTTCTTTCAGGACCCTGCTGGACCAGACAGTGGCGGAGCTGAAGCACCAGGTGGCAATCTTGAAACAGCGAGAGACGAAGCTGGTAGAAGAGAACAGATCTCTGCAGCACAGTATGATTGACCTTGAGTCTCAAGTGGAAGAGCTTCAGGACCGGAGTGACACAGCGTATGACATGGTAGACTCCTTAATACAACTTGTAGCTATTGTCACAGTAATAAGCAGTCAATTTCAGATGTATTTCACTGCAGAATTTCCAAAATTAGGGACTGGTGGTTTATGACAGTTGGGACTGCCTCCGTGGCCTAGTGGGAGAGCATCTGCCCAGAGAGCGGAAGGTCCGGGGTTTGATCCCCGGCTGCATCATACAACAAGACATTAAGAGATGGTACTTGTTGTTACCCTGGCTGGTGGTCGGCATTAAGGGCCTTAAACAAGGACTGGTGGGCTTGGAGTCAGTGTACTGTGTCTGAGTGGGGTATTCATGTTAAACTGCGGCATGGTATCTCAGTTGGGCTAGCACTATAAAATCAGCATTAGTCTGGACAAGTGGAATAATCTTGAACGCGACTTTAAACCCCACTTCACCTCCCCTCACCTATTACAGGTGGTGTTGGGTAAGAGTTTTTTGATGCAATAATTTACTGAAAATAATTAACCTCCGCTAATGCCTGTCATATTTTTGGATGACCCTCCACATGTTCAATTTTGTCTTGACCCCCCGGGGATGCCAAAATGCAAAAGTACTTTATGTTATATACTGCTCAAATAAAGTTAAAGAGCACCCAATATTTTCAGATGACTACAGTTAATCCATCTTGGCTGGTGGATATTGCAACTCAAAGCCTTCCAATTGTGGGTGTTCCTTAACTAGTTTTGAGTAGTATACTTCAAATGTTCATGTTTTCATGACCCTCCCCAAATATGTGTATTATATTTCATGACCTACCCCTCAAGACTGAGATCTTTGTGACCCTCCCCTGATTACCTCTGACCCACCCACCCCTATTATAAATTATATGACCTTGTTCTGATAATCATGACCTTGAACAACAGCACCACCAAATGTCAGAGGTCGGCAAGAAGACACTGCTTGAACAAATAACCCGACTGCAAAAGGAAGTGAAGGAACTTCAGTATGAACTGCTCTCCACCAATGAGAAGCGAGGACATGCAGAGAAACGCTACGAAGATCGCAAGTTGAGAACAAAAGAGAAGTTGCTTAAAGCAAGGTAAATCTTGTCTGCTGACTTTCTAACACTGAAATTGGTCTTCAATTGTCAATTTCATCAAACTGGTAGAAAGCTAGTTATGGAGTTGATAGGTAGGGGATTCCATGTTCGGGCAGATCTCCAAGCAGCACCTCAAGCTTGTCCTGAATGCCAAGTTGCATGGATGACCCAGGGGGATTTCATGTTAGAATAGGTGCAGAGTTACTTCCCCTTCCTTACAGGATGTGCTGGGACTGGGTTCTAATCCTTGATTTACCCAGACGATTGTCCTTGGTCTGTTAGCTCCACACCAATGCTTTAGGACCTCCTTGTAATGATAGTATCTTTGACCTGAGATGTAGAGATTCCGGACAAGAATAAAGTTCCCCAGCAATCTATGCTTGTTGTAAGAGGTGTCTGAATGGATCGGTGGACGGACTGGCTGACTTCTGTGATTGCTTGTCATCATAACCCAACTGCCTGGATTGATGTTCATGATGTCAATCCCTGGATTTTCTGATCCAGATTCAGTTATTTACAGGTTACTGTAATGCAGCTGGAATATTGCTGAGTGGGGCATTAGAAAACAAACAAACAAACAAACAATCTGACTTGATTCTGTATGTGTTATCATAGCCTGATGGTGTGGATCATAGATCATGCTTTGAGTCACAGGTTTGTCTGGTCCAAACTGTATTATTTACATGCGACAATGATGTATCTGGAATCCTGCTGACAGTGGCTTTATGTGACATTGACAAGCTTACTTACTGGACAAGGAAATTACTCTTGATTGTCCATGGTGCAGGAGAGTGGGATCTGAAGTATGGAGGAATATGGGTCTGGCATGGAGTAACTTTTTGTTTCAGAGAATTCTATTCCCACGAAAAAACACGAATGAATGATCAGATGACCCGAATGGATGAAGATCTACGACTAACACGAGCAACATTACGAAAAGAGCTGGAATGGAAGGAAAAGATGGACATCAATTATAAACAGTTGCTGCAGGAGAAGCGCAACCTCATCACTCAGTAAGTATTACGACCTGTTGACAGCCAGAAGTGCTCTTGTAGGATAACGTTAGGCTGTAATTGCTCTTCCTGTAACTGATAGAATCTCTATGGAGGTTAATATTGGTCCCTTTCTTAGCCTTGGTACGACATAGTCAGCCATGTTTTTCATTCCCCCATCACCATAACATCATTGATATGTTAATCCTCATGCTTTAGTTTTGTAAAGGTCTGCCGATACATTTAGCATAATGTTTTTGTGAAAAATGCAGGTCAATGTGTTTAAAAATTAATAAATTCAGATCAAATTTTTTCTCAACCTTTGATATAACTGGAATACTTTTTAAAGTGGCACTAAACCCAACTCACTCACTCATCCTTTAAGAGCTTACGGCTGCAATGATGTAAATGTCCGATGTTGTTCTGTGTCCAAGTTATGTACTGATCGAGCATTTTGCAACCTGCTTGTACTGTAGCCATGTTCTTTGACTTGTGTCTTGGGAATCTTTCTGAAAAGTGACCTCTGTATCTGCCATTTGAAAGTATTATCATTGTGAAACACTTTGTTGTATAAATGTATTTATGCCAAGTTATATTATTATTCAAACAGACTTCTCTCTTTGTCCCAGCTGTTAACAGTATATTGCCAAAATAACTGCATCGTCAAATCTTCACGGGATTGTGTTCACAAGGTTCCTCCAGATTATTTTTAACCAATGACACGACCTGGTTCCAGGGAGTCCTCACACAAGGGCTGGGACAAGTCCAAATTCATTACCCGGGTACCCACCCCTCTATTACCCAACCCGACCCGGGGACCTACGGTAGTTTTCAAGAGATAGGCCCTGGAAAAACATAATTCAATACACATATTAAAAAAATCTGGTCATGCATACGCTGAAGTTGACTGAAGTTTTATCTTTATTCAAACATATACTCGTTAGAAAAAATGCGTACATAGTCAGTACCCACCCGACCCGAGAACCCGAGTTATCCATCCCAGCCCTACCTCAGACCCAATTACATCAAACACACGGCAGTCGTGTGCAACATGTGCGATAGCCTGTCAGCCGCCTGCTCAGTGCACTGCCTCTATGTTTGGCAGTTGTACGGTTTGAACACAGTTCGTGCCCAGAGCAGCTCGCATTGATGTGGAGCAGTCGGGTAGCCCGGTAATTTTAGCATTCACTCGTCACGTCAAAGACCCGGGTTCAATTCCCGACATGGGTACAATGTGCGAAGCCCATTTCTGGAGTCCCCCGACGTGATATTGCTGGAATATTGCTAAAAGCGGTGTAAAACCACACTCACTCACTCACTCACTCTCATTTGATGTTCATGACGTCTGTATAGAGGGCCTCATTTCATAATTTAAAAAGCTCACTAGAAATTGACACGGTCAATACAAGAATGCATAGTCACCATATGTGTTCAAGGGTGATGGAGGAACGTATTGTTAACAAACTCGGGAGTATTGATGATGTAGTTACTGTTGTGCAGAAAGAAAATTGCTTTTTCTCAATGTTTTGAATTATTTTAATAGCAGCAATCCCAAGTCAGTTAGCAAACAAGCTGGGAGGTAGTATATCAGTAGTCATTGTAGACGTATCGTCAAGCTGTAGCGTATTTGTAGATGTTCATCACAGAGATCATCATTGTTTACTCTCTCCACCATTTGTTCATCTGGTAACTCTTCTTTCTCGCCTACTCCGACTCAAATGCCATTTTGTTTAAGGTATGTGAAACTTTCTGATTTTTCTTCCGTTCTGGCTTCCTGCATGCTTTCACTGTGTTGTCATGTGTGTCTGTCGAGCACCTAACGCTGAGAATTGTTTGTATTTGTTGTTATGCATAATTTACTATTTTGTGAGCCTGAAACCAAAATCACTTTGTTTTTGCAATAATTGTTATTTTCGTCATCATATCAGAAAATAATCCCTGGTTATTATGTGAAAAGCTCTCCATTATTTACAAAATGTATTATGTTTGTGTTTTTTAAGGAAAATATGGACTTTTCAAATAAGAATCAATAGATTCTTTCTGCATTTACAAACAAATTGAAGATTGGAAACAAATAAAAGCAATTAGATAAAACCTAAACACGAGTGTTGTATGCGCTGAGTGGTTTGTTGTGAATCTTCAACCGAGGCCGAGGTCACTCTTACAGTAGGCCCAGGTGTTTAATGTAGTAGTGGTAGCAGTTGTTTGTAACTGATTGTTAATGAGAACTATTTATTTCAATTATTTAATCAACTAATCGAAATCAAGCTCACTCTGTAAAGTTTATCCCCTCAAGAATGAAACTAAGTTTCATTTTGAAACACAGCCTATTTGGGAAACGCACTCTCTTTTTCAAACATTCCTCTTTCTGAGAACTAAGCCTGTATGAAACCTAGCCTCATTTTGAAGATTTTTAAATTTAAACTGCACATTGAGCACATTTTTATTCATTTGTTTTTTGAAAACTTTGTTGCTGATTCTACTCCAAATGTCCATGGTGACTTTACTACTGAGATATATTTTGTACAGCTCCACAGATATATACATTATACCAGGCTGTGTACGCTTTCTTACCTACACTCCCAACCCATTCAGGAGAATAAAACCTGTACTTCGTAACAGTGTTGTGGCCTATTGCCTGAGGGTGGCACAGGTGGCCAAGTTGTCAAGGTGCTGCAGTGTTGCATCCTTTGGGCACACTGGAGACTTATGATCATGGGTTCGAATCCCAGTTTGCCCCTATTCTGTGTCTAGGTTTGTCAGCACCATACCCGTGCTCGTGGGTTTCACCAAAGAGCGGGTGACCTACATCACTTTAGGCTTTCCTCACACATTATTCCGACACTCCGTGATATAATTGGGAAACAAAACTCACTTATTGCATCAATAATGCATTTCCAACTTTTGATATATGTATTACGTATGTACAGATATATAAATCCCATAATCACTCCCATATACCAGACCCTTACACTGGCCGTTCTCACCCTATCCCTCTGTCCAGACCAGACACATCACAGGCTGAATACAGAACAAAACCCCATTCACTCAATCCTTCACTTTTTCTAACAGTAGATGTTTTCATCAAAACATAACAGCAGTTGATGATTTAGTTTCAAATTATTTTTGTGACGTGTTATGAGCCAGTATATTTGCTGTTGTTCATGACGGAGACTCTCTCCGCCAGTGTTATGTTGCCTTTAGATGGTGATGGGTGTATTGTAGAGTGCTTTGTTGTTTATAAGATATGTTTCATAGCTGTGAATAAGAAACTCAACTTCACCTTAAATATTAGAAATATGCTGCACAAAAGAAGTTAACGAACATCCATCTTTTTCATATGACAACAGTTAATCTGTCAAGGCTGGTGTGTATTGCAATACAGCCTTCCAATTGTGGGTGCTCTTCAACTGTTTTGAGGAGTTTTTTATAATAAAATCACACGTACAGTGTTTGCTTACATTTTAAGGCCAGACCATTTTTATTCATTAAAGTCTCCATGTTTTTGACTAAAATATTAAGATACTATGTGTTTAATTAAAAGTTATTGACTTCGTATCCGCACATGTTTGTAGTTCTGTTTCCTTCCAAAAGATTTTCATTGAAAAAGAAATGTTCAACATTCAAATTAACATGTCCAACACTCTGAAATTACTTCAATATCAATGAGCTCTTTCGAAATACATTATTTTATTAGTAAAACAATACATATGACCTTATTCCTGTAATTTGAAAGATAGTTGCTCATATAATGTTACATCATTTTAGCGAAGTTATATTGTTTTGTTTCCTATTCATTAAATTTGGGGAAAATACTCTTAATATTTTAAATCATGGAAAGATCTTGATGTGTTTTCTAACAGACGTGATTCATTAGCAACCACACAGTCACACATTTTCCGCAAAGAGAAACAAATAACCTGTGCATAGGACTTTTTGAAGTTTGATTCGTTTGAAGGCAATATTCATTACACAAGAATCTTCAAGGATATTTACAAAATCTGTTTTAATTTTTTTTAAATAATTTACAATCACATGCAGCAGAGTTATTTCCCTTCACTACAGATGTGAGAGTTACTTCCCTTTATGCATGTTATGAAGGACAGATCCTTACTGTCACATGCAGGTCACTTGACTATTTACAGGATGACGGAGGTGGAAGAGACAGTCCGCGATCGAACTCGCTCCCTCTCCATGTTACAAGTGCGTACCAAATTCTTAGAGGAGGAGACCTCGAGACTACAGGACCATGTCGACACTCTTTCTCAGCAGAAACACAGTTTAGATAGGCTTGTCAAAGATCTGCGCCTCGGCAAGGATCGAGATGTGAGTTCATATATATAATGGGAAATGTATAAAAGATATTTTAATGAAAATATGTTAGAAAACAGTTAATATCACCAGGCATGTTGATGGTTATAAAATAAATGTAGTTGATTTTACTTGAGTCAATGGCAAAGAGGATAGTTTTCTAGCTTTTGGCAGTCGCCGATGTAGCGAACATGTTTTGGTTGCGTTTGTATGTTAACGTTTATAGGCCGACCTCGGGCAGTTGTTTTATTTTTGATTCACTGATCCACTGACCAATAATGAGTAATGAAAGTCAAATTTAAAAACAATATTTATGTCTTCCCAACAGATGTGAATGTATTGTTTTACCCTAAGATATAAAAATTTGGTTTTGAAAACAAAAAATCTATAAACCAAGCTAAAAAATGTCCTTGGTAAAAAAAATATCAAACTCAAACATTGAATGGTAATAATGCAGTTGTGATTGTTAGCAATACCTCAGTAACTGAAACAAATATACATTTGAAATGAGAACCTTCTTCTTGCCTTCAGGACAAAGATCAATGTTCAGTGAAATGTAACAACACCCTTTATACATGATATGTACCTCAGATGGAAGGTTTGATGCAGGAATTCTTGTCTCAGAAGCATATCGCGAAGAACGCTGGACTAACTTGACATGTCTGTGTTTTAGGAATATGATGATATTGACTACACATATTATGGACGGATATTCCCCCGTTACCATGGTTACCATGGATACCTGAATTACTGAATAGTGAGAATGAGTGCAACAAAGTTAATTAACTGTTTCAAGTGTGTTCAAGTTCCACTAATCAAATGCATTTGTTTTGAATGAAGAAGCACGAAGGAGTGACAATGCACTGTTATTGCACGTTTTGCACCCAATTTTACACCATTGATATTACGATATTTGATTCATTTGATAAATTTGTTACTTTATTGTTAAAGTCATCAATTTCTATTGATTCGATTATCATATTATTTATATATCTATTTTTTGTAAGTTTATTTATCCAGTGATATCTGCATTTTATTATATTATTATATTATATTATATTCCAGGGCGGTTGGGTAGCCTTGTGGTTAAAGTGTTTGCTCGTCACGCTGAAGACCCGGGTTTGATTCCCCACATGGGTACAATGTGTGAAGCCCATTTCTGGTGTCCTCTGCCGTGATATTGCTGGAATATTGCTGAAAGCGGCATAAAACAATTCATCTATTTATTTGATTTATTTACGGGGTAGAGTGAGTGTATCCATTTTGGTTTGGCTTTGATAGATTGTTGAGGGTTTCTACTTGTTTCATGCATGCAGTAGTGCAGCTGTCAGGTTTGTAACTGCCCATTGTCCATCTCTTTATCCACCTCTGTCAATTCAGGACATCATTTATTTATTTTTTCTTCACTGTACACATCAGTAAAACAAAGTAAATTTAAACAAATCACAATCTTCCTCATCGTTCTCATGGCAAGCAGAAATATTTCTGAATCATTATTGTGCTTATGGCCTCACCCTTATATCAATGGGGAAATTTGCACATGAAGTGCCTGCTAGATTTTGACTTCTTGGATAAGTGCACAATGTAATTATTTCACAAAGTCTTTTTGGGAGTTCTTTCAGCCATCTTTCCACAACAGTAGGATTCATATGTCCCACTTCCATCTTCCACAGTAACACGCCTCTTCTTTGTCTTTTTGTATATGTGTTACAAATCGTATGTATCTGTTACTGCTGTAATTTCTCAGTGTTGGTTTAAAAGGTGCTGTAACACTAGTGCCTGTTGAACCTTGAGGGCAGTAATATACCTCAGAGCTCCCACACCGATAATGCTCACTTCTGTACACTCAATGTCAAGCACATGTTGGCAGCTACTTCTTTAAGCTGATCTTCCTATTGATACAGTTTAATACTTCATTCACAGATATCGAAATGGTTCAAGTGAAGAAACAAACACTCAAATTCATCATATAAAAATATGTACTGTTTCTGAGGTGAATTATGATAAAGTCATTTTGAAATTGTATTTAAAAAGTTGATAGTTTTATGCTAATAGTCAAGTGACAAGGCATTTTTCCAACAACGCAGATACTGTTAGGAAACTATGTATCTTAATTTGCAATGTATGTAAAATTTCTTGCAATTTGTTCTTATTTGTTTGAATGCATATCATGACTACAATATCATGCAGTGTAATTAACCCTGCATTGAACTAGATTTAATCTGAGTTATCTCCCCATAGGTTGCACGGGCTTACCCTACGGATGAGCATGCAGGGAGTTTCACAAGGGGAACAAGTGGAATCGGAAACAGCATAAACTCCAGCTGGGACCAGGACCACCTGTCGGATGCCATGTTGACGATGCGAAGTTCCTCCTCACATATTAATGGCTATCTTAACAGAGCCTATCCTGGTGGAGTGTTCAATCTGTACTCCGGGCAGGACAATGAAAGTGAAAAGTCATTTGAGGGTGAACAGGAGTATGAAGCGTAATACTGTGACCTTGAGATACAATGTCAATGTGGAGGTGAAGGTTGTGACCTTGATTAAACAATGCCAGGGTGAAGGTTGTGACCTTGATTAAACAATTTCAAGTGAAGATTGTGGCCTTGATAAAACAAAATGAAGGTGAAGGTTGTGACCTTGATTAAACAATGTCAAGGTGAAGGTTGTGACCTTGATTAAACAATTTCAAGTGAAGGTTGTGACCTTGATTAAACAATGTCAAGGTGAAGGTTGTGACCTTGATTAAACAATTTCAAGTGAAGGTTGTGACCTTGATTAAACAATGTCAAGGTGAAGATTGTGATCTTGATTCAACAATATCCAGGTGATAGTTATGACCTTTTCAGTGTCATATACATTAGAATTTTGACCTGCAATGACTTAACGGTTACAATCGCACATGAACTATTTGGCACTGTGGGCTGAACATCTTCTGTTGATCTGCCTTTACCTCCAAGTCCAGAAATATGACTGGAACCTACTGTAAGATACTTTGTAAATATGATGTAAGGTGTGTGATGGTCTTACCATGTGCTATACCATTTCTAACATGATCAGATTGTTGTGGTTTCATTTACTTCATAAACCATGTTGTGATGTCATCCCTAATTAAACCACACCAATGTTTCACCATATTGAATACCAGTTCCTCTAGTATGTGAGATACATTGTAAAAGCGTTAATTTTATGTGTTACTTACCTCATGATGAGGTTGCTCTTATGGAATGAAATGGAAGACATATAGCAACAACGATGTTATCAGTCCCGTAAAAGCAGTACTTTATGACAAAAAATATATTTTTATATATCTACTTTGTTAAATGGTACGAAGTCAATTTCATGTTGTTTTTATTCAATCAGTTATTGCTATATTCTAGTGTACTGAGGTGTCATTCATCATTCCTGTTATGTCACGTTTTTAAAACGACCAGTGTGTATTATATCTTATTCTGTAAATCAGGTAAACAGTCTTGATATTTCTATTTCTCTGTTTGAATATCACACATATCAAACAGTGGGCCCCCATATTTAACCATAGTTATTGGGTTGGAAAGTTTCTTAAATTCTTAATGCTACTCAAATTGTATATAGCGATATACTTGTTATAACACCTTGCCATCTTTGTTTTAACCGTGGAATGCATGTATGTGTGGCATGCTTGGCACTCCCTGTACAACGCCTTCAATGGTTTCGAATAGTTTATGAAATCATTATCAATGTGTTTGTGTCAGTCCCACATAATAACGTGACAACTATTATTCTGTTTCCTGTACAGAGAAAACCGTCCAATACTGTTGTGTATATACCTGACTGATGTTTCAGACGTGCAAGAGAACCTTGTCTGTTCCATTGGTCATTAGACTTGGTCATGCCATGTTCGATCCAATAAGTGCCTTTGGGTGGCCCCGTTGTTGCAGCAATGAAATGTCAGCTAAATACTGAGTTTGGTTCTCCACGTGTGTGATGCCCATTCCTGGTGTTGTCTTATGGCTGCAATTAGGGGTGTCGGGATTCATTCTTCACAAGTGTACTCCAGAAGATTGGATTAATGAATTTCCTACCCTTGTTCTTGTTTTAATTTTGAATGTGATACTTTAATGGCGTCCCTGCATGAAGTGTTGCTAATAAAACCATGAGATCATTCAAAATTGCCTTTAGACTTGAGAAGGATCCATGTCATGACATCATCATGATGGACACTCACACAATCCAATCAGATTTTACACTGTTACTTGTGGCTTATCTCAGGGCGTCTGGTTTGATGTACTAACAGATTGAGATGCCAATGTCTGTTTGCTGCCATATTGCCAGACGACATAGTATTTATGTTAAGGCCCGTGCATCACTTACATCTAAAGTCAATGCTAATATACATTATGGGATGCCATTTTGCTGTAAGGAGCTTGAAATAGAGAAATTATAGTAATTGGACAGGGATCAGCGAATTGTTTGTTGGCAATGGTAGGGTTCATGGAAATTTCAACGTCCTTGACCAGTAACATGTTTTTATCTTCCTATTGAGGGGATTTTGATTCAAGTAAAATAATTGCAGAATGCAACAAGAGAATGCCCAGGTGCTTATTGGGACAAATTTGGCATCATGTTGTTGCTTCATGTATCCTGAACAGTTTATTTATATTGTTTTGTTGTGCCTAGTTTCATGTCAAGTCACTGTTATTTGGAGAAGAATGTTCCTGCTCTCATAATTGTCACATGTTCAGAAAATATTCTGGAAACTAATCCGTCCATTTATGCAATGTTAGATTTACACTTTTCTAGAATGTTTTCAAGAGATGTGACAGGATGTCCAATATTGAGAGCAGGTTGTAAATAAATGACACTGAACAGCACCTTTGTATTTCGATGTGGGTGACAATTTACATACACCTCTGGTCAACAAGACCAGAAAACAAGCTTCTTTCTATTATATTAATTTCAGCTTATTGTTCCAAAATCACTTCATATCTGTTCCGTGATCAATAAGGTTTCAACAACTTATAAATTGGGGAAGAGGCAGGGAACCTCATAGTTTTGTTGGATGATTGTATTTTTTGTGGAACAAATTAAGTTTTTTAAAAATATTCACAGCCCTGCCATCCCCAGAATATCAAATGTTCAGTACCTAACAACAAAGATAAACCAAAAATGTAAACAAGTTTGTTCATGTGTGATTGCATTTCGTTTAATACCTGACAAAGGCTGAAACGTAAGTTGTCTGACAAAAAGACAAGTGCATCCGTTACCTGTCTTGATTCGGCAGATGGTGTCTCAGAACAGCAGGTGCGTGCTAAGCACCCATCTGAATTCGGCAGATGGTTTCTCAGAACAGCAGGTGCGCGCTAAGCACCCATCTGAATTCGGCAGATGGTGTCTGAGAACAGCAGGTGCGCACCAAGCACCCATCTGAATTCGGCAGATGGTTTCTGAGAACAGCAGGTGCGCACCAAGCAACCATCTGAATTCGGCAGATGGTTTCTGAGAACAGCAGGTGCACGCTAAGCACCCATCTGAATTCGGCAGATGGTTTCTCAGAACAGCAGGTGCGCACCAAGCAACCATCTGAATTCGGCAGATGGTGTCTGAGAACAGCAGGTGCGCACCAAGCAACCATCTGAATTCGGCAGATGGTGTCTCAGAACAGCAGGTGCGCGCTAAGCAACCATCTGAATTCGGCAGATGGTTTCTCAGAACAGCAGGTGCACGCTAAGCACCCATCTGAATTCGGCAGATGGTTTCTCAGAACAGCAGGTGCGCACCAAGCAACCATCTGAATTCGGCAGATGGTGTCTGAGAAGAGCAGGTGCGCACCAGGCTGCCATCTGAATTCGGCAGATGGTTTCTCAGAACAGCAGGTGCGCGCTAAGCACCCATCTTGATTTGGAAGATGGTGTCTGAGAAAAGTAGGTGTAATTATATCTATCTGATTGGTGGAAATTAGAGACAGTTGATGACTGTCAGTGATATGTATATGGATGCCATTGGTACGGGAAGAGATGTCTCAGTTTCGCTCAGCTGTTATTAAATACCCAATATTATACAGAGATAATTGAAATACGATCACATGTATTATTATTGTTGTTGATGCGGAGTTCTGTATGGTTTAATTTGTATGTTTATATAAATATATGACAGTGTTTGGATATTTTTTATGCATTTATTCTGTTATTCCGTTCTAAGAGGATCCAGTTGTTAGTCGGATAGTCGCAAGGAAAGTAGCATCTCAGACTGACCTAGCAATATTACTGTAGTTCTCAGTATTATACAGGCTTAAATATAATAGTTCTCAGGGGCTGACTCACCAGGATAACATGATTTCTGCTTTGGCCTGACCACGTTTCTGTTAGTTTTACAAATTCAAACATCCAAACTTGGTTGTCAGGTTTGAAAGAAGTTATTGAATCATACATTTGACAGAAAAGCAAACGAGGAAATGGTAGAAGGAAGCATAATTTTCTTCTCACAATGTTTTTCATCATTTAATTTAATTTAATTTAATTTAATCCTTAGAATGAAGTAGGATTATCTGTTCTTAAGTCTTAAGTCAAAATTGTAAATACTTTAAGTGATTTTCATGCTCTGATGGTCTTGTCTGTGAAGCAAGAATGATTTTTCAAATTTCGAGTCATAACATGTTGTCTCAGATCTGTGATATGTGTGTTTGGTATTTTACTCGTATACTTACATTGGTTTTAACATATATTCCATCATTTCATTTCTGACTACGAGCACGGAGTCTCGCACAGACTCGTTGGTACAATCTGGTGTTGTTGATATGTCTTTGCCCTGGGTTTGATGAAATCTAATGTCAGTTTTGTCATAAATAGTGCAAATTCAGATATCATTTTTAGAATAGTGTGTTAATTATACACTGAACTGCTTTGAAGACACATTCATCAAATTAGGCTCTTTGTTTGATTGTCAGATTATTAAGGCCAGCGATGACAGTCAGTTTTTATCGTTTGTGACCTGGTTCACCCCCAAAGTGACATAATGCATTTGTGCTGTAATGATTCCCAATGTTCCAGGTACAGTGTTTGGCATGTAACACACAAAGGATACGTATTTGTCCTTTTTATGTTAAATTATATGTATCATTAAAAATCATGTTGATGAAATATCAGTAATAACAAAATATAATTTTGAAAATATCTATCTTTCCATGTGACATATTTGTTTTAACAGACTTGGTTTTTTGTGAAGGACACTTCCAAGAGTTACCTCCCCCTCTTATTGGCCTACTTCAAAATTCATTAATGTTCACGCTGTTTCATTTGCGACCTTCTACGTCCACCCATGTTTAAAGTTTATAGATTTGTTTAAACAAATTATCCGGAAGTTTGTTTAAGTTAAAAATAAAATTAAAGATAAATTTGTGAAGCTCTATCTGTTTTATTTAAGAAACTGATATTAACTACTAATATCCATTCAGTGGCAGATGCTTTACTTGTGTCATTCATTTCAGCCCTAGTAAATATGTAAATATACTTCTCCACTTTTCATAGCGATATTCCTGGAATGCCATTTTCAAAGAGATGGATTACTTGTGTTATGTTTGTACCCGGTACATATAGTATCAGTATCGTAATGGAGAGTTGAGTAACATATTCATAATGTAAATCCAGGTATAATTAGAAACAGATAATTTTCCATGTATTTCATGAAGATGTCATGTATTACAAGCCAGAAAAACAGATTTGACCAGGGACTGGTGTGTTATGTACATTCCAAATTGTGTTTTGTGATTTGCCATATGTACCTTTTACAAAATCATCAATATTAAACATACATTTTGTAGAATATTTTAAGTCATTATTCCCGTTTTAATGCCATAGTGGGTTTTCTATTCAAGTCGAGAAACCATTCCATTTTATGTACATTCCATCAGGAGATGCAGGAAGGGGCTGATAAATGCGACTGCAGCAGAGGTTCCATTGACTCTACTCACTGATGTGATACCGAAATCTCTTTTAGAATAGTGGAAAAACTTGATTGGAAGTGAATATATTCATTGATAAAGCTCCTCAGTTTTGCAAATGCATCATCAAAGACCTACATATGTCATTATTGAATTTAACCATCAAGATTCACCAACCCTAGACTGTGAGCAATCCTTGTCTGCTATATCATTTTAAAAAAAAAGGATATTTCAAAGAAAAATCTCTTGTCAGTGTTCCCTATACATAATAATCCTCTTTGAAACTATTTCATAACTTAAGACAAAAATTATATTTTGTTGCAAGCTTTTGATTCTGTGCCTTTTATTATAATGAAAAGGAGACTGCTCCAGTCTACATCTCCAATTCAAATGAGTTTTTGGTGCATGTTTGTCACTCACCACATACGATGGACAACATAATGTTCATTAAGTTGTCTTATGTGTATTTATAAATTTAGTAAGAGAGCTCAAGTTAAGTACCTGGTCTTCCAATAAGGGGAACTCTGTGTCAGTGCTTGTTTATTACAGAGCACAGTGGAGGCGAGTGTCACATCAGTGTGTGGAGCTTGCCTAGGGTGGTATGCGGGTAACCAGATTAACGACATTAAACATTATTTAATATCTACTTCTTGTATGTGGTATTTGTTTGGTCAGGAAGAAATATGGAGCTGCCGTTCACAGGAAGAGTGTTTGCAGGTCCAGTATCTGACTGCTTGAGAATTGGCTTTTTAATCTTCCTAGAGTACCGGAATTCAGCAACGCATGATTGTCGGAAGAGCCGGCTAACAGGACCGGGTGGTGCTGTCGCACTGTTGGTTGGTTGGTTGGTTGGTTGGTTTGTTTGTTTGTTGTTTAATGCCACTCAGCAATATTCCAGCTATATGACGGCGGTATGGAAATAATCGAGCCTAGACCAGATAATCCAGTGATTGATAGCATGAGCATCGATCCTCGCAATTGGGATCGATGACATGCATCAACCAAGTCAGCGAGCCTGACCACCCGACCCCGTTAGTCGCCTCTTACGACAAACATAGTCGCCTTTTACGGCAAGCATTGGTTGCTGAAGACCTATTCTATCCCGGGTCGGAAAGATCACTGGTTTTGCTAGAGACAAATCGTCTGGGACATTACCAAATTTTGAGAGAAAACAGCTTGTGGACTGGACCTTTTTTCTTTTCTTTTCTTTTCTCGCTATTTTTAAGCAACATTTTTTTCAGGTTTACATTTCGCTGTGTCATTATTTCCTGCCCCATCCACCTCCATAATAATCGTTATTATCCCGTTAGTCGCCTCTTACGCCAAGCATAGACTCCTTTTACGGCAAGCATGGGTTGCTGAAGACCTATTCTACCCCGGATCTTCACGGGTCACTGTCTCACTGACGTGGTTGATGCATGTCATCGTGTCCCGTAGATTGATGCCAATGATGTCAACCACAGAATTGTCTGGTCCAGAGTCATTTAAGGACCGACGTCATATATAACCGGAATATTGCTTAATGCGGCGTTAAATAACAAACAAACAAACAAACCTTCGTCCGGGAGTGCAGTCATGTTATCTCGATGGTTTCACGAAGCGTCGCATCTCCAGTTGTTAAACACACAACAGCGGTAGTGCTAAAACCGGACCTTTTATGTGTATTCAATATTTGTGCGAACCAAAAATTCGCTGTGAAAAGACTCTTCTCTCGGGCGTGCCAGGATGCGCTGGTCGTGGGTTCGTTCCGCACAGATTATATGGTCCCTAGGGCTCGTGAGTTTCATGCACCAGTGTGAAAAATGTCCACGACCTGAGCCGCTTCGAACTTTCTTCACACGATCAAAGGGCTCGGGGCTTCAGATACTTCTTGGAGCCTTTGAGTATTTACTCACAATACACACTGTCAATACACACACAATATACACAAATGTATCTTTACGCAAAGCACTGCTATACTATTGGGCTTTTGAAAGTTTTTTGTGCGTTTTTGTACGCAAGCAACTGAAAATGAATTGGATACATGAATTGTTGATAGGTGTTTTCCTACCTGTCTCGGTTGTGTAGTTAAAAAGAAGTACTTAATACTGTCTCAGTCACAATACCGATGCAATCACACGCCAGCCATTTTGACCACTCGATCCCAATTTCAGCATTGCATTGCAGAGCTTACCAGAGCCGCTTTGATTGGTGCGACTATTAGAATCACACTGATTGTGACCCTTGGTATATCTACCTGGGTTTGTTTCACTAAAGTGTACTACTCAAATAATCTTATGACAGTTATATGAAAAAAATCGGCTGTTTGTTAAAACTTCTTTTGAGTACCGGGACAGGAAAGGTCTACATGGGTGTGTCATCATAGGCTTCACGTCTCTCCTGCGTTGCTATTACATAAACACTGTTAGATTCGTGGATCTTGGATCACAGTCGTAGCGGAATCGCAGGACAGAAAATTTTGTTTGTTGTTTAGCGCCGCTCTAAGCAATAATCAAGCTATATGACGGCGGTCTGTAAAGATTCGTGGATCTTGGATCACAGTCGTAGCGGAATCGCAGGACAGAAAATTTTGTTTGTTGTTTAGCGCCGCTCTAAGCAATAATCCAGCTATATGACGGCGGTCTGTAAATAATCCAGTCTGGATCAGACAACCCAGTGATCATGAGCATCGATATCTGCAACTGTGATACAATTACATGCATCAATCAAGTCAGCGAGCCTGACCACCCGATCCCATTAGTCACCTCATACAAGCCAGGATCTTCACGGGTCCCACAGATAATAGAACATGAAGGCTGAACTAAGACAAAAAAGGGTTTATATTTTATTGTCACAAACAAGATGTAAGTAGATATCCATTTAAGTACACATGCACACTTTCTCGTTGACTACTGATAGTACAGCCATGCCAATCGACACGGAACATCTCCGTGCTTCTGATGTAACTGGTATTGCTTGTCCACGTTCACGATGGTTGAAATCTAACATATAAGTCAGCATTACTGAAAGTATGACGTACCATATATTATTGCGGTTGTTGCTGAAAGACATTATATCCAGGCGGTGATTTGAAATGTTGAAAGGTATTTTCAAAGATTGGTTCAGACATATTTTCCGGCACTTTCTAAACCTTAGAAACGTTAATAAGATTATAATATGAACAAACTCAATGAAGAAATAACTAGTTATCTATGATTAGATATCATACATCTAAATGGCAATCCTTTAAATGTCGCAAAGGGTCCCAAATATTGTATACGGTTCCTGTGGAGACGCCAAGTATATATATAATACGAAAGTATTCCTTTGGTTCATATGCGTGCTGTTAACGCCTTGACTGCAAAACCAAACGGTGTTAATGTCCACAATTACAAATAAAATCTGTTGGTATTTTCCAATCAAATCGGCGCCCTGATTATTACCTAATAATGACCCCAAATTACTTTTTTCTCTCTTGCTTTCATAACATGAAAATTATATTTTCATCAAATACGTTAACATATTTGAAGCATATTGACCACGACTGGTTATTATTAACATTGTAAATCGATAATAATACCTTAATACAGTTTTTGATCTACAAGGCTTTCTATTAAGGACCGGTCTAGAGGTGATGTTTTGTTAAGAAGCAGAATTCTAAATTCTAAAATCGTGACTGACACTGTTTTTTCAACATTAATTATTTCTTAGAATTTAATCTATTCTGCCGAAACAAGTGACTTTAAGTGATTAATTAAGTGATGATGAACGCACAAAAATATGACAAAACACCACACAATTCTTTCATTCTCACAACACAGGTTTCTGTGGTCGGTTCTATAACTCGTCTCTCCCAATAGCCTGTTTAAACTGCATGTTGTACTGTTCTTCTCGTTGTCTCCGGTAGGCGGCGAAGTCTGGGTCATACTTTGGCGCGTCTTTCACACACCGGAAGCCAACGTTGCTGGACGTGTAGTCAGGAGCTTGAGGCATTCTGGGAAAATGAAATATCGTCCAAATAAATTAGTTTCTTGTATCTAGTTTGGGTAAAATAATGATAAGCCTATAAATGTTAAATAATCTTTTGCTTTTCGATTTCCCTCCACATGATTTTCGATCATCTCATGTTCTTGTCTCTTCGTTACCATTCGCATGTTTCCGTAACCTACAACAGTTACTAGGTTCTACCTTCGGCTTGTCCCGGAATGGGGTGAGTTTGTCACGAATGGTTCCTATGCCATTGTGGCCCCTTACCTTTGGGATGATCTCACGACATAAGTGTAGTCCCCTTGAATTGTATCAATGAACGAGCCTCCCTTTAAGATGTGCTGCGTCTCCTGAAGGTCGTGGGGGATGAGGGCCTGGTAGTAGGGGCTGGCGGTCCACTCCCACACGTTCCCTATCATGTCATACATTCCTGAAACACAAACATACCAAACTGTCTTTACATTCTCCAACATGCCAACATGGCTTTATATTCTCCAACATACCAAACACGTCCTTACATTCTCCAACATACCAAACATGTCTTTGCATTTTCCATCACGCCAAACACGTCTTTACATTTTCCATCACACCAAACATGTCTTTACTACGTTTTCCAACAAACCAAACATGTCTTTACATTTTCCAACATACCAGATATGGCTTTACATTCTCAAACATATCAAACATGTCTTTACATTCTCCAACATAACACACGTTTTTACATTCTCCAACATACCAGACATGTCTTTACATTTTCCAACATACCAAACATGTCTTTACATTTTCCAACATACGAAACATGTCTTTACATTTTCCAACATACACATACCAAACACGTCTTTACATTTTCCTACATACCAAACATGTCTTTACATTTTACAACATACCAAACATGTCTTTACATTTTCCAACATACACATACCAAACATGTCTTTACATTTTCCATCACACCAAACATGTCTTTACATTTTCCAACAAACCAAACATGTCTTTACATTTTACAAAATACCAAACATGTCTTTACATTTTCCATCACACTAAGCACGCCTTTATATTTTCCAACATGCCAAAGATGCCTTTAAATTTTCAAACATAACAAATACGCATTTATATTATCCAACAAACCAACCACTCCTTTAAAATACCCAAAGTGTACACAATGTGCCCTGTCTGAAAAGCGGGTCGGAAGTTTTACACAAGTTTCGATGACAACGAAAAATGTCGTCCGTTTGCATACAGTGTTCCCTGACAGTGATGCAGGCCGACAGTTCATATACGATGTTCCCTGACAGTGATGCAGGCTGACAGTTCATATACGATGTCCCCGGACCTGAAACCAGGCCGACAGTTCATACACGACGTTCCCGGACCTGAGACCAGGCCGACGGTTCATATACGATGTTCCCGGACCTGAGACCAGGCTGACAGTTCATATACGATGTTCCCGGACCTGAGACCAGGCCGACAGTTCATACACGATGTTCCCGGACCTGAGACCAGGCTGACAGTTCATATACGATGTTCCCTCGCATCAAGCCAGGCCAACGGTTTGTAAACAATGTTTCCGTGGATAAAGCGAGTACAAGTCTTGAAAGGTTTTAAGAGAGCTTCTAGCGATAGCTGGTTTCGCACACCTTCATATATCTTCAATCTTACCCAGATCATTTTGGGCTCGGTAGGCATCCACGGGTGAGGTTCCTTCAAAGCCATCTGATTTTGTATTCCTCTTTGGGAACTTTCCCTGAAACGAAATCAAAGCTTTTTGAAGAGAAAACAGTATATATTTGAAAGATGTCTTGGCTGCGCGTTTGTCTGCTCTATGGGTCTCTCGCATTTAAACATAACAATATGACATGACGGTATGTCCTCGATTCTCCTGTGTATTATATCTTAATTCTATAAGGATAAATAAACTGCCGCGCAAAAGAAGGTACACATTGGTAAATAGGATTTGACCAAAAACTTACAAACGTTATCAAAATGTCGCACAACTTTGACACCGGTATGAAAAACATAACCACAGAATAACAATATCTTGTTTGTTTCAATTTGGGTGTACTTTCCCTTGCAATGCGGTTTAAAATAGAATAGGAAGTTGTATACTGTGTTTGTTTGTTTGTTGTCTAACGCCGCACTCAACATTCCAGCTATATGACGGCGGTATGGAAATAATCGAGTCTGGACCAGACAATCCAGTGATTGATAGCATGAGCATCGATCCACGCATTTGGGATACGATGACATGCATCAACCAAGTCAGCGAGCCTGACCACCTGATCCCATTAGTTGCCTCTTACGACGAGCATAGTCGCCCTTTACAGCAAGAATGGGTTGCTGAAGACCTATTCTACCCCGGATCTTCACGGGTCTTGTTTTCTGAGAATATTCTAGGATGCCATTTTCCAGGCTTAGTTGATTTGGTAGTCTCACGATCAATATGTTAGCCTGTACCACTCGCTTCAAGGCACATTCCATCTTTCCGAGGAAAGTGAGTTAACTGACTATGAAAGTCCAGTTTCCACCATTGCCGAACTAGGCTGGTATTATGGAGTTACATTTTGGCTGGGGTAACGAGTCTATATATAGTCCAATCAAAATTGCGCACCGAAATCGAAATCCGGTTCGTAAAGTGCCATGCAGATTTCGGTCGACTGCAGGATTTGCAAAGCATGTGCACCGCTAACTCGTTGTCAACAGATATTTTCTAAATCTTTTCATGCTTTTAATCAAGGTGCTAACGCGATTTGATGCACTTCGCGATGTAAGACTCGTTTTAACACAATATACATCTTGATTATCGATCAGACCGTCCTGACTGGGCGCCACCGTTTTGTTTGAAGCAAATGCAAGTGATACGAGAGGTTGAATCTGATTGGTCAATAGGAGAGGCATAGAAAGGAAATAACTCGTAATAGCCACTGGTGGCGCTACGATCGTGCCCAGGAATTCCAGCCTAGATCGGCAAGGGTGGAAACTGGACTTTTGAAGTCAGTTAACTCTCTTGCCTCGGGAAGATGAGCACATTCATATTCTTCTCACTTTCATCCGTTGACTTGTTTTCATGGTAACTGACCTACCTCCCAAATATTCCCTCTTTTTATCTCCCACAAGTCGCCCCAGGGATACTGGACCACGTGATCTAAAAAGAAAGTCAACATGTCTTTGATATAATCGCCAATCAAACATTTGTGGTCAATATTTGTGGACATATGTCCACTGTATTATTTCGTCATCATTTCCGTATTTTCGTGTAGCACTTCGCCAGGCCAATCGACAAACTCTACAGAAATGGGACAAGTGTTGCCCGGTCACCTAAGATGCAGAGTTGCGTCCCTTACTCATGTCAGGTTCTGATGATCATGGGTTCGAATCCTAGATTCGATTTTTATGATAAATCCAATTCACTTACACAGCCAACAATAAAATGTTTGTTCATCAATTTCACATTTTTTATATAAATGGTATATATTACTATTTGGACACATAATTGAGGCAAAATTAGTTTGAATGGGAATGTATGATCTACCCCCGTGTATGGGTGACTTGGTGGATGGGGTGGACAGGCTCGGTGAGTGGTTGATAGCCTGCCATCGTACCCATCGGTGCGGAACGTTTAATGATCTTAATATCAATCGCTGGTTTGTTTGGTCCGAACTCAATTACTTCAAGGCTGCCGACATATGGCTATAATATAGCCGAGTGCGGCGTTAAACAACAAACAAACTAACAAACTTACTGAGCTGCGATCCACGTGATGCCCTCTCCCACTCCGCCTCAGTGGGCAGTCTCTTCCCCCTCCACTTGCAGTACGTCTCGGCATCCTCGAAACTCACGTGCACCACGGGGTGTGTCCAGCGTTTGTCAATCACAGAGTCACGACCCTCGGGCTGGAATCAGTGAGAGCACCATCAACACACCTACATTACTCAAAAAAGAAGTTAAAGAACACCCGAGTTCATTTGCGTGTCACTGTTACAGTTGCCATGATTGATAATACAACAGGTTGGTTACAAATGTAAATATCGCCCAGGTTTAATTTAAAACACGGTTAAAACATCCATACAAAATAAGATATATAGATATGTAAATACTACACACGAGAGACAAATTATATTTAACTCCAACCCCTAAAGGCCGGACCCTAACTCACGTGCTCCCAGTTTGCCTTTTTCACGGCAAGCCAGTTGTCTGCCCCTCTCACGGCCATGTGTTGCCTTGTATCCGCGGACACGTGTTTCTCAAACACCCAGCTCCATCCCTTCGTCTCCGCCTCCGTGCGGTACCGCCGCTTCTTCATTGAAAACTCCCTGGAAACAGCCATGTCACGAAGATACAGTGACAGATATTGTAAGGCATTGGAAAGATCACTTGTGTTTGTTTGCTTGTTTGTTGTTTAACGCCGCACTCAGCATTATTCCACCTATATGACGGCGGTCTGTAAATAATCGAATCTGGACCAGACAATCCAGTGATTGGCATCATGAGCATCGATCCATGCAATTGGGATCGATGACATGCATTAAACAAGTCAGCGAGCCTGACCACCCGACCCCGTTAGTCGCCTTTTACGACAAGCATAGTCGCCTTTTACGGCAAGCACTGGTTGCTGAAGACCTATTCTACCCCGGGTCGGAAAGATCACTGGTTTTGCTGGAGATAAATCGTCTGGGACATTACCCAATTTTGAGAGAAAAAAGCTTCGCTGTGTCATTATTTCATGCCCAACCCACCCCTTTTAATATTCGACCTGTCCCCAAGGCTTTTTTAAAGACAATAGTCAATGTCCTGGAAAATGAACCATCTGGAACACCTGTGAAAAAGATGAACCGTGAAACCCAACTGGATAAGGAACCCATAGCCCGCATCAGCCTTCACGAGGGCTGTTCAAGTGTATACGCTGAAGAATATCGACGACCTGTGTGTACCACCAGTTCCAAAACCATCTAACTCCACCATAATATTTCGATTTCTGACATTCTCGGTTTGTCTTCCCATCACCGGGGGCACGGGTGGCCCAGTCGTCTAAGGCGCCGCGATTCGCTGTGCAGAGTTGCGTCCCTTAGGCACGCCAGAAACCTATGATTGTGGGTTCGAATCCCGGTTCGCCCCGATTATGTTTCTAGGTTTGTCAGCACCATACCCGTGCTCGTGGGTTTCACCGAAGTGGTAAACGTCTGAGGCCTGCATCACTTCGGGCTTTCCTCCCACATTAAGCTGACACGCCGTGATATGACTGGAATACTGTTAAAAGCGGCGTTAAACCCAACTCACTCACTCACTCACTCTTCCCATCACCACTATTTGATAGTGATTCACATATACGACTGAACAAATGTTAAAGACATCCCGATTTGGGGGTCAAGGCATGACAGGTTAACTATTGTGATATGAAGGAATAGGGTGGTTCTGATCTTTTTTAAGTTGCACACTTATGATATACAGTAAAGTACGGTTATAACGAACTCCAAGGGACTACTAATTTTAGTTCGTTATAACCGTAGTTCGTTATAAGCATATATACAGCATAACTACAGCAGATAGTCGGGACCAAAAAAATAGTTCGTTATATCCGTCAGTTCGTTATAAGCGTGTTCGTTATAACCGTAGTTTACTGTAGTCGGAATCGTAAAATGGACTCTGCTTTTCGCAAATATTTCTTATGATTAGGAAATGGGTTTTGTCGCTAAATTATATTCATCATCTTATCCACGAACAGTTTTTTATTAACCCATTGGTGAGATGACATTGGTTAGCACTGCATTATCACGATGCAAACCGTGAATATTAAAGGAATGAAAAGCCAAATTGATATACAGATGGGGAAATATCAGTGAATACATATACAAGACGCCATAAGACTCTAAACAATGTATTACATCAACAAAAATATCACGCTTTGAAATGTTAGGATGTGGTGTGTTCACTGTACATTTCCCTTCAATACCCGGTTATATTTGGGTACGACGAGCCTATGAGGCGTTGTTTTACACTTTATTCCCTATTTCATTATTTATTGATACAAGAAAGTCGATTTTACATATAAATACGTGACTTTGTGAGTATTTGGGGAGTTGAAAAAATCGGATTTTGTGATAATATTTATTCATCTTTTGACGTTAACTAGTGGTTACGGAAAGGGGCGAGTTGAACCGAATGAGTTGTGGTTGTGGCGCGAAAGATCGTACCAATAGTGAGCGTTGGTGACGGGGTACATATCCATATAGAAGCTCTTCGTGTGCCCCACCCGGAACGGGAACTCCCCCGTCTCAGATTTTGGGTCGTTGATTCCCATCCAGAAATCCGTGGCCTTGAACAGCTGCATTGGTGTCAGGTGGTTGTACGTCAGCATAACTGAAACACAGGGGAGACAACCGTGTCATGACGGTATAAGGTCTTTCTCATAACCTTACACTTCAGTATTCTTTCTTTGTTTTTTGTTTGATGTTTAACGCCGCACTCAGCAATATCCCAGCTATATGACGGAGACTTGAATAATTGAATCCAGATCAGACAAGCCATGAGTGATATATGTGTACAGCGAGACACGTTAATGAAAAGTTGATACCACATCGTCGAGCCTGACCATCCGATCCAATAAGTCTCTAACAAGCATGTGTTGCTGAGGGCCTATTCTTAACCGCTGAACTGAAAGAAAAGTCCATGGATATGTAGTAAATCCTCCTGATAGCCAAGCCTAGAAATGTGGACAATCTCTCATGGGAACGGGGCGGTCTGAACAAGTTGAACAATTGTTTGCATGAGAGTGTGTATAGTTGTACCCGCTTTCAGCAAAATTCTAGCAATATCACGACTGGGGACACCAGACATAGGCTTGACACATTGTACCTATGTGGGGACTCGAACCCGGAACTTCGGCGTGACGAGCGAACGCTTTCACCACTTGGCTACCCCACCCATCTTATAAATTGTGACTTTTCGTCTCTTCATTGCTGTTCTTAATTACATGTTGCCTTCCAAAGCTATCTCTGTCGGGGATCTTGAGAGTGTAGTACATGGGTGGTCGATTGCGCGTCACCGTAATCGACGGCGATAGCTGCTTATGCTTTCAGTCACTGGTTTTTTGCATGGCCGCGACTCGGTTATTTACAGCCACCATATTACTGAGATAATGCGGCATAAAACAACATTTACACACCAGCTTGTCTATCATCTCGAGATTACCTCCCCTTACCGCCTGTTTGACTTGCCAATAATCAATACGCCTATGCATGTAACCCTTTCAACTGAGAGCATAAATATACGCACATAAAAGGATTTATCCAACGGCTGTAATATCAAATACACGAATATACCCTGAACACGCGGTACAAACATACAGGACGGGTTATATGTTTTGTTTGTTGTTTAACGCCGCACTCAGCAATATTCCAGCGGCGGCGGTTTGTAACTAATCGAGTCTGGACCAGACAATCCAGCGATTGACATCATGAGCATCGATCCACGCAATGGGGATACAAAGACACGCATCTACCAAGTCAGCGAGACTGACCACCCGTACCCGTTGACAACAGTATCCAAGCTACATAACTCCAAAACAGAATTCGATCTATTTCCAATGTATCGACGGTTTTTCTCTGTATTTAAAAAAAGAGCTCATTTAATCCATTACATGACCACACGGTACCTCATAACGGTAAAGCGAATGTTTATAAATATTTTAATTATATTGTTTTCTCATTGATAACACCATGACGATTGAACAAAACATATAACCTTACACGCAAAACATAAATGTATCAGATAAGTTAAAAAACAGAATTAAAAACCAACAAACTGTGGGATTAAATAATATATGATCGAATAGAATTACTATAACATACATGGTTCATACAGAGCGACGAATATAGAGACACTACGTTGTGGTATTTCATGAATAGAAAGGAATGGAGCTCTTGCCAATACGTGTAATAATCTTTATGGGTAGTTATAATTATAGAGAATCATATTTATACTTACTGTGTTTTATGTTGACGTCGTGCGGATGAACATCCTCTCCATTTGTTCTAAAATACCCTAAAAATACCAAAATAACTGACAACCACTTCTTCCATATCCCCATCGTGGTAGCCATCTTTAAGCAACGTCATGGACAATTATCGACGCCTGTGCTGCACCACATGTGTGACCGCGACTTCGTCACAGCTGGCGCAAGCTCCGCGCCGAGTGGGAAGGGTGCGCTTTTGTGTAAAACCAATTCAAAGCTTATACACAAACGTTAATGTCAATTGTCAATAGCATCAAGACCTTTCTCAGTAACAGCGTTCGCTTGAATAGTTTTTGTAAAGGTATGCGAAGTCGTAAACGATCTCGTTTCTGTTTCTTGTCCCCGTTCATGTGGCTACTTTTAGACTCGATTTAAGTTGAAATACACTCCACAGTGAATATCACAATTTTCCCGTGTTGTTTATGTACTTTGAGTTCTCCGCGAGAACATGGTTTCTAGATTGAGGGCATGTCGCTCAAACGCAGCTGACAATTGCGCCCCGTGATCGATGAAGCAGAGCGAGACCGACAGTCAAACGTGGCAGTCGTGTGCCATGCATGCAGTTGATACACGAACGTAGATTGTACCATGTTTATATTATCATTTAAATTTATACAAATCTGAATTTATATTTAAAATAAGTAAATGTGCAACACTTTTATTTTACACAAATACCCAAGCTTTGTTGTTTTACGTCGCACTCAAGCAATATTCTGGCTTTATCACGACGCCCAATAGATTATCGAGTCAGGGCCATACGTACAGGTGATTGATATCATGAGCAACGTCCCACGTCGCCAAGGTATGATGACACGCAATCAATTTAATCAACCAAGTCACAGATCCTGACCACCTGATCCACTTTAGTTGCCTCTGGTATATGTGACAAGCAACACAGTGCTGGGGAACATCCCAGGTGCCAACCTCCATCCATATACATAAATGGGTAGGTGGAAGAAAGGTTGGTTGGTTTGTTGTTTTACGCCGCACTCAGCAATATTCCAGCTATATGAAGGCGGTCTGTAAATAATCGAGTCTGGACAGACAATCCAGTGATTGACATCATGAGCATCGATCCACGCAATTGGGATACGATGACATGCATCAACCAAGTCAGCGAGCCTGACCACCCGATCCCGTTAGTCGCCTCTTACGGCAGGCATCGGTTGCTGAAGACCTATTCTACCCCGGATCTTCACGGGTCGGGAAGCAAGGAATGTACAATATAGGTTATTGTGATATATACAATTGCTATTAACCAGAAGGAGTAATAATATTGTTCCTGTTTTAAAAATAAAAATTCGGAGATATTTTTAACTTCTCGGAATTAATAACTAAATTGAGTACTGCAATTAAGTATTTCGGCATTTAAAAATATTTTTAAAACTGTAATGTTGTATTTGTGATATGTCGACATAAATGAAATCTATTATTTGCCGAAACTCAATCATGTTCCTGTTTGTCGTAATGAATACAAACGTATAACTAAAGTAAAATGTACAGATGTCTAATATAAGACCAAGTAGCATTTTAAGATTTATATCTATTTTAAATAATCATTAATCTGTTGATTTTTAGAATAATAATATGAGCATCCCTTAAAATTTGTTCATTGGTGTATTCATTGATAATAATGATAAGGATGATGTTGATGATAATATCACACTAAATAATAATTATTATTATATAATGGCGATGATGATGATGATGACGACAACAAAACTAACAACAACAACAATAATAATAATAATAAATTGGCCAAAAAGTTGTGATCAATCGTAAGCAATGCTAAAATGGCAAAATGAATTCGTGAAAAAAGGCGTTTAGATATGGGGTCGAACCATTTCCTAGCACTTCTGAATAATTAAAAATTAAGTTTGAGATCCACAACAGTTACTTCCCTTTGTTTACGGGAACTGCCGATTGGTTTTAATTTCTTCAGCCTTAAAAGTAATTAGTCTGTTGAGTAGAAATATGTTTCAAAACAATTTTGAGAGGCATTTATTTCTATAAAATTAAGTATTTATATTATTTGAGTCTCCGGAATATTACGCGGGAGAGCCAGTAGAGCTGAAGCGCGCCAAATCTGTCGGCTGGGGAGAACGAGAAGTTGGTTGAGCGAAGCGAAGGAAATATCTGATTAAAATGGTGCGAACAAAAGCTGACGGAGGCTGTGCTGCTTCAAGGAAAGGTAAACATGTGTTTATTACATCACAACATCAGTTGCGTTGCCTATTTTCTCAAGTGTTGTTGCTCAACAGGTAGACGCGATTTTCCCCACATCTCAATTTCTGCCTTGAGAGGCAAGGCCATGTTTATATCGCTTTATGCTTCTGATTATTTGTAAGGGGATTTTGTCGGAGATGTTTGGCAGTACCATATAGGTATTATTAGTTGGACCGCCACTGAGGATGTAATGTATCTGTTTATCAGTTTGTGTATGAAAGATAATTGAGACAAATGTCGGTATTGACATAACAACAACTTCTTTCTTGTATATGAAAATCTGTCATGTATTACTATTTTTTAAAACTATTTTAGTGTGCGTCGGTGACAAAATGTGTTTCATTACCTTGTTCAGTGTGTGTTTACTTATCCCCCCAGTTGTTGCTGCGCGAGCCCCAAGGAAGAGTCTCGGAAGCCCAGCGGCTGGCTGCAGTAGCGCCGGGTCCCCAAAATCAGGTACGTAAAACATTAAAAACAAATAATTTAAAACTTCCGCCCATAACCCATGCTTCACATTTTGCCAGAGGTTGGGCATAAAGCTTTTTAATACTTTATTACTTTATTTAGACTCTCTCCCCCAAATGAACTAATCACTTGCATGAATTATGTATGAATTGACTTAACCATGCTTATGTTTGTAATACTGAATTTTTTTTGTCTTATTTTCTGTACAATATCAAAATGTGCATGTTACCTATCATATCCAACTTACTTAGGGAAAGCTATACTTTGTCTCACCTCTAAACCACATTTTTATGGAGGTCTGTTTCACATCAGGTGAATCCTGCCCCACTGTTGCCTCTTATGACAGCAATTCTACCCAGTATAGTGACCCATGGGTAGTATTTAGGAATCCTGGGTCCCAATCCACATAGCAATCTTCGCACTAAGATGATTGTAACGCCCATATTTTTACGATAGGTGTAGGACCTGTGAATATCCGGACTAGAACAGGTCTTCAGCAACCCATGCTTACCGTATGAGGTGACTATATTTGTCATGAGAGGCAATTAATGGGATGCATGTCATCGTATCCCAATGGTGAGGTCGATGCTCATTCTGTCAATACAATACAATCCAGACTTGATTATTTACTGACCGCTGTCATATAGCTGGAATATTGCTGAATGAGGCGTTAAACAGCAAAAACAAAACGATAGGCGTATAATTTAGAAAGTGTTGGATAGGGTTTCAACAACATGCTCAGTTCTCTGTGTTCTTGCAGGTAAGACAAAGTATGCTGGTGGCAACCCTGTGTGTCAGCGGCCAATACCGGACTGGCAGAAAGGCATTGGTGGATTCTTGAACAAAGGCAAAGAGAATGTCGACAGTCAGTCCAGCTCGAGTAGTGGCAGCAACAGCGATGAGATTGAAGTGCTGGAGTCAGACTCAGGGGCTGGGTAAGACTACAATTATTTCTCATTTTTAGGATGAAACCAATATGAAATCAAAATAAACTAGATAAGATAAGAAATGTCACCAGTCCTTTCCTAATTTTACTAGCCTTGAATGCCCTGTACTGTGGGTTTGGGGAATTGGTTCAATATTCAAGGTTGGATCATTGGTTTGGATAACTTTTCTGTTATGGATCGAGGATTTTAATAAAATCATTCTGCTCATTATCCTTTTTGTAAATATGAATAAATACACCAACTTTATCTTCCTCTTCTTGCTTTGCACCACAACATATTCATGTTTTTACTGGGACAATTGCAACTGTAACAGCATATGAAAATAGTGAGTTTCCATCTCAGCAAACCTGATTGTACGAGGTTCCTGGTATGTTTGAATCCCAGATTTTCTGTGAATGTGACCCTTGGTTTGTCGGCGCCATGCCTGTGCTCATTAAGAGTAAATGTGGCATGGCTGGCAATTTTGCCTGTTGCCAATCTTGCATTACAATAATATCAGTGGTAGAAACAGGGTATGAAACTCCCAAAAATTTCAGATAGACCACAGGACTGGCTAGCTGAAATACTTGCCAGCCCTGACCAAAACCTGCCTGCCCACTATAATCATATGTTTCTCAGGATAAGCTAACGGGGTTTCTTTTAGGTTACATCATTCATCTTTACATGTGAATTAATGATTATCATCGGGAAATATTTAGAATATTGTCACATATGAAATATAACCCAACCGTCGGGCGGGGGGATTTGAAAATCTGGCAGCCCGAGTTGAAATCAACCAGTTTCGGACGGTCGGGCAGGCAGGTATTTCGAACACTGGTAGAAACATTTTAGTCCACTTGATAACATTTTCCAAACCCATAAAAATGGCAAATTTCTACTGGTCCTTATTATACCTTAACTATTGGGCAATTTGGCAAGGCCTACAGGACTAGTGCCAACTTCTAACACTGTTGATGTTTTGTGTTTTATTTCAGTGCTTCTGGAAGCTGCGAGTAGGACCTCTCTGATCTCACAACCAACTACAATACACCTCAACCAACAGCCCTTCAGAGTGGTGCACCAATCACCAGTGCCTCTCTCTGGGGCTGATCTCAAGACGAACTGCAATACCCCACAACCAGCAGCCCTGAAGAGCAGTGCACTGTTCACTTGACCAGTGCCTGTTCGGGCCCTACTGCCACTGTACATAGACGAATGAATGTGTGAGAGAAGTATGCAAGAGTTGTGCCCCTTAGCTCTAAATGCCTTAAAGTTGGTTAGTTCCAGTTTGATTGTATTAGGATTCTGTTAGGTATAAGTTTGGTGGCTGTTCCCAGTTTGGTATTCCTTCGTGGACATTTTAGATCTCGGTCACTGCTCACATCGTTCTTGAAAAGGAAATGGGTACACAGTATGAAGTGCTTTTGGGGAACATCGTCATCTGTAAATATCCACTTAAAGTTAAACCTATTTCATCATTGTATGCAAAGATGTTTGTCATATATTTTCATGTAGTATTTTATATTTAGCTACTGTGAAATAAATGTTTTAAAAGCGTAATGAAAGATGTTGCAGTTGTTTCTCAGGTTTGAAATAAACTGGAGGATAGGAGTGAGTGAGTTGGGTTTAACGCTGCTTTGAACAGTATTCCAGTGATTTCATGGCGTAACAGCTTTATGTGGGAGAAAGCCCGAAGTGATGTATGTCTCGAACGTTGACCCCTTCGGTGAAACCCAGGAGCACTGGTATGGTGGTGACAAACCTAGAAACATAATCGGGGCGAACCAGGATTCGAACCCCCAATCATAGGTTTCTGGTGTGCTCAAGGGACGCAACTCTGCACAGTGAATCGCAGCGCCTTATACGTGCCCCCTTGAGGATAGAAAGTGAATATCACTTAATGATGCAGTCAGCATTATTCCAGGTATGGTGCATTGATTATAATATTTACATAGCACGCATGACGGATCAACTGTGATAAGAAAGAATCAGGAGTATTTTGACCTCTTTTGAGTAGTTTATTATGAATCCCTTCAATTTTCAAGTTTTTGATGCATTTTGGAGGACAAAACCTACTATGCCATGTGTACCAAAGTTGCAAATGACATTTTTATAAACTCGGTTCCATGCAACAGGATCTTTGAAACCTCAATTTGTGATGCAAAGTTGACACCATTGAATTTGGCAGTCCAGGCTTGTGAAGGTGTTATATATTTTGAACCTGCCTTGGCATTGCCTTGTTGTGTGTGGAGGTCTCCGTGACATGGTTCAGGTTGATTGCATGTCAGTGTATCAGTGGATTGGTGCTCATGGTGTCAATCACTGGTTTGTATAACCCTGACTCGTCATTTTGCAAGAATATTTCTGAGTACGCCGTCCAACAGTTATTAAGGTTTTGTGGTGTTCGTATCACGGCTGACGAAAGTAAAAAGAAGCACACGTGTAATAATCACCAAACCTGGATAGTTTCTAAATGCTTTTTCCATATTGTTTTCGTCATATATTGCCGCTGGCGACTCTTTATATTGTAGCATGAAGAAAGTGTATCTTCAATTGCTGGATGAAAAATAATTGCTTTCTGTTAAAACAAAAGAAACCATGACAACAACACTAGAAGTATGCAGTATGCCCACAAGGGCTCTCTATTCTACTTAACACATTATTTTCACACAATCTCATTAAAATCAGATTTTTGTTTAGCGGTAGCGAGAACTAAGGTCTGATTTTAATTAGATTGATTTTCACATTACTTGTATTTTATGCCCCAGACAATAACAAAGAAGACTTTTCACTTGGAAAAACTCAAACTGGACACCACAGGCTTGTGGTTGAGAAAACTTCAATCGTTGTATCTACTCCATAACCATTTGTCATTCCTTTTTCAAATATTCAGAGGATGTTCAGAAGTCTTTGTGCTGTTCAATAGGGACCGCCTCAGTTGCCCCCGTAGTCAAGTGGATATAGCGTCTGCTCGGTGGTTCGAACCTGGCCGCGTGGTACCGAAATGCTTTGAAAGATGGTACTTGTTGTTACCCTGCCTGGCGACCAGCTTTAAGGGAATGAAACAAGGAATGGTCGGTTCGGCGTCAGCACACTGTGTCAGTGGGGTATCCATGTCAACGGCATGGTATCTGGGCGTGCTGCACTATAAAACCGGACTTGTCACACAAGCGGTAAATTGACGTGCATGCTCGTCGCTATATAAGTGTAATAATCTTGAACGTGACGTTTAACTCCATCTCACCAAACCCGTTCCTTTGTGTTAGCAGTGATATATATATTAATTATATTGATTGCATTTATTTAGATATTCAAGCTGTTAACGGTTATATTTGTAAAGATGTTCTTTTATCGTTTATTTCTGATAATAGTTATCCGTCAAGGACAAAGCGATCAGAAAATAATTACATTTATAAAGTAAATTTTATCTTCACTCTTGGAATGTACAGCATCGCTGTCGGTAAAACGACTTGGAATATAGAAAAACTGGTGCTATTTTCAAAACAATAAATTAATTGGAAATACTGTATTTTGCGATGTCTCAGATGGCGAGCTGATTTCTTGTTATCAAAGGAATAGAAAACTTTGTTGTTTTTTTGGCAGTTATTTAATCAGTATTAATAAAACCAGAACAAAAAAGCTGTAGTATCTCCCCCAAATCATTCGACCTTGTTTTAACAGTGGATGGGAACGGTGATGTTGCCTTGTGATTAATGTGTCAATGGTCATGTCGAAGACCCGGGTTCGATTCCCCACCTTAGTACCCCGCTGGGATATCATGACAGATTAACTACAGTCAAATGAAAGAAAATCGGGTGTTCTGTAACTATACTACTCAAAAGAAGTTAAGGATCACCCGATTCTTTCATATTGGTAATGTTAATCTGTCATGGCATGAGAGATTAATTATTGTAATATGAAAGAATCAGGTGATCCTTAACTTCTTTTGAGTAGTATATATAGTGTATATTATTTTTGAAACATTGCTGCTAACTTGTTCCCATGTTTACCGCGTACGTTATGGAGGCAGTCCAAATATATTTCACCGGATGCAATATAAATAGTTCCTCAATAACAGTAATATAAAACATCATCAATGTCCGTCCAGTCAGTTTACTTAAAAAGTTGGAAGTATTTAAACTGCGAAGAGAATCATAAATGTGACGTCGCTCCCCAAGCCACGACAGCGAATGGACCCCGGGACATCTATCGCAACATAATGGATCTATACCAGCACACTGGATAGTCGAGAATACAGTGGTTGAATAGGTCTTCAGCAACCCATGCTTGCCGTAAAAGGTCACTATGCTTGATCGGGTGGTCACGCTCGCTGACTTGGTTGCTGCATGTCATCGTATCCTAATTGTGTGGATCCATGCTCATGATGTCAGTCACTTGATAGTCTGGTCCAGACTCGATTATTTACAGACAGCCGTCATATAGCTGGAATGTGGCTGAGTGCGGATTTAAACAACAAAAACAACAAACAAACAAAAGTGGTTGGTGCGCTACTGGGAGATTGTATAGACACAGACTATAGTCCTCGCCACTTGGGCAGTGGGGTTGCCTTGTCACGCCGATGCCCCGGATTCGATTCCCCAAATGGGTACCATGTGTGACGCCTATTTCTGGAATATTGCCAAAAACGGCGTAAAACCATAGTCACTCAACTCGCCACTTACTATAGAATCACGAAATATCGCGATGATATATTACTATTGTGTGCTTATGCGTATTAAGTGAAATCAAGCCATTTCGGCGGTAAATTATACTACTTACAGTGATGACAAAAAATATAAAGTGCGCTTTTCAAGAAATGTCAATTTTCTTAGCGATAAACATCATCATTGAGTTTTGATCGCGTGGTTACAATCTGGGTACGAATCAGGTGACTGCGAGCGGTTGTATTTAGCAGTGACCGTCAATAGCGCATTGAATACAACATCTGCACGTGTTTTTCTTTCAGTCCGTACTGGTAGCGTATGTTCCCTGTACACGCTTGCCTATTATGGTCGCTCACAGTCACCTGACTGCCCATCCTCAGAATGTAATCACGTGATCTAGTGGTAGAGCGTATGTCCGGAGAGCGGAAGCTAGGAGGTTCGATCCCTGGCCGCGTCATACCAAAAGACGTAAAAGAGATGGTAATTGTTGTTACCCTGCCTGGCACTCTGCATTAAGGGGCTAAAACAGGGAATTGTGGGCTCGTAGACAGTATACTGGAGTGGGGTATTCATGTTACACTGCGGCATTGTATCTTAGTGGGCTAGCACTATAAAATCGGCATTAGTCCGGACTAGTACAAACAGCCACACACACACACACACACACACACACACACACACACACACACACACGTGCATACGTCGTTATACAAGTGCAAACCTCTTAAACACGACATTAAACCCCATTTCACCTCCCCACCACCTTATAAATGAGACATTGTAACATGGAACAGGAACCCCTCCCCCTCCACATCACTTGTTCTATTCCACATAGAAATATAAACTTAATCAGGACGGTACCGTTAAACTTAAAATATACAAATTTAAATGAATCATTGAAGTAATGTCTCTTTGAAAATACACATGTCGACATTAATTCCCAGTAATCGCCCATCCTCGATTATCCAGCCTATTATCATATCTCCATCCCATTATGATACGCCGGATAATCGAGGACGGTATAATCGCATGGCATATAAGGGTTTACACCGGAGACTAGTCCTGCACCATGACCGTGGAATATATTTATTTTATGAAAAAATAATAATCTAGAAATGCATACAAAAGCAAGTCTAGCCAGCTCAAGCTAGCTCTATCCAAATCAGCATAGGGGAATTTTTTTATCTTTAGAGTCAAGAAGGATATTGTGTAATATAAGATTTCAGAGACTAAATGTTAGTCTAACCGGAGACCATTATACAGCCATGACCTTTATGAGAGTCTGCAGTGTGACAAATTAAAGTCTGTGTGATGACACATGGTTCTGGTTGCTTTCTGGGTCATGTTACACGCAAGCGGTATTTGTTGGATTCTTCTGCTGTGGTCGACATGTTACCGCTTGAAGCAGCTACTTCTGAAAGTATGTATTTGGTGTGTTATCTATATTATGTATGGGGGTGCCAACACCCCATCCTCCAAGGCATCCAGTATACCACTTAATCAATCAATCAGTTTATTCGGTAATAAGGCAGCAGGCCCACCTACAGATATATACAATTTAGTTTCACATCAAGTGCTGCATGAAATAATATTTACAAGTAAGAAGAGTGAGTGAGTGAGTATGGTTTTACGCCGCTTTTAGCAATATTCCAGCAATATCACGGCGGGGGACACCAGAAATGGGCTTCACACATTGTACCCATGTCGGGAATCGAACCCGGGTCTTTGGCGTGACGAGCGAACGCTTTAACCACTAGGCTACCCGACCGCCATATGTTACCGGGTTACCCTGCGAGTTTCTGAACGAAGACAGATAACATCTTTAACATAATTGGCTAAGTTCTCAAGACAGTTGACATCAGAGTTTAACATTCCAACTATGTATGTCTTTATGATTATTACCAGTAATAAAGTCTAAATATGGGAAATATTTTGAGCGAATATCTTCATAAATAGGGCAAACAAGAATTAAATGAATTTCATTTTCAACTGTGCTTAACTTACACAATAGACAAAACCGGAGTGTCTTATCCGATGCCATCCCTCCTTCCTGTTTTATACATAATTCCCAGTTCTCCAATACGTAAAAGGGTAGGCATACGTAGTTTTTCTTTTGATAATACATTTAATAGATACGGTTCAAGTGATAATGATGTCTTAAATAATGAATACAGTTCTAATTTCGAGCATCCAGATGCTTCAGAATACCATGAATACCATAGAATGACAGTCCTTAACCATCAGTATAAATAAACACTTATAAAATATTTAGGATCACCAGCACCTTGAAATTCCCACACATATTAGGAAGCTAAAACCAGTATCTTAAACATCTTGGGTAAGAATCAATATAAATACAAGATCGACCACATTCTCCGAGCACTGCAACACTTGTAGATTTGGAACAAATACCCAATACAGATTTACAAAACGTCGCTTGGAAACGTTCGAGAAACAACCATTTTTGAACATACCAAATCTTGGAACCATATAAAATAATAGGTTTAATCTGAGAGTCGAACATTTTAAACAACACTTTAAGAGCCATATTTCGAAGTTTATAACTGAGCTGTTTTATAGGAATTAAAGCTTTACTTGCTTTCACTGTAATATGTGAGGTGAGGTGAAAATTGGGTTTAACGTCGCGTCCAAGATTATTGCACTTATATAGCGACGTGCATGCACGTGTGTGTGTGGCTGCTTGTACTAGTCCGGACTGATGCCGATTTATAGTGCTAGCACACTGAGATACCATGACGCAGTTTAACATGAATACCTCACTCAGATACAGTATACTGACTCCGAGCCGACCAGTCCTTGTTTTAGCCCTTTAATGCCGAGCGCCAGACAGGGTAACAACAAGTACCATATTTTAACGTCTTTTGGTATGACGCGGTCGGGGATCGAACCCCGGACCTTCCACTCTCCGGGCGGCCGCTCTACCACTAGACCACTGAGGCGGTTGTAATATGTAGAATACTGTAATACTGTTAACTGTAATATGTAGAAACCTTGACAGGCATATGGCCTAGTTTCCATTTCTCGTAGTTCCTTGACTTACCACCATTACGTTTGTTTTTGTTGTTTAACGCCGCACTCAGCAATATTCCATCTATATGACGGTGGTCTGTAAATAATCGAGTCTGGACCAGACAATCCAGTGATTGATATCATGAGCATCGATCCACGCAATTGGGATCGATAACATGCATCAACCAAGTCAGCGAGCCTGACCACTCGATCAAGCATAGTGACCTTTTACGGCAAGCATGGGTTGCTGAAGACCTATTCTTACCCGGATCTTCACGGGTAACCACCATTACGAAAAACTAAGATATCAGTTTTATCCGCGTTAACATTTAGACCCAATTTGTTACAAGATTTGTGTAATACATCAATCTTCTCCTGTAGTTCAAGAACTGAATCTGGAAAATAAACGAGTCATCCGTATATAAGAGAAGAACCAATTCCAGTATTTCCTCATGTACAAATATCCCTCTACCACCACAGTGTTGGATGCCCTCTTCCAACTGATTTGTGAATAACGAAAACATAAGAGGGCATAAAACGCACCCTTGTCGTACACCACTGAGACTGTTAAAATAATCTGAGATGTACTCTTTGAAATTTTAACATAAGCAAATGTTTCAGAATAAATGTCCTGTATGATAGTAAATATTTTCCCATGAATTCCATTTGAACGCAGAACAAACCGAAGACGATCCCTATTTTAGAGTCGAAAGCTATCTGAAAGTCTATGAACATACACTCAAATCTTCCTTTTGACTTAGACAATTATTTCTGCACTAATGATTGAAGAATAAACATGTTATCCACTGTGGAATATCCTTTTCGGAAGCCAGCCTGACATTCTGGGAGCTTATCATATAACAAAATGCTTTAATCTGTTTTTCAAAACCTAGGTAAAAACCTCACCACGAATATCCATCAAATGCCCCTATAACTATTACAACATGAACATTACCTTTTTTTATGGAGAGGGGAGATAATACTTTTAGACCACTGATCTGGAAAACTACCACTGCATAGAATGTTGTTGAAAAGAACTAGAAGATGTGAAATTTAAACATCACTGCCATCCTTCATCATCTCTGGCAAAATACCATCAGGACCAGCTGCTTTACCACATTTGAGGGAATCTATGGCTTCTGAAACCTCTTTACCCGTTATTTCTTGATTTAGCAAACTGTCAACATCTTCACGCACGACAATTCATGATTTTAACTGGATGTTCTGTAATAACAGCTTTGCAGAGCGCAACAAAATCCACATCAGTTATCAGTAATCAGTAATATTCAAAACAGATTAAAGTAATCAATCCCCTGAGAAACACCAGTACTGGGGCCTCTTTGGTTGCCATGCGGAACCATGTAATCCAACTGTGCGCCGTATTAAAGGATTTCATCGCAGGTCCATGTGTAAAGCTCAAGTGGCAGTCAGACTAACGAGTGTGGGTGGTTACAATGAGTGACTTTGAGCCAGTGTAGCTTAGGGCGTGCCTCACACAGACCACCACTAGAATGCCCGGCCGCGTCATACCAAAATATGTTAAAAGAAGGTTCTTGTAGCACATCGGTATAAGGGTAACGTTGACCCAGTTTCCGTTTAGCGAGATATTAGCCCTTTTGGACACTGTGAATAATTGACGTGCCAGGAAACAGGAGTAAACATATTACCGTTAGGGAGGTATCTCTCATAGAGAAGTATGGTTCATGGTTAAAAATAACAAACGCACTTACAAAGTTGTGGGTTTCAATTTTCTCCATGTGCAGATCTACTTCATTGTAAAATAATGTTACAACATTGTAGTTATTACTTTGAAAGAAGATTAATTATGGAAAAGAAATGTAGATGCATCAATGTCAACAGAGTCATGTGTACCACTATGATTGTTTCAACTTTATACCTCATGTTCCTTGGAAACAATAGCAAATGTTCCAGGAAGTCATTGTTATAAAAACTTAGTGCTAGTTTCGTTTTCATAATATGTTTATTTTCTACATTTATATTACATAAATATTTAAACTGAAATGTGCCACATTGTCATTCCTGATTCTGAAGGTACCACGTGCAAATTACAATTTGTTTTCTGTTCTGGATTGCACATGTGCGCGTTATGACAGGACAGGTACTTGCATCAACAGGAAGGTATGCTACAAAAGTTTCTTGTGCCGTGTTGATCCTCTGGATCTGTTTTCACAGATAGAGACTCAAGAATTACCACCAATGGATTCAAAGATGGACTTACTCTACCGGACAACTATCCCACAGTGCTCCAAAAGTACACTTCCTGTCGATGGCGTCTTGCGTACCTGTTATTCGTGTCGTGTATTCTCGCGCAATCAGTGGAATATTGTATGAACTTTGCTGTCGTGTGTATGACACGAGGCATTACACTTGAGGTCGGATATGCCCCAACTGACACTGACGAGCATCATTCTAACTCTTCCATCATCCACAGTACCAGGTCGCCAAACACTACAAACATCACTGAGGTAAACTAAAAGGGTCTAACTAAACCTTATAATGTAACTATCTGTCTTTTTGCTTTCTTTGGGTATGTCAACATTTCTTGATTTGTTTGTGGGGAATGTCTCAAAACGTAAGGAATTAAAAAAAATTAAATTCTACATCGAAGTTTTGAATTACAGCTCCCTGACACGATTAACGAGTTTTGGAAACGGAGTTATGTCTTGCTGTAAAAGTTTCAAGATTAACAGTGTCTGGATTAACTAATCATGGATATTGCTCAACGCCGCATTCAGCACTGTTCCAGCGAGATAACACTGTGGGCAGTTGGGTCTCCTACTTTTCGAATCCCAGATTTGCCCTGTTATATACGGTTATTGGTCTGTCAGCCCGTGCTCGACGGTTTCAACAAAGTGACACACGTCTATTATCTGCTTCACTCCGGGCTTTCCGTCCTTTCTGTCCTATCATATTTGAATATTAGATTTCAGTGCGAGTCCTCTATTTTTGCAGGTTATCAAGGGAGAATTTGATTACAGCAGCGAGATACAAGGACTACTTATTTCATCTCCCTTCTATACCAGCATCATATCTTCGTGTGTCGGCAGCATAGCGTCACGAAGGTTTGGTGCAAAAATAGTTATATTCCTTGGTGTTCTTACTTTCGGCACGATGACAGTCCTGATACCCCTCGCTGCAAGAACTCAGTTATATCTAGCGGTCATTTGTCGGCTATGCGTGGGATTTTGTAACGTAAGTATAGTAAATTGGCTTAACTATACACATTGAATTATTTCGTGACCAATTGTGCCATTCCGGATGACGATTACGGAAAGGATCGAGTTTGGGCGAATGATTGTCGGGTTGTTGAACGTCCAACATTCTGAAATAAATCGATTGTCGTTATTGGTTATTTTATTAATCTGAATATTAAAGCACACAAAAACGTTTTTGGAAGATCAAAAATCAATCGTAAACGTTTGACGTAAACGACTATGAAATACTTCATTGCGTGAAATAAGAACTTTGGCATTTCGTAGAAGTCGAGAAATTAGTCCTAGTCCACTTGGCGTTGCACACTGCATGCTAATTTAGAACGTTGTTGGTCAAATCTGTGTTCCGGTAATTAGGGACCGATTTTTTTAATATTCTAAGGCTGGGATTTAAGAAAAACAAACCTAGTAAGTATGCTTTGTCCTCGGGTTTAAAATAAACTCATTGTTTTTTTCAAAAGGTTGGTCCCTGACACGAATACCCCAACATGTCTGACTGACGCTCCTAAACTTGTCCCTCCAATACAGACACCAAATCATGGACGTGACGATGGCGTCGTGACGTGTTTGGTATTCAAATGCATACCAAACGTGCTTGCCCTTGAGAATGGTTGGTTATCATGAGAAAAAAAACCAAAATCAAAATCTTTGTAAGGCATGTTACTGTTCGCAGTTAATTTTGTAAAACGAGGTTGACAAACCTAGAAACATAATCAGCGAATAAGATGTTCCTGGCACGCCAAAGAGGCGCAACTCTGCACAGAGGCGCCTTAGATGGTTGGGCTACCTGTGACACCCCCCCCCCCCCCCCCCCCCCCCCCACACACACACACACACACACACACACACCCACACCCTCCAAGCCAGGCGAAGTCACTTTAAGGGTGCTTTAATCTGGATCTTTTCCATATTATGGTTCATGTCTAATTATATTTGTAACAGGGCCTTCTAATACCGGCATCCTTTGATCTATGGCTCCAATGGTCACCATCACATGAAACACAGCAGATAGTGGCTTTCTGTTTTGCTGGTAAATATTGCTTTTGATTCCAACTGATGTCCAATCAACAGCCAGCAATCCATCGTTTTTCCGAAGCTACACTGCCATTCGTCAACGCTCGACCCTTCCCGTTGTCCCGGAAAAATGAGTTACCATTCATGGCGTTCCGGGACAAGTCAAATGGCAACTGAAGCGGGCATTACCAAAAAAAATATGAAATTGTGATACTACTCTCGACAAAAATATTTTCGTTTTGTTCATTGTTATTCCTGCATTCTGATTAGATTATTTGATCACGTGTTATTGCATTCATTTCCCAATGAATGTAAAAAAATTAAGCCGCGCCCACCGAGGAATGTCGGGGAATCCCAATATTACAGTCGAGCAATTCCCATTCTGCTCACATGTGTCGTCATACAAGGGGCATTTAGCGAAATTCATGCATATTCAATGTCCAAACTACCCTTTGAGGTCGAAAGCAGAGAAGGAATGAAACATCGAACGTGCAGGCTCGCTCGCCTGGGTTCCACAAATTTTATGTCTTCGGGTTTCATTTCTAATTCGCATTTTTACAACTGTGTCTTCCAGTTCACAGGAAAGTAATGTTTGAATCTGGCGGTTACTGACTATTAGTCATTGAAACAGACGTCTTCTTCCTGACCTATTTGTTCCGGTTCGTGACAGCCCGACAGTTACAGTTCTTCTCACTTCTTGCCTTGATGACAGGGCCAATGAACTTTGTTTTGGTCCTTACTCTCCGATGATTGGCTCCTGACTTTGTGAGCATGTCAAGTTATGTGCATAAATGAAACAATCACCTGATTCATGTCACGCCACAGTATGTATCCCTACACCTGAAATGTTTTTTTTGTTAAACTATTGTAGATAACACATCTTTTTGTTGTCAAATTTAATTATAAGGATTGACTGTGGATTTCTTTTCGGTTCATTGATGAATGAATCGAAAAACCGATATGCAAACTTTTGTAAGAATCCGCTATCCTTAATTGGTATTTACAACATTAATACAATTAGATTAAGTTTTACACTGTCATATTTAGTTACCTGTCAGCAAAACAAATTAAAAATGGTTTCTTTGACAACAGATACTCAGATATCGTCAAATGAGTACCAGTTGGCGGTACACATCTTTTCGACCGAAATCTGCACGTTGAAATCCAATTAGTTTACGAACCGGATGTAAGTTCGGCATTAAAGAACAAGCAAACAAGCACTGACTGTATAGATAGAAGGAATACTTAGAACTGAATAGATGTACATGTTTCAGCCAATGTCTATGATCAGGCAATATGTATATTGACTGAAATTCAGTAATTTTGATTGATATATTCAGTCAATATACACATTGCCTGAAAAAAGAAACTGTATTTTGAGACAGATTGACTGAAATGAATAAGACTCCTTAATACATTCTCCTTATATTTATTTGGGTCTATTTTGATCTTTCGAAGATCAAAGTTACTTCTGTAAGTAAGACAATGTTTTCATAGATGTAGCCAAGTTGACACAGCTACGGTATGGTATTTCTGTCCACATTATTGTAAGGGCCACTGTCACTTATTGTTTTGACATGTTTCAGATCACTGCTGAGTGTTATTTGACTAATTAACTGTTTGGCTTCTAATCTGTTTCGCTTTTCTTTTTTATTAAGAAAACAAAGATAATAACTGATGTTTCGACATTTGTTAACAACAGACTATTTCCAATATTTTGTGTAAACTGCATACTGATCCAAATTAAAAATAAAGTTATGGAGTCTAATTCATTTCAGTCGATCTGTCTAAAATCTAGAGTCATTTTTCAGGCGTTGTGTAAACTGACAGAACATTTTAGCCAATATGTCCATAGCCTGAGTGAGTCAATATTTTCAGTCAGTATACATATTAAATATGATTGATTAAATACATTGACTGTAACATATATAATAATATACGTTGATTGAGAAGATGAGTGACGTGGGTGTTGACAGCTTGAGTCTTGGTCTTCGGTGCCACTCCATTCTAAAACACATGTTACATGTGGTGTCTTCTAAGGCAAGTGACTTTGTTCGAAAGATGCCTTTGTTCATCCAGCAGTGAATATGTACCCGGACGGATGAGATGGTAATGTGACTCTTAACCTCATAGGCAGCTTGTGTTCTATTCTTCCCAGGGAGCTGAGAATGAAATCGAGTGTACATTGAGACATTGCCTGGGGTAATAATATAATTCACTAAGTGAATAGAAACTAATGCATTATAAACTGACAACCAATTATTATTATTATTATTATTATCATCATCATCATCATCATCATCTTTAAAATAAAAATGCAGCAAAGAGGGTTTGGGTGATCCTGGCACAGTCAGGCTGGTTAGGCTCATCATCAGCTCAGGCCCCTTGCCCCCTCTACGGTTATCTCCCAAAACCCCTACATCCCATTTCCCCTACAACCCAGTTCCCCTACAATTAGTTAAAACAACACGCGGCATTTACCTGTCTGGTATTATGAACTCACCTAAAGGAGAGATTAAGGTCTGGAGTAGACGTAGAAGAAATGAAAGGGGTAGAGCTTTAGGGGACTAGGGGAAGTTTGGGTTTTTTTAAATAATGTAAGTGTAATGAAAGATGCCTATATGATGAGAAGACAATTTTTAAAAATTACAAAAATAACAATAGGAAGAAACAATTATTACACTGAGAAACTGAGATGGACGATTTACAGTTGAGATGGCTAGGTTTAGTATACAGATACTTGAAACTGACTAACATGACATCAACATGTCTGGGCTTCGCTATGTTGAGTGTGTTATGTCACAGAGAGGAAAGACCTAAGTCCTATTTGATGGTTATCTTCACACTAAGAACGTCGAGAGACTGACTTGCGTACACTGGTAGTGTGTCAAGTCCACATGTAGAGGAAGACTCACGACAGTAGGAACCGTGATAAGGAATGCTACAGAGGACACGTGGGTTGACGCAACGGACACCACACCAGATGTACCGAGAGCTGTCGCCTTCAACGACTACATCGTCACTACCTGGGTCGACCACGGAGCACGATTCCCCCTACCACTGTGGAACCATCACGGTACAACAGGTCCCAGGACGAACAACAACCTGGAAGGCTTTCATAACCGACTCAACCGAGGTCTCCCTCACCGACACCCCCACATCTACCGATTTGTGGAGGTAGTCAGGAAGGTGGAACAGGCAGAACGAGCTAAGATTTTACAGCTCGACTTTGGAGCAGGTCCAAGAGGCAGGAAGAGAGTGTACAGAGAGGTGGAGAACCGTCTTGAATAGACGAGTTGAATAGAGAGGTGAAATCCCCAATGCAGTTTCTATATGCGGTTGGCCATTTCCTCAGGCTGGGATAAAGAGTGAATTGAACATTTGAGATGAAATTTATTATAATGTATTATGAATTTTGAAAAATGAACATTTTATTATAATGTATTATGAATTTTGAAAAATGAACATTTTATTATAATGTATTATGAATTTTGAAAAATGAACATTTTATTATAATGTATTATGAAATTTGAATAATATCGTAATCGTAATTTAATATTTATCTCAATCTATTCGTGTTTCTTGGGTTGTTTCATTGTATGAAATAGGTAATAGACTAGGGATTAGCAGTGCCATGGACCGTGAACTTTGTTGTCTTAAGCTGTAGGGGAAATGGGATGTAGGGGTTTTGGGAGGTTACCCCCTCTACACGCAGCCCAGACAGCGAATGGAACTTCTCACACAGGAAGCGCTGCCTAGTCAAACCCAACCAGAACATTTCGGAGAATGTGAAGACTTCCCAACACTGCAGCCTTCTGCATTACCCAGATTGTCAGAAGAGCTGTATTCCTGGGAGCAAACCCGGGTACTCTCCAAATGCCAGTCAACAGTTTGGGAGATACCAAACCTAAGGCACCGAGAACAATGGGGAGTCGGACAACTTGGTACTTAAGATGCAAGCGTGACATTTCGAAAGCGAGATCCGCATATTTGCCATGTTTTTCATCAATCTTGTCAATCACATTAGTGTCAAAGGGGACAGAAAATTGAACGATATAGATGATTTCATTGGATTTATCAAATAGGACAAGATCAGGTTTTTTTGGCCTGTATATATCTGAGGCTGTAAATGGGCCTATTCGAAAGAATTTTGTATTTATCATTTTCCATAACGCCCTCTACATAATCCGGGTCGTACCATGGGTGGACCTCTGTGTCAAAACCACAAGCATGGCGATGGTAATAAAATGATCGAGCTACACCATCATGTCGTTTAAGATACCGTGTTTGTGCCCAAGCTGGGCATCCACTGACCATGTGTTGGACAGTCTTATTAAATTCATTACATAATCTACATTTCATATTTACATTTTGATGCAAAATCACACATTGACGGTTTCGAGTGGGAAGTGACTGGTCCCGAGCAGCAAACAGAAAGCCTTCTGTTTCACTTTTCAGGCCAGACGACTTCATCCAAGCAAATGACTCTGCAGAATTGCTTACCTTCTCAACACACTGCACATTAACTCGATGCAGTGGTCGTTCAGATAGCCTCTCCTTTAAAAACTGAGTCTGGGCCGACTTGATATGGCAATTCGCTTGGTTGACACTCATTTCTGTACCGTCCAGCAGTACAGAGCCATCAACAAAATCAACACCGACATTGAGTTTATGTCCCACATTCTTGGCTCGTTTAGAAAACTCTGGAATGCCTTGTTTTCTTCATGAGTCTTGATATTCTTCACAAGAGGATCATCAGACATATAAATGTGTTCAAAAGTGCACAAAACAATTCTGTCATGAAGAGCCCCAACGTTAATCAAACCACGTCCTCCCATAATGATTGGTAAATATAAGCGATTGAGGGAAGAGCAGGGGTGGTGGGATCTATTGTCTGACATGATTCTTCGTGTGAGGGTGTCAATTCCCTGGATTTCTTTTTTCGTCCAATCAACAATTATATTAACACGTGAAGACCGGGATCGGTGGTAAGGTTGGTTGATGCATGTCATCGCATCCCAACTGCGTGGATCGATGCTCATGATGTCAATCACTGGATTGTTTGGTCCGTATTCGATTATTTACAGACCGCCGCAGAGTGCGGCGTTAAACAACAAACATTATTATTATTATTATTATTATTTCAATGCACTTCTTTGCATCAGTAAATACTCGTAACTGTGTTTGTTTCAGGCTACTCCGTGGCAACCATAATTACGTTTAGCCTGTGCGGATTTCTGTGCATGATTCCAGTCGACAACGGTTGGCCATTCATTTTTTATGTGTTTGGTAAGTTTTTTTGTTTCCCTGTCGTGCAGAAATGTCACTATTTATGGCTGACAGTCGGTAATAAGGCTAGGCATATCACCATGAATGCTTAGCATTAAATAGGAAAGCTTTAAAAAAAGTTTTTTATAAAAATCTAATATAATAACTATATACTTTGCATCTGGCACCTTCACCATTGAGGCACTAATTATATTCATTAAACGCTTGTAAACACTCCCGGCGCGGTCGGGTAGCCCAGTGGTTAAAGCGTTCGCTCGTTACCCCGAAGACCGGGGTTTGTTTCCCGAAATGGGTACGAAGTGTAAAGTCCATTTCTGGTGTCCTCCGCCGTGATATTGCTGGAATATTGCTTAAAACCATACTCGCTAGCTCGCGCTGTAAACATTCCCTCTGCTGTAAGGAATCTTCTGGATTACTGCAGCCCGTGTGTTCTGGCTGGACTATTGCTAAGGCGGCACCAAACAACATTCACCTATTCAGCGCTAAGTTGAAGCGTTTTTGTTATTTTGAAGGTGGTTGTGCTGTTCTCTGGTCTCCGGCATGGATGTACATTGCGACCAACTCGCCGGAGACATACGCTGGGATATCACACGAAGAAATGGCCTATATCAAAACACGCAGAACTGGTTCGGACAGCCACAAGGTTAGGTTTAATATAATGTTATCACATAATTTTATTCAATAAAGTTAAGCTTAATTATTCCGGTCTGGGGCCGAATCTGAAGCTTTACAAACCATTATGTGTCTGGATGGTTAAACAACTTTTAGAAGTTTCAAATTAACATTCATCTGATTAATAGTGTAGAATAGAGCCACATAAAAGTATGTATTTTCCACATATTCCAGTGTAGCAACACTACTTTAGCTGCACCTAAAGGGAATACACGTAGCACCGTTCTTTGGTTGGCGTAGAAAGAGGTGCTCACAGTTGTCTGAAGTGCACACAAGGAACGCTAAATCAGCGAGCGTCATTTTCCCTCGCTCGCTGTGTTACAATTTCAACGAAAAACCTCAGACTAACATCTTGTTTCTGAAATGAATATATCTGACAGAAAAAAAAGTTGTTAAATTATCTGAATAAAAATATAATGAAAAGGAGCTCAGAGACTCCATCATTCCTGATACTGCAGTAATCTAGACTTGCCAAACTTTATAGACTAGCATGGGCTGTGTTGGATATATTTGTATCAGGGTCTGTATGACAGACAGCCAAAACCTCGGAGGCGTGCTTTATGCTGTAAGTGACTCACTGTTTCAGGACAGAGAGGTCCCGTGGTTGGCTATAGCTCGGAGTAAGGCTTTCTGGGCCTACATCACCATCATGTCAAGTCACAATTTGAACAGTACTATCCTATTCAGTTATCTCCCTTTGTATATGGATACAGTACTGCATTTTGACTTTGATGAGGTAAGTGGTGGACGTTTCCAGGTTGGTAGAATTTAGACTGGTTGATTGCGCCATGACGGTTGATTGATGAGTTCTGAGCGTAACATGGAAGGAATTACGTGGTAGCGACATCTCTATTTGTGGACTTTGCATGATGTTTATCGGAGTATATCTACAAACACTTGTCAGCTGAGCAAATTGTCCCTCTGTGACAAGACAGTAAAATTAGGAGGGGTCTGGGACATTTTGAAAATGGAACGAGAAGTCATCAAGTCCTCTTGTCCAACATTCCTTGTGTGTGGCTCAGAACGTATGAGTCAATCCTCGTTTTTCTTTACTGTTTAGGTGGCACGGGTGGCCCAGTCGTCTAAGGCGCCGCGATTCGCTGTGCAGAGTTGCGTCCCTTGGGCACGCCAGAAACCTATGATTGTGGGTTCGAATCCCGGTTCGCCCCGATTATGTTTGTCAGCACCATACCCGTGCTCGTGGGTTTCACCGAAGTGGTAAACGTCTAAGATCTGCATCACTTCGGGCTTTCCTCCCACATTAAGCTGACACGCCGTGATATAACTGGAATACTGTTAAAAGCGGCGTTAAATCCAACTCACTCACTCACTCACTTTACTGTTTGACGCCCATTTCCATACAAGGTCTAATCCTTGAATTTTGGCCGTGAGTGAAAATGAGACACTGTCTGTGTGTAATTTAGTTCTCATAAACTGCGAGAATACATGAATAATAAGATTTGAGTTGATAAACAAAAATGGAGTTTTAAGACACGATCATGTTTGAAATACCAATGTGTCCGGTTATATTCCGCCATCAACAACTGGTTAAGGCCATGTTCATATAGTTTCTCGGCACCTAATTACAAACGAAATTATCGAATTTTATTTCGTCATTCAACCATTCCATCCTAAATTGAACGGCATCCTTGATCACCAGAACGGGTTTCATCTAAGATTATATCTTTAGAAAGGATAAAAAAAAGTCTCAAAATGCGGAACCAGAACCGAAATTAGCATGCGAAAAAATATAATTCCGATGCTTCAATGTAAGAGGCTTATCACCAGGCAGTCACGTGTATTTCCCACAGAACGGTCTTCTGTCCTCGCTGCCTTCTGTTACTCGCCTGCTTGGAACCCTGATCTGGAGCCACATCAGCGTCCGGCTGCAGCGCGTGACGTCACTGTCCATCACACGGAAGTCCATACAGACAGCAGGTGTGGTAGAACACATATGAATGTTGTTTTACGTCTCAGTCATTGTAAGTCATACCAAGGCATGGTTCACAATAGGAAATTCCTGTAATCAGTTACAACTCCGACTATAGGAAAAAAGATGGTTTGGTTTTACGCCGTGTTTAGTAATATTCCAGCAATATCACGACGTGGAACACTAGAAATGGACTTGACACATTTTACCCATGTGCGGCAGCGACCCGGGCCTTTGGCGTCACCAGAGAAAGTTTGTATCCATTATACTAATCCATCGCGCTCCTAAATACCCTGGCCTGGGACAATGTTTGCGAAATGTTCTAACGAGACCTGTAAATCTGATTTTAATGAGATTGATTAACTCCCTGCAAGGGTGGCCCAATCGTCTGAGGCGTCGCAATTCGCTGTGCAGAGTTGCGTTCCTTTGGCGTGCCAGAAACCTATGATCGTTGCTTTGGATCCTGATTCGACCCGATTGTGTTCCTATGTTTATGAGGACCATACCATGCTCGTGGGTTTCACCAAAAGTGGAAAACGTCTGAGACCTGCATCACCTCAGGCTTTCCGCCCACATTAAGCTGACACGCCGTGATATAAGTGGAATATATTAAGCGGCGTTAAACCCAACTCATTCACTCACACTGACGTGACCTGTAATGGGATGTCCTCAGGTTTTCGTGTAGCGAGCACTAAGATATGGTTTTATTGAGATTAATTATCTCCCTGCAAGCAGTCATATTTACGTGAAGATCCAGGTAAGGATAGGTCTTGAGCAATCCATGCTTGCCGTAAGAGGCGACTAACGAGACAGGGTTGTCAGGCTCACTGACTTGGTTGATGTATGTCATCGTTTCCAAGTTCAGTAGATCGATGCTCATGAAGTCAATCACTGCATTGTCTGGTCCAGACTCGATTATTTACAGACCGCCATCATAAAGCTGGGATTTTGCTGAGAGCAGAGTTAACCATCAAACAACAAACACACATATTTACAACTCTGTGTTGTGTAGGGTTCCTGGTGGCGGCCGTGCTCACCGCTGGTCTGTGTAACCTGAGGGAAGGACAGGAGTACATCGCCGTCACGCTGTTCGCCGGTGTCACGATGTTCCACAGTGCCACTGTAGTTGCTGGCATCGTCAACCCCGTAGACCTTGCTCCACAGTGAGTGAGATTAGGAGTTAGTTTGTTGATTACACTTTTGCAATCTTTCACGTGCCTGAAGCCTGTCGTACATGCACGTGTGTGTGTGTGTGTGTGTGTGTGTGTGTGTGTGTGTGTGTGTGTGTGTTTTGCTGCTTGTACCAGTCAGGCCATTTAACATGCATACCAATGCTTGATTTATCCCTTATTGACGAGCGCAAGGAAGGGTAACAACAAGTACCATATTCAAACGTCTTTTGGTAGTCCAACCACCCAACATCCGCTCTCCGGGCAGACGTTCTATCCACCACACCACAGAGGCAGTCGAACCCTTAACGCGAAAAGGCATTTGCTGATTCACAAATTTCAAGGGGCGGTCGGGTAGCCCAGTGGTTTAAGCGTTCGCTCGTCACGCCGAAGACCCGGGTTCGATTCCCAACATGGGTACAATGTGTGAAGCCCATTTCTGGTGTCCCCCGCCGCGATATTGCTGGAATATTGCTAAAAGCGGCGTAAAACCATACTCACTCACAAATTTGGAAATGGCAACATATGAAGGGGGTGGGATGCACAGGTTTCTTCGTTGTGAAAGACAAAGTAATTCAGCGTGCAGAGTTGCATTTCCTAACCATTGCCACATTCCCTAGTAGTAGGTTCGAATCCCAGATGAAATTGCCCCTTGGTCTCTTGGTAAAACATCCCTGCTCATGTGTCTCAATAACGGGACAAACGTCTAAAACCTGCATCACTTCTGGCTGCAACATTGAGTTGATGCGTATAACTGAAGTGCTGTGAAAAACAAATGAACACAGCGGTTTTAGCGTCAGGCAAACAAGAATAAAAAAAATAAATAAGTGAAGCATTATTGAAATAAAAATAAAATCTTTGTCACCACCGGTGTTGTGTGTAAAACAACTAAAAACTAAATGTAATAACCGATTTTATTGTTTTCAGGTATGCATCATGCATCTCTTCAGCCGGGATGACCTCGGCCTTTACAGCAATGGCCGTCGGTCCCACGGTCGTGTCTTACATGATTCAAGAGGTAGATATAATTATGTTCTTGATTTTATTTTATTACATTACATGGTATTATTATTATTATTATAATTATTATTATTATTTCAGAGAACACGAGAACAATGGGCGACGGTCTTCTACTCCAGCGCAGCTGTCTATGTCATTGCAGCGTTGTTATTTGTGATTTTTGGCAGTGGAGAAATTCAACCATGGGCCGAGAATTCGGACAAAATTACAGATCTTGAAATTCCCGAATCCCAAACACAAAGTGAAGTTAATGCTGCATACGTGGGTGGTATGGAAGGGTCGGGTGCGGGACAAGTGAGTTGTGTTTGGCGCTGCACTGTGAGCGGACTTAATGGGGGAGAAAAGCCAGATGTCAGGTCCGACCACAGGCGTTCCCACTTTTGAGAAACCCGCGAACACAGGAAGCAGGGTGGCAGACAAAACACCAGAATCGGACAGAACCCGGGACTCGGACCCACGGTCGGCAGATCCTGGGTAGCACGTGCTGTAGTGCCTTATGAACTCAATTTTAATTACACAGTCATTTGTGAGCTAAAGATGGTTGCTGATGAAGTTGTTTATTTACATAAAAAATGAAATAATTGATTTTTATAAATAAATGGGTTTTTTTCTTTTCGTTTTTTAAATTGTGTTTATTCATTCCAGAAGGTACATTGTCATCGTATTATGAGAGGCATCACACTACATGTACATGATGTGATATGACAGTAGGTTCACCTTTGATACATTGTAATAATTGTAAGAGATATCGATTAAGTAAGCTAGCTCCATTTTTTAGTGAAAGGAATTATTGTTCCGTTTCTTTCGAAAGGAACAATTCGACATAATAAATATCTTTCAGTATATTTCTATATGATTTATGTGTTACGTAAATGTGTCTTTTTGCTAATATGAATAAGTAATTTAATAAGTTGTTTGTACCTCCAAAATAGATATCTTGTTTTGTAATAATAACATGACCGAAAATAACATTTACGAAAGCATTAAATTCGTCCCAGAATTCTTTAACATAAGTACATTCTATATAAACGTGAGCAATGTTTGAATTGCAAAATGAACAACCAAGTTCATCGTTAACAATTCCTTTTTAGTGTGTATAATTTTGTGTAGGAATTTGAATTTGAATTCTAATAGTGTTGTATCCATTGTAGATTTTCTATATTGTAAAAATACATATTTCCAATTAATTTGATTGTTAAATTCTTGTTCCTACTTCTCACAAAATTCTGGAAAGTTAGATGATGAAATGCAGTTATCATAAAATATCCTAGAACCTTTGCTTGTCTTAAGTAAATCAAGCCATGGAGAAGAAATGTTTAATTGCATTGTGTTTAGATTATTTGCATCATGCACAAGACTTTTCCATAGCTTAGGGATGTTTAAAACAAACGGTTATAGTCTAATAAATTACCTTTTATGCTATACATTATTTTCCGCTCAGAGAATGGAATAAAGCCCTTCGAGTCACATAAATCCTTCACAAGGCAAATACCCCTTGTATACCAATTTCTAATAATCAAATCCGGAAATTTACATTTATGATTGTACCGCAATGGTTGCATTAAAAATTCATCAACATCGTTTTCGTTTATTTCGTGCGTTTTCATATATTTGTTCAAAACGTCTAATGTGCCTTTCCAAAATATTGAAGAGTTTTTTAATATTAACACCCAAACGGAAAATGTCTTTTAAGGGAAAGCCCGAAAGAGGGTAGCTGTTTGGTTTGGAAATATATCGTTTGATACACGATAACTTAAGTGAGTAAATAAACATTGTAATATCATCCATTCTGAGGCCATCATCCTCATACTTTCGAACTAGGTTTAATCTTTTTGTTTTGTCTTTCTTTCCATTCCATGTGAAGTTGAAAAAGATGCTGTTTAATTCTTTTATACATTCTTTTGGGGGATTTGATATAGCAGGTAATATATGAACTATAGTTGACAAAGCCAAAGTTTTTATTACAGTTATTTTCCCTATTAATGTCAAGTTGCGTTTCCGCCAGTTTGAAAAAATTCTTTTAATTGTTTCGAGTCGTTTTCTAGCGTTGATAACCCAAAGGTTTTTTTTCAAATCAGCGTTTATTTTAATTCCAAGTACATCGAAATCTGCATTTTGACAGTCAAATCAGGACATAGTGTGAGTGAACTCCATGCCATTGAGTCTATCCATACAGCTTTAGTTTTGTCTGTGTTTATTTGTAAGCCAGACATTCTATAGAACTTACTTAGTGTATTTATTGCCTCATTTAGAGACGTTCCTGAGCCATCTAAAAATACTTCGGTGTCATCGGCATACTGACCTATTATATGTTCTCCAAGGACTATACATTTTATATCTGTATTTCTTCTTATCATTATCCCGAGTATTTCTGCGACGAAAAGAAACAAATATGGAGAAATCGGATCTCCTTGTCTACATCCTCTCTCGTTGCTGAAAAATGATGACAAGTGACCGTTTTGTATGTCACAAGAAGTAGAGTTGAGATCAGGTTATTTACCCATGTCATCATATAAGCTCCGAAACCATATGGATTCATCACCTTCATAATGAATCGTTTAGAAACGGCCAAAGGCTTTTTTTTCAAAAACAATTAATATTAAAAATGCCTTTCTTCTTTAATCTTTTTGTTTCGAAGATGATGTCATATAAGAATTTAATGCTTTTCGCAAATACACCTTCCCGGGGTTAAATCGTGTCTGGTTTTCGTTGATAAGGAGATCCAGTGTCTTTTTTATCCAATTTGTTATACAAGTGCGAATAATCTTATTTACAAGAGAAATGGGCCTCCATTTTTTAAAGAAACATCTATCTTTATTTGGTTTGGAATGCATGTTATAACTCCTATATTCATTGTTAAACTCAAAGAGTTGTTTTTGAAAGTGTCCTTGATATAGCGATAAATCAAAATGTCTTTCCAAAAATATTTGAAATAGGAAAATCATCAAGTCTCGGGCTCTTATTATTTTTCAATGACTTAATAGCAGCAACTGTCTCGTTAATTTTTATTTCTTCGAATATTTCTTCTGAAAGATTGTTATTTAAAGTTGGAGGGGTTATGTCTTTTATACAACTAAACCTTAAACGTCAATATCGTCTATCCACTTATATAATTTTTCGTAAAGGTTTTCTGTTCGTTTATTATAAAAGAACCGTGTGTAATATCCTCACCTTTATCAGTAAAAATAGTATTGATAAGTTTGTTCGTATAGTTCCTGTTTTCTAAGTTGCAAAAGTAATTAGTTGGTTTCTCTCCTTCGTTATACCACTGTATTCTATTACGGATTTGAATTCCGTTCATTTCTTCTTCTTGAGCTCTGATTTCCGTTCTGACAGTTTTGATAACAATGTTTCGCTAACGTTTTGAAAGTCGTTTCTTACTCATGCTTCTTATACCAATATAACATTTTCTATTTCTTTATATTTTTTCTCTTTTACTTTTTTCAAGTGTGTTGAGTATGAGATATTTTTTCCTCTTACTTACATCAAAAGTGTCTCTAAGAATAGCGAATCAGTAACTGTAAGATCTAAAGTTTCGTCAGGGATATTTTCAATACCTTCATTATCATATTTAGGATCTGCCTATTGACGTTTAGTTTCGTCTCAAATAGCTATTACCATTTCTATATATTCATCTTTTCGTAGTAATGATGCATTGAACTTCCAATATCCTCTCCCTTTTCGTTATTTTGTTGATTGGAAAGCGACAATGGCGGAGTGATCAGTTTTGCAGCCGCGTAAGATTGAAGAATGAACCGTGACATTAAAGAGATCTTCAGACACCAGAAAAAAACGTCTAGTCTAGCTTGTTGACGAGGGTTGTTTTTCCACCAAGTAAATGTATTGTTGTTTGGATGTAGTATTTAGGAGTAATTTTCTTGCATTAGGATTGTCGATATTTTTATAGTTTTGTAAGTTTTGTAGGGACAAAGTTCCAATCTCCACATATTACTGGGGAGTCATTACCCATATCATCAATTTTTTCAAATTGTGTTTTGTAAATTGAAGGGTGATCTCTTTTGAGATTGAGAAGGCAACTACCTTCCCATGGATTAGCAGGATAGTCACACTAAAAACATTTATCAATATACACCTACATATATCAACATGGACATACAGGCACATATACATACACCCCTAAATATATATACATACAAAAACATACGTAAACACGGCTGCATGTGCATGTAGCACATGTATATGGTATTCAATATGCAAATACGGTGTAAAGCAATCAGGCTATAGTTAAACTGTTTCACGATTTTACTTACATATTGTGCCGGTGAATAAGTAGTTCCAAATGTCCTCACGAATATACACTGACAAATTACAGTCACAACAAAATAATGTCTTGTCCTAGCCACAAAACTGCGATAAATCAATGTCATTTTTATTGAAAGCACATACCGTGTGCGTGTGTTAGTCAGCAAAGTGCGCTCTCCCTTGCGTTTAACAGTAAAACCTCGTTTAGACGGACCCCGTTGGTGATTGTTTGCGGGAAACCCTCTCCTTCTATACTGTACTGTTGGCTGATATGTGTCGTTATTTTGCTCTTGTCGCGGTCCAGTGACCCCTCCGCTGCATTCGTCACCACTCGCCCCTTTCCGTAGCCTGCAAGAAGACTCGTCCCCCTATCGATGAATGTTATGTGCGAAAATACGACAAACCAATCAGAATGCGCGTATGATTTCAAGTTCTTCGTCAAAGAATCCCTCAGAAATATTTTTTATTTTACATATGTCTTGCATCTAAAAATATACCCAAGACACAGTTAAATGTCTTCAATCATACTGGATAATTCCACATGTCTCGATGTGCTTTAAATTGCATCTGAAATATATATAATATATGGGGAAATAAATGTGAACCATTACGCAACGAGTTGACAATTGTTTTAGGTATGCCCGTCTGCGCTAAGACGGAACCCGGTCGCAAAAATGGCCACGAGAGGGGCACGAGTCGCTATTCGGCTTGTCCCGGAATAACACGAGTTGGGTCACGAATGCCCTCCGCTGCCCGGCTTTATTTCCGGCACCTCTCGGCAAAGTCCGGCGGTCGTTGTACAGTGTCAGTACATTCTGTGTTGGAGAATTTGACTATTTCATTCTCTTGTGATTTAATGGCACACTCGTTTATGTTCGCTACCTTTTTCTTGTATTGAAAATGTTTTTGTAACTATGATTTTAAAATATAAGGGGAATTTTTATGTACAATCAGATATTTCTCATGTATTTATGATCCTTTTTGCCTCCTCAATAATTGTACATAGCTTGTTGTCTATCCTTAATGGTACCGCCGGGTAGCTTCTGTTCAGTATTTTGAGACTTACATCTTCAGTGTGGATATAGTAGGTAGCTTTCTATTCGTAACACATCTGTCATGTACTGGTTCGAATAAACACAATGATCATATATTCAATGAAACAGTACCCACATTTTGAATGTAAAATACCAAGAATTAGTACTCGATTTCTACTAATGTTTTTTTCTAAAGAAGAAAACCCCAGTGGCCAGACATGTACAATGCATTGATAAACTATTATCTAAAAGTTTTGAACAAGTTTTGTATTATTTTTCAACGGCCTGGAGGGTTTGAGTAAATATAAATAGATTTAAA